CGTCGCGAGCTGTGCTTGGTAGCGCTCTCTCCTGCCAGCTCTGTGTGTAACGCCATTTTTGTAACGCGAACGCAATAGTCAGACTGTTTTTGGGCCACAACTACAAGTTTCCCCCAAAAACACACAAAGGCCACAAGTCTTCTCGTCCTTCGTCACGAAACGCAAAAAAAATAAAAAATAAATCATAAATATCAGCGCGTGTGTGTGCCGCCGCCAATCGAATCGCAGAGAATCGAAATAAAATCAAATCGAAACGGGTCAGGAAAGCAGGAAAAATCGAGAAAAGTGCGTCAGCAGCCGTAGTGTCGAGCCTCATCGCATCATCATCTCACGCATCGTCGTCCTCGTCGTCGAAAAGTAGAGGCAGTGAAACTGAAACTGAAGCTGAAGCTCAAGCTGAAGCTATAGTCCTGATGCTTGGATGCTGATGCCTCAGCGGGAGGCGGGCGGCAAAAAAGAAATCAAATTACAAAACAGCAACACACACACACACAATCACCTCCTCATACAACGAATCAAGAACACATAGATACACCAACACTCATGTCGACAGAAGGACTAACACACGCAGCTCTGAAATTGACGGAGACCATAGACCATATAATTTAGCACAAAGTTAAACGCAGAAAAAAACCAACAAAAAATCCAAGGAAAAGCAAATATATATAAAAAAAAATATATAGGAAAGCAAATAGAGAGCAAAGTATGGCTCGCTAAATGTGTGTGTGTGTGTGAGGGGAAAATCAAACAATTTCGATTGTCAGGCCAAGCATTAAAGTCAAATTAACAAGTTGCAAAACCTGGCGGCGCACAAGAAAATGAAAATCCCCCCAACAACAATAACAGAAAAAAAGTGTTGAAAAATGCCAGGGCAGCTGTGAAGGATTCGCTGGCAGGGTGCTGGTGGAGGTGGGCGGTTACAAAGGGGTACAGGCAAATACCAACGCACTTAACACTATTTACCAACACAGCGGCAGCACTTAAACACACACACACACACACAGACATTTGGAGCACAACAAAAAACAAGGCACAAAAAAAAAGAAAGAAAAACTCGCTGAAAAAGTAAAAAAAAAAATGCGAAAAAAGTGGAAAAACTTGAAACGCGCCTGAGATTCGAGTCGTGTCGAGATTCCATGTTATATTTGCGGACTTGTTTTGCTTCACTCTCGCCTTTGTCCCTTTATACATATATATGTATGTACATTGGCCAGATATTTTTAGCACACGGGCGAAAATTTAAATCGCCATTGAACAGAAAAAAGAAAAAAACATAAATGCCCTAAAGCAAAGGAAGAAAAGTTTTCCACAACCAGCGAGAAACTGTCTCTACAGGTGTGTGTGTGTGTTTTGTTTTTTGCGTGCTGTTTTAGCCCACAAAAAGTCAGAGCTAATAAAATATCAACAAGATGCGAACAAAAAACAAAGAAAAAACAATAATAATAGTCGGTGCATTGGTGTTGGTGGCATATTGAAAAGGCTGCGCCTTCTGTTGCAAGGATAACCGAGCGAAGAAGCAGCAGCAGCAACGTCATACATGTGCAAGGATATTATCAACGTGCACCTGTCGAAGTTCACACAAACACACACATACACATATACAAACTCAGATAAAAGAGAGATGGATAGCTTAAAGAGAGAAAGAGAGTGCGAGATAGCTGGTGCATTTGGTGTGGCACATTTTGTTGTTGTTTGTCCCCAACCATTAAACGTATTTATATTTATGGATACAGGGGTCCTTCGTCCTGCTAGGCGTCTGTCTGTGCCTCAGTGTGTGTGTGTGTGTTAAACACATTAAAGCCCCAGTTGATGTGGATAAATCTATTAAAATAATTTCAACTAAAAGTAAATAACTCACTCAGAAGAGATAGTGAGCAAGGGAGAGGATAGATATCTTGATAGGGTCAGAAAAGCCTGTGGCTGGCCAGCACGTGGGGAAATCTAATTTATCTAAGCCACATCCTGCCATAAAGTCAGTGGATTTACTGCCACATTTTCTCATTCTTCATAAGCCCTAAAAGCAAAAAAGTAACTTTTCGTTTCGTTTTTTGTTTAAAAGAGCCCAGCCATTTAAGTTGAGAAAAGGGCTTTACTACCTGTTTGGATAAGCCAAATTTACTATCTCACTGATCCCATCTTTACTTATTCATTCCCACAGAGATTTCCGCGCGTGGGGAAATTTTTGAGTTGGGACCTCTTGGTCCTTGGGAAAATTTTCGGAGAAAAGTTTGTTTTGGCAAAGAAACAACAATCGAAACGATATAAAAATGTCATTTAGCACGCTACTGGTGCGGCGGGTGGGAAAAAGTTTTCCTCTTTTGGGGTAGAAAGAAATTAACTTTATTGGCCGAATCAAGCGAAAATCGCTAAACAAATGCGCCCAAGCACCTTTTCAAGTGGTGGCTTAAGATACGACTTTTCGGATGAGGGCAGTAGGTTGAGAAATCCTGGGCCTTCCTTATTTTCTCATTTCCCAAGTTGCCAACTAGTTGAGCCTTGCAACACACACACACACACACAGAATCTTCAGCACACACACACAGTTGGCAACTAAACACATGGCAAATGTGGCAAACTTGGAAACTTATCGACGGCTCTAATCTAAACGGGACAAGCTGGCCGAAAACTTTTGCCCCGCCCCTGCCTAAGACACTAATTCGCAACTCCCAACTCGCAACTCAAAACCCAAAAACCCCCATTGTTCATGTGCGGCCCAGAAAAGTAGGCTATAAAAACTATCAACACAACTCAAGTTTTGTGGCAAGTTGTTGTGTATGGGATTTCTTCTTAGGTGCAGTAGGAGAAGCAGCAGCAGCAGCAGCTCACAACATAAAAATCGGAAAAGTTTTGTTGTTCTATTCGGCTGTGTATTTTTAAGTTTTGTTTTTTTTTTTTCTTCCCCCTTTTCGCCACCAAAAAACCTCCTGCCACTGGATCATATAATCCTTTCACTTAACAAGCAAACTTTTTGGCAGCAGCCAAAACGAAACGAAACGAAACGAAAAAACTTTGGCAAACTCCTTTGCATAAACACAAACATGACCGTAGAGCAACGGAGCAGCAGTTCCCGAGTCATATCTCCGTGTAGATGTAGACATGAAATTTATGCATTTGCTGCCAGCCCGACAAAAGTATTTATGTATGCGCTTATAAATATATATATATATATGCCCTCTTACCAACCCTCTTGCCTCACACACTTTCCGAGTGTCTGTGCAGATAGCCAACAAATTTATGCTAGCAATATAACAAACAAAATATTTGCGCACGAGTTGCAAAAACTTTTCAGAGCAACTTTAAAAATAACACCAAAAAAGCTCCGAGAATTTGGCCTAAAGTAAAAAAGGGCCTTCATGCAACATTGTTTTTCCTATTTCTTTTTTTTTTTTTTTTTTTTTTGGCTTTAGATATGCTAATTAAAGCGCCTACGCCTAGACACATACACGTACTCTGTACATACGTATGTGGGTATTTGTCAGGGATTATTTTCGTATCCAGTATGAGAGCTTCTAAAAAGCATCTCTCGTCTGTTTTTGGTAATCTTTGCGAATATATGGCATGTGTCAAATATAAAGCAAATTAAGTTCAAAAGTCTAAAGAAGGCTTAGCCTTTATTTTTAAATTCAGTAAATCCTTTCTGCCTTCTACGTGGCTCAATTAATTTTTGGGTAAATTGTTTCCATGGCCATTTAAACTTTTCACTACCCAAAGCTGGCGTAACACAGCTTAGTTTAATTAATAACCAGATCAAAAACTATTTAATTATAAAATTTACTAGATTTTGTTGCATGGAAATTCAGGCAGATTATATATGCTAATGCCAGAACACACACACACAAAATAAATGTGCCCTATAAGTGGTGGCAAAGTTAAAGATTGCTAACAATTGTAGTCAATAAATTGAAACCGCAACACTTTAAGCCAAATACAAATTAAACTCGGCCACTGCCACTGCAAAATAATAATAATAAAACTCGCAATTCGCAAAAACCAGAATAAATAGCAAAAAGTTAGGGGAAAGTCATTCGGCAGACTGCAAACTGCTTTGTGATTTATAGAGCAAAACAAATATAATTAAATAAATCCTCGAATAAATATGTACACACTCCACACACACACACACACACACACACAGAATCCCATTCCACACACACACACACATTACAACATTCAAACAAGCCAAGTGATTTCTTTTTTGCCGCTCGCTTTGCTGGCAACAAGTAAAAATAATTAATTATAGATAAATGTGTGCGACGCGTGTGAGATAAATTGCCAAAGCAACAGAACCGAAAAACAACCCCTGCCGTCGATGTAATAAATGACTGTGCCGCAAAATGAGCTTTTAGTTTAATTAATCAAATGAATAATAATCAGCGCACTAAATAGTTGAGGCCAGAAATACAAAGTGCAGAGAGAGTGCTAAAATACAACATAAAAGTGCAACGCCCCAAACGGAAAAACCAACAACAGATGGCGTAGTGGCGCCGAATGAATGGGATACTGAGGAAGGGAGATCATCGTCAACGACGACAAGGACCTCGCCCCGTTGCTGCCGCTGTGATTCAGATTCATTCTGGCCGCCCAACAAGGCAACAACAGCGAGCGCGGCGATCACAGCGGCAATAGTGGTGCGATCGGTGGTGCACCGCCAACACTTAGTGGTTGTGGTGGTGCCGGTGCGGGAGCGGTTGGTCCTCCGGGTGATCCTACTGGAGGCGGAGGAGGGAGGAGGAGGGAGGAGGTGGTGGTGGTGGCGGGGCTGCAGGGAGGAACCGGAACCGGTAGCGGTAACGGAAGTGCTGGCGGGGCGGACTGCAGCAGCGACGGCGATCCCAAGAAGACCTTCTCGCTGCACTGCTGTTGCGTGATCGTCGACATCACACCAGTGGCGCATCCAGGAGGACGCCTGACATCGGCAACAACGGCCTCGGGAAGGGATGCGGGTGGAGCCGCCGCTGGAGGAGGTACCAGTGGTGGTGGCAGCGGCGGCGGCTTGGGTCTTGGCCTCGGCGAGAATGTCTCCCAGTTGGCAAGCCAACTGTTTCGCTTCGGAAGCAAAAAGCGTCCCGGCGTTTGCATCTGCAATGCCCAGTGCCGGCTGCAATCGCTGGGCGAGACCCAAGGCAGCCTGGGAGCCACCACCATTAAGACCCATCATGGCAGCCTGGACAGATTGCTGCAGAAGGGAGATGGAACTGCAACTAGTGGTGAACGTTCGATAAGTTGGGTGGTAGATGGTGGGGCGGCAGGATCTGGTGCCCTGCTCAACGCCTCCTCCGACGAAAGTGATGATAAGAAAAAGAAATTAGATGAGAGTAACCAATTGCCGCCCCCGCCACGCCCACCTTCGCGGTCACATGCCAAGCCTACGGCCAAAGAGGAATTCGATCGAGGCGTTGAGGTGGAGAAGTTCTATCACCAGATCAACGGCGATATCTTCGAAATCACAAGGAGGGTGCGAGCTCGCGATGAGGAGACCATGGAACAGAAGTGCATTAGGCGGAAGGGTTCCGTCAGACTGACAGAACCCACTGGCCATGCCCATGTCCGGATCGAGCAGAGGCCTCAGTTGCCACCAAGACGGCAGAAAAGTGCCGAGGAAGTGGCCACCATGCCAAAGAGTGCTCTGCGTCAGCCATCCGAGCAATTGGAATGGTTCGATCGTCGTGCCCAGCAGCGTCACTCCGCCCGATCCGCTGAAGGTGGTCAGGTGCGCGAGGAGACCATGGAATGGTTGAAGCTTCAGAAAACTGCCAGTCCCATCCAGCCAGTGCGCACCTCTTCGGGTCCCAGTGAGATAACAGTCCTGAAAGACGAACTGCCGGACTGGCTACTGGATCATCTGCCACGAAAGAAGGAGAGGGAACGAGATCGATTGCCTTCGGATGCTGATAAGGCAGTGGGTTCTGCCTATGCCAAAGCTCTCTCGGAGCTGCTCAAGAAACCACTTTCCCGACAGAGTTCCGGACCTTGTGAGTTCTCTTTGCTGAAAACAGACATTGTGGAATGGCTCACCAAGATGCAGGGCAGCAGTGGAACGGAGAGAGGCAAGTCCCGTCGATCGCATCACCGCCGAAACGGCAGTGGGGGCGATGCTCAACCCCGTTCCAATTCCCAAGAAGATGCCCAGGATCAGTCGAAGACCAGCCATCGAAAGAGACACTCGCTGGGTCACAGTGGAGCAGTCAGTGAAGAGGAGCAGCAACAGATCACTGCCGATTGGATAGCCTATCCTCTGCACAAGCTGCAGTCCCTGGGCAAACAGCCACCGCCAAGTCAAGCGCCGGAAAGGGTGACCATTCCCAGTGGCTATGCGGTGCCCAGTGCCCTTTCACACACTCCCCTATGCCAACGGAGGGAGGAGCGTTCCCGGGAACGAAGACTGCGTCACTCGGCCAGCGAGGTGGTGGGGAGCGGTGGAGGAGCTACGACCTCCACTCCAAGCACTGCCCACCTGGAACGATTGTATGCCAAGCCACACAAAGAACGCTATCAATATGTACCGAAAGCCAAGGAATCGGGAGGCAGGAAAGAGCGTTCACGCCGCCATCAGACCCAAAGATCCGCCACGGTCTCCGACATGTCCGCCCAGCGTTCCGGTGGCCACAAGCGCAAGTCCTCGAGTGCGGAGCGAGCACCAAGGTCACCATCCCCAGGACCCTGTACGGATCCCGATTGTCCACTACTGCCTATCTGTACGGATCCACATTGCAGATACCAAGAATGCCAGGCGAGGCAGTGCATCACCTCGTCGGTCAGTTCGGTGAATCTGGCCAGGCATCAACAGTTGGCCCAGGTGCAACTCCATGCTGTGCCAGCTCATCTGGTTGGAGCCATTGGTTCCGATGTGCCAACAACACCTTCCACAACCGCAACGCCTCCACCTCCAACAGGTGGAGGGATCTTAGGATCAGCTGGAGTGGGAACTGCCGGAACAGGAGGAGGAGGTGGTGGAATCCCGGTAACCGAACGCCGCCTGGTCATCTGCCACGATTGCCGATCCTGTGCCCCGCTCCTCAGCTGCCGGAATCGCAAATGCCTCAATGCCGCCAAGTGCAACTCACTGCCTCGCTGTGCCGCCGACTTTAATCGCCTGCGCACCCAGCTGGCCCAGCCGCCCACCACATTGGATGACATTGAGCCGGCGCCGCTGGATGACCTGGAGATGCAGCCACTGCCCTCGCCACCGCATCAGCATCCGCACCATCACTATCGCAGCAATTCCCAGCCAAATACGCTCCAACGTGGAGATTCCGCCAGTTCCGCAGGAGGAGGAGGCTTAGCAGGAGCGGGATCAGGTGGATTGGGAGGACCAGGATCTGGACTGGCTTGGCTGGAGCCCACAACCACGCTAGTGCAACCACTGCCCGCCTATGTGCACCATTCAAATGGCAAGCTAATGAAGTCCGCCTCAGCTGCCTCTCTAAATTCCCGAAGACGACGCCATAAAACAGTGCACTTTGGAGAGAATCTCCTGCGGGAGGTTTGCCAGAATAGGAAACTCATCAAAACTGAGGCCCAAGTGCCATCCGGTTCGGCGCCCATGAAGGCCAACATCCAGATGCTGTACAACTTCGTGGAGGGTGTGTTGAGTGCCTGGGTGGATGACGATGAGGATCAGGTGCGTTCTGGTGCTGAATCGGAACCAGAGCATGGAGTGGTACCCATGCAACCGATCCATAGATGCAACCGATTGCGTTACCAGTGCATCCGTCGGGTCGTCGAGGAGGCAGCCGATCTCCAGGGCACCCTCAAGTTGGGCAACTCCCGCTATCGCCATCGCCATTGGCGCAGCACCGCCAAGCAGTGCAACGAAATGTTCCTTCGCAAGGTAGGAAGGGAGGGTCCAGTAGAGGGTCTATAACTTGGATTTAGTTCATCTGAGAGTCCTTGATACTAGTTCATACTTAAGATACTAACTAGTTAATAAGTTCCATAAATCAAGGCTCCTGATTTAGAACGGCTTACTTACTCGAATAATCTTTGCAAGCTTTGCAAGAACCTTATCCTAATCGCTGTCGTTGGCTACATTTGTCAGCGCTGCTTTGAACTTTTACTCCCGTGGAAATAAATGAAAATCGCGTGAGAAAATGTCGCCTTGGCAGAAAGCACAGACCAATTTCCCCTCGAACTCGTACTCATACCCTTACCTTACCCTTACCCTTAGCACCGCGAATTCCTCCAGTTAAGTGTATTGTCTGTCTGGTAGAAATTCATTTTGGGCTGCCTAACAAAACGTTGATCAAAGCCAAAGCATCCTTTTCACGCTCGAGCTGCTCCTGGGCTCCTTTTCTGGCTCCACAAAGGAGCAATAAATTAGAGCATTAGCCACCCACTCCCCCTCCTTACCCTGAACGCCAACCCTAGCCCTCAAATGCCATTCGAGAGAAAAGCTCTTAACACACGGACAAATAGCGTTTATAGGAGGGTAGAGGCAGTGTAAATGGGAAATTGGGGATGGGAAAAACTGGTACTTGTATTTAGTTTTTCGGTAATGAATGGCATTGATTGCAATACGCATGAATCAAACGGCTTCAAAGTGATAAAAGGCCATTTGTCCGAGAAAGCTGATGGAAAAAACATAGAGCGAGAGAGAGAAAGAGAGAGAGTGAGAGAGAGAGGATGGAAAGCTGTGGGCGTGGCTAGTGAAAATGAAAAGCATTGCAGAGGAGCATTTGAAAATAGGTAGATAAAGAATGCCATGCACTGATATATAGCTTCTAAATGTGAGTAACAACTTCAGAATTCATTGGAAACACAACACGCACATCGCATGTTGCCTGTGTTTACTTTGCATCCTCTCCCAGCTTCGTTTGGTTAACTTAACAAGCAAATAGATACATTGGTCAAGGGTTTTACATGCAGTCCTTGAATCGCCACAAAGATACTAGAGAATCTACGTATATAGTAGATATATTCAAATGAGTTAGCCAGTAGCCTGAATGGAGGGTCTTCAGTTGGCTTATCAACTGAATGGGTTTGCATATTAATTAATGGCCAGATCAGCGCTAAAAGAGATTGTCCTGAATGAAAAGCACACACAGAGAGAGAGAGAGAGAGCGAAAGCATGAATTGGATTTACCTGGATTAAAGGTGGCAGCATCTGGATATCTGTGAGTTTTGTCATTCCCCGCCATTGCTCTAATTAACGCTTGTTACCCGTCCACATGATCTGAATACCTAAATGCTCCTCCATGTCCTGTGATTACTGCACACACCACCATCCACAGCCCAACCATTCCCAAGGTTGTCCGAGTCGCTTGTTAATTTTGATTGATTCAATGCTAAACAGTTTCACCTTCAGCCAATTAGGTGGGCCGCTCAGCGTTGGCTGGAATATTTAATCAAATCGGAATGACATTGCAGGTTTACCACCCAACCTACTAACCGCCTCTCCCACGCCAAAATGAAATGAGCTGAGGGATAATTCCAAATTGATTTTCGCATTGCAATGCAGCAATTTGACTGTGGGAAAAAAGGCAGAAAAAAAGGAAGGAAGGAAGGAAACTTTACAAGTCAGCAACGAAACGTAGCTGATGTATCTTTCCATTTTAGCCCCAACCTCATCTATCTCTCCCCCTTGCAGATTTCGTCTTTGAATCAATTTCGTTTGGCTAACAACATTTGCGCAGGCAACGAAAACTTCTTTAATGCCTCACTTAATCGCAGCAATGCCAGAAACGTGCCACAGCCACCAAATAACTTTTCCCCAACCAGGTTAACCTTGCCACCCAACTCAATATATATATATATAGCGATGTCTATATAGGTACCGTCGAGGTCGAACCCCTGCATAAACACTCTATCAAATATTGTAATTTTTGACAGCGACATATGAAAAGATTTTCGCCATCAAATCGAAGGAGATGAAGTTAGGGAGAGGTGACAATGGCTGTGCCAATGACATGGCAATGGCATCCCCAGCTCATCTCGTCCACATTTGACATTCAAAAGTCATTGATAATTATGGCTGAAACGTGAACGACAGCCGCATCGAGGGATCACAATCAATTCTTGATTAGAAATCGTAACGAAAGCACCTGGCTCACCTGTGCGGATAAGTTTTGCCTTGGAATGGGCCAGATTGGTCTCTATATGAGGGGATATACTCGTATATATAGGGATATAGGGCAGGGAGACCCATCACTGTGCCTAAGTGGGCGGGTTCGTCTGTGCGTAAATTGAATTTTGATTTTGCACCGATGCTGAGATATGGCATATTAGGCCCCCAAAGTAATCAGGTGGGTAAAGTGTGAGGAAGGAGGAGGAGTAGGAGCAAACTGGGGAAAGCCCCGACTGGCTGGCATTTAATCTTTTGTGTGATTGTTGTTTGGCCGTGTTCGCATTCGTGTTCGTGTTTTGGGTTGCCCATTTAGGCTTACACCCATGTGAACGTTTTCAGCCATTCGTATGAGTTTGCCGGAAGGGAGACGATGAAGGATGGTCTGACTGACTGCCCGCCCAGAGGTGAAATCCCATTGTCAGTATCAGGGACTTCGTTCGCCTGATGAAATTCAAGAAACAAGTCGCCTCTCGACAGGTACGATGTACTACCTTCTGCCACTTTTGGGCCAATTAAAAATTCATGAATCATTTGACAAACTCTTTGGACTCTTTGGGCCAATCTCTCCTGGGATGACCAGCAGGAATGCCAAATGCGTTGTAATCTGCTGTAAAAGGGGTACCCAAAATACGTACCGTCTTTAAATCACCAAATTTGATTAGCCAAAAAGGGTTGCCTTGATTGTAGTCGAGTCCAGTCTTTAAATTAGATAGAGGAGCCTCTTAAAATCTTTAAATTTGATTAAAAGAAGAGAGAGCCTTGCTTTTTGGGTCAGTCTTTAATATTTCGAATGGTATATAAACTGAAGGCGACCCACACAGCCCACACATTTCAATTGCCCGACCCATCATCCTGAAACAGTTCCACTCGACAGCTTCCGCTCGGCTTGATGATTTCATGGAAAACTTCATTGAGCAAGCGGAAACTATTTCGTTTTGGTGGAGTGCAGGTGCGGGTGTGTTTTTGAAGTTTCCTTTTAAATTTTCGCCCAACTCTTGGAGCCACTTAAAGTGACACGCACAGATATCGATTGGGGTGGTGTGCCCATCTCTCATCCCCTTCTCCTCACAGCTTGTAACCGCTTTGATCTGAGTCTGAGGCTGAGTCCTCCGTTTCCTGGCCATCATCATCATCATTATCATCATCATCATCTGCGATGTACAACCCCTCTTCAGTCGCTAAGCAAGCCACGTCTCAGGTTGGGTTCCTTTGGTTATTTGCATGCCTTTGCACTGCTCTTCGATTAATATAAAATTTGATTAAACTTGGTCGCTCCTTTCGATGCTGTTGTGGGTTAAGTACACATGACCCAGGCTGGCAAAAGACGGTGACTCTGCACCACGGGTGGGACTTCCCCGCCAGCAAGCAAACATCACGACCAACCAACCCATTCCCATTCCACCCAAAAAAAAAAAAAAAAAATACAAAACGAGGAGGCAGTCAAATAAATAACTTGTAAAACATGCATATGAGCAAAAATGTTTGAAAATTGCCAAAACGTAAGCAGGGGTGACTGACTGACAGGCTGGAGTATCGTAGTAACCAAGGGTGGGGGGAGGGTCAGGACAAGTCCTGGACCAAGGACCCCATCACAGGAAGGAGAGACGAAACGAATAAACACATTGTAAATTGATTTCCTTGGGAACTCAAATAAAAATGGCATGAAAAGCAAGTGAGCGACAGTTGGGCGGGCTAGTGGGCAAATGGGTGAGTTGGGCGTGGTCGAACCAGTCGCTACGCCCACCTCGATTGAAACGAATGAATGGGCAAACCAATTTTTATTGCCACGCGGGACACGTAGCCCGAACAGAGCCATCGACTTTGGTCTTGGCTTGAATTCCCACATGGACCAAAAGTCTCCAACTCCTCCTTCTCATCCTTTTTGGCCTCGCAGTTCTCTTCCTGCAGAGAAGATGGCAAAAATGGCTGTGAGGTTCGAACGGAAGGAAGCTAAGAGATGGGAGATGGCCAGGCGGGCCAAAGGCAAACAGCATTCAGTCAGCCAGTCAGTCAGGCAGTCAGGCAGTCAGTCAGTTAGTGAGTCAGTCGGACGACCCGGCTTTTGATGAAATAACATTGCCAAGTAACAGTTTGCCTTTCGCCATTTATTTCCCTCCCCCCTCACTGTGTGTGGGGGGTGCCTCTCCCAGCCATTTTGTCAATTGTTGTCTGGGCCTGCCCTATCTCTATCTGTCGGCCCTTTTCTACCCCAACCCTCTGACTACGCTAAAAATGCAGGCGAGAAGAGAAGACAAATTGCTTTATCGACGACATACGTAACAAATGTTGCTGTCGGCACTGACAACAGCAACAGCAACAGCAACAGCAGCAACCTGGCCATTATTGGTTTCAAATGGCTTCGTCGAACGGGGCTTACCAGTGGATACCATCCAGCCCTGCCTGCCAGCTAATTATGACTTAATTATTTCAATTATTTTCTCTTCGATTTATTGAATTTTATCGCCGGCAACCGAAACCTCGTACGTGTTGCCCAGGCGCCTTAATTAAATTGTCTCTCTACCTCTCCCTCTTCTCACTACTTGATTCTCATGCCACGTACTTTTATTTCTTGTTGCAGATTTCGGACGATGATCGAATGAGCCTAACTACCGCCGTTTCGGATGAAGATGATGGGGAAAGTGTCATGGCGTCACCATACAAAGCAAAGGCCACTGGCACCGCTGCATCTTCCTTCAATTGCACGGGAGCTGTTCGCAAAGCCGGGTAAGTTCAAATTTGAGTAGGTCTTCCGGAATAGGAGTCTAGTTGCCCCCAAATCTCCTTTTGGGAATCTGGGAATTTATGCCTTCGGTAGATGTAATCTGGCAGCTAGCCATGGTTTGGGTATTCCTTGTTCTTGTGGCCAAAAACCTGCTCACGTCCAACAAGTCATCATAAATAACACCAGTACCGGAGTGAGTCTATGGGGAGCCTCTTTGGGGAACATAATTTCACAGTGATTAAGGGTTGGTCAGAGGTGGAGAAAGCAGTGGCTGGGGATTAACCTTATTATGTCCGTATAGGAGGGTATCAGAGTGTGCTAAGTAGTGTAGCATAGCAGATTATATGGTAAGCTCCATAACTTTTATATAATCTTGATTCGTATTAACAGTCAGGTTAATATAGTAATGTCGTTCTGAACGTGACTAGACAGTTGGATTATCCTTTGGTTTTATTTGTGTAACTCCCATTTCTATGACTAGAAAGTAGAACTTCATAGTTAGAAGTAACTTACATCTGATATTAAACCAGTTTCCTAGGGTACCTCAAACTTCGACTACTTTTCTTAATTTCCCCTACGCTGTTATGATAAACCGCTTGAAGACTTATGTACGCAGGACATGCCCCATCCCATTTGCCTTATCTTGATTAGCTCCGAAGGTTAATGGGTTGATGGCGAAGCTGTTGAAGTTCTCCCAGGGATTACGAGTGCCCTGCCCCTGCCCCTGCCCCTGCCCCTTCATCATATGATTTAACCCCCTATATAAACGAAACCACATCGAAATGTTTGCTTGCAGCTTCCTTTCGGTAAAAAAATGGTTACTACGCAAGAAGCACCAGATCGAGCTGGCAAGAAAGCGGGGCTGGAAGGGCTACTGGGTGTGCCTGAAGGGCACAACGCTGCTCTTCTATCCGTGCGATTCCCGGGAGGGCAGGAGCGTGGAGGCGGCGCCCAAGCACTTGATTATCGTGGATGGTGCAATTATGCAACCGATACCCGAGCATCCCAAACGCGACTATATCTTCTGTCTGAGCACGGCGTTCGGCGATGCCTATCTCTTCCAGGCGCCCTGTCAGGTGAGTATCTTTATTACACTGCGGTTAGATGTGTTGGGTGTTGGGTTGGGTTAGGATTGGATTGGATTGGGTTGAGGCCTGGTGGATAAAAGTGCCTTAGGTTATGCTCGCTCTCATTTCGAGCAGTCAATATCCAAGGGAAGTCCTTCAAGGAAGCTTTGAAAGACTGGCCTTGCCGCGTCCGAAGTCGGAGCATAGAAAGATGGCAGCGCAAATTTGTTTGCACAAGGATATGCACGGCAGGCGAGGGCGAGTTCACCGCTCGCGGGTCCGAGTTACCTCCTTCTCTCTCTCTCTTCCTTCCTCTCTCTCTCTATCTATCTTATAATCGCCAGGCTGGTTGAAATGTATGCCATAAAGAAACCACAGATGGCGTTGCACTCTGAAAAATATACAGCCTTGGCCTTAAAAGGGAATCTAAATAAGACTTTTAAATATTTATTATAAAATATATGCTTTCCTTTAAGCTTTTCATTTGGATTTTCTAATGTTCAAAGCCTATAGTTTCCTAAATATTTAAGAATTTATATTCCCCTTAAAGCCATAAATAGCAGAAATTTTCGAGAAAAAAAAAAAAAAGAATTCAAATCATATTTTTGCGAGTGCGCATAGATGCAGATGCAGATACAGGACGAGGACGAGGACATGGACATAGACGAGGACGCTGGCAAGGCGCTGACTGACGCAACCCGCAAAAAGTCTCCCAAAGTGAAAAAGAGTGAGATATATACTGAGAAAAAGAGATGGAGATAGAAAGAGAGGACAGAGGAAGGCCGGGGGCGGCTTAAAGTGTGAGCCATGATTGAGGTGGCGTTGACTGACTGCCAACTGGCAGATTGCCTTGAACAGCTGCAGTGGCAGCAGCATCCTTGTGGCAGCCCTAAACTGTTACATGTCTCAAAGGCATACGTTCAGCATGGCCCTCATCCTTCATCCTCCTCATCTTGCTCATCCTGTTGGGGGGTTGCCAACTCTCGCCATGGCCCAACGTGATTTGTCATTAAATTTGCATAACTGATAGCCAGCGATGAGCGGGGATGAAATGGGTTTTGGGGTGGCCAACTGGTTGGATGCTGGATGGCTGGATAGTTGGTTGCTTGGTGTACGAGTGTACCGAGTGGATGCCATTCGGTTTGGGGGACAAGTTCGACGTTTGGCGCTGGGGAGCCACGTCAAATTGCTTGCGGTGCATTTGGTCTGCAATTTGTTACAATGTTTCCTCTTTAACATCCCATTTTACTACCCGCAGGTGGAGCTGGAGAACTGGGTGAATAGCATTCATAGCGCCTGTGCCGCCGCCTTCGCCAGGCATCGCGGAAAAACTGGAACCCTACACCTCCTTCAGGAGGAGATCTTCCGGCTGGAGAAGGCCATTGAATCGGTGAGTAAATATGTTGGCATTAACTGCGGAATATATATACTCGTATATATATCTGAGAGTATGCATGCCGCAAAAACGCAAAACCAAAATACATTTCACTATACATTCAATGTGGGCTTGGGAGCGTGCAAAAGTATTCGTTGCGGTTTTTGGGTGCACCGAGCACCTGGAGAATTCCAGGATGAAATCCAAGGAGCACGGCACGGTTTGGATTGCGGTTGCATTTCACATTTCGTAGCACAGTAAGAGTCTCGAGCAGCTTTGTTGGCTCAGGAAATTGTTGCTGCTGCTCGAGAGTCAATTTTACCAAGTGGCTGCTGCTGCTGTGCAATGCAAAATGAATGGCGCACACAGTCAGTCATGTCAAAGGGATAAAACTGCGTTTCGTCGCCGTAAGGCCGACTAAGCCCCACTGAATAGCAAAGGCAACAAATACCACCACCCCTGCCTGCACATATCAATTGGTATCGCTTACGAATGCATCATCGATCATAACATTTGTGGAAATAGCAAATAGGATTTGAACTATTATGAATCGCACTGTACTGAATGCGGCACGGAATTGAATGGCAGATGAAAAGCGAATTAAATTAGGAAACCCATCGAATGGGGGATTAACTCCACATCACTGCCGTTATGTGTTTTGTGCTTGCATTTTCCTAGAGCAGGGAAAACATGTCGTTAGCCATCGTAAATGTTTTGAATTTTGATGAGCCAAGCTGAGAAATGCCTGTGACTTGACCCATAAATTTAAGAGCAACTTATCCAATCACTAGTGAAGATAATTATAATCGCATTGAGGAAGTTAGGACATGAATGGATTAAGTTTTAAAGTTTTTATTAGGCATAAAGGTTATAAAGCAACCTCCTTACCAAATCGAGAGCTCCATAAATCTCCACTACCTGCTTCCCCGTGACTAATGTAATCGACTAGAAAAACAAATTCCCACAAATATATATTCACGGCAGGACAACAATTTCTCAATATCACGCTGTCAACTCAGAAGTCAACGGAACAACAGGCAACGGAACACAACAATCGCATTTTCCGCCCGCATTTTCCGCATTCCCAACCAATTTCTCAGTCTCGGGACGATTCCCCAAAGATTTATGCCATTGTCGAAACGAAAAGTGCGGGTTGGGGGTGATAGGGAAACTGCTTCTACTTGCAACTATTTATGTATTTGCTTTCAAATCAATTCCCCATCAATTTCGCGGCAAACAGCGTAAAATTCCTTGCACTGCAATTTATTTTCCTCTCCAGCGCAAAAGTTTTTTGCAAAAAGAAAAGAGGGTAGAAGATGGTGGGGTTGCAAGATGGTTGGCGAAACCAAATCAAAGTGAGGAACATTTTTGCGCGCGGCTCAAATCGCAAGACAAAGCAAAAGGAGGAAAGATGGAAGAACGAGCGAGGCAAAAGCAAACAGAATTGAACTCAAGCTGAAGCTACAAGAAATTGCACTTGGCCCAAACGATAAATGCTCTGGATAAACCAGGCAACTGGAAATCGAGGCAGAGAGATATGGAGACCCCTTTCAAAGAGCACTCCCACCGCCACTTCCCCCCGCGGAAGAAGAAAGTAAACTTTATTTGTTTATTTATTTTCCATCATGTCATTTTCAGTTGCCTTTCTCTCTGGCCTGTGCAATTCTCTTTCTTTCAACCAATTTTTACCCGCCACTCTGGCGTTTTTGCTGTTGTTGTTGTTGTTTGTTAGTTAGTTAAAGGACTCCAAAAGACAATTATGCTGTCTGTCCTGTCCTATCCTCAACAACTTGATTCATTCGTCTCTGTCGTCGGCATCGCTGATGTTTTTCCAGCTCCCGCTATTACTTCAGCTTCTGCTGCCTCAGCTGCTACAGTGTTTGCCGGAAAATTACAACTTCCGGTTATGGGAAATTCTGCAAAAAGAAAGTTTTGAAATTATTATAAGAAGTGACTTGTGGAAGTTTGCTTAGAACAATAATTAATAGATGGCAGGGAAGTTTGAAGGATTTGTAAACTGTTGTCAGGGAAATGTGGAAGATGAATTCTAATTTGTGTTTAAAAACTATCTAACTTCTAAAGATCTATTCAGACATTTTTTAGAAATTAAAAAAGAAGTTAAAAATAATTTAAATTTATTAAAAAAATAGTTTTATCAACCTTTTTTTGTACAATTTTGAGAAGGAAAAGTAATTTATCAATTTGACATCAAAATATGTTAAAAAACAAAACTTAAATTAAAACTTAACCATAATCGGAACTTAATTCTTTCTGTGTGCCCCACTTTCTGTGAGTTATTCCCGCCCACCTCGATTTTTTCTTGGCGCCCTTTTTTAATTTAGTTTTTCATTTTTTTTCTCATTTGCTCCACAAAGTTGTAGTTTGATGTTATGACCAGAGCGAGCTGGCCTGCGCCTGCCGTGCTCCTTCATCCATCTTCCACTATCTGTCCCTTTGGATAAACCATAATTACTTCCTTGAACTGCTGCGTTTTTGCTCCGTTTGCTCTCTCTCTCTCTCTCTCTCTCTCTGTATTCCTCGGCCTGTTTGTGTTTACTTCGCTAGCCAAAAAAAAAAAAAGTAGAGAGAGAAAAGAAGTGAAGAAAATAGTAGAGAAAGAAAACAAAAACCATTGAGCGGAAGTCCGAGATTGCCATAAGAGTGCTCTGGGTCCTATTGCTTCCGCTTTTCCTCATTTCCACCCCCACCCAATGCTTGAGCAGCGCACTTGGCCAAAAGAAAACAAACTTGTTGGATGAATATTAATTAAATGAGCTTAAGGAGTGGCCATAAATGCAGTTTGCATTTTGCATTTAGTAGTTAGCATTACTGCCTTGATGCATTTGTTGTTAATTAATTTCCTAGAAAAATACCAGAAGGGTTGCCATGACTTGAATGAAATTAAAAGAAAGATGATACAGTAGGCACGACAGTAGGGCAACAGTAACAACAACAACAACAACAACAGCAGCAGAAAAAGGTGTCACACCAACGCATCATTCTAGTTGCTCCTTTTGTGACTGTGTGTGAGTGTTTGCTAGTAGGCGGGTCACCAACCACCCTCCTCCCCCTCTTTTCTGTGAAAAGAGCAACAGTGTTGTCCTTTTTTTTCTTCTTTCTAACACTTTTTGTTGTTGTCTTGCCTTCTACTTTTGTGTGACGCCTACGCTGGCAGCTTGCTGTTGCCGTTGTTGTTGTTGTTGTTGTTTTTTATAGCTGTCACCTTTCGGAAATAATCATATATGTGTCAGCGGGCGGAGGAGGTGGACAGAGGCGTGGCAGGTCGAGTGGGCGGTTTCGGCAGCACTTCGCTTCGTTTGCTTTAGCTTTTCTAGTTTTTTGCCTTATATATATGTATATATGTACGGGTATACTTCTCCTCCAGCTGCTTCTTTTTCTAGCTATCTATTTTTCTTTTCGCATAAAGCACTCACACGCACACTCATACATACATAAGCTCCCAAACACACACACACACACACACCCGCACATACGGACACACAATGCAGGGCCGTAAAAAAATAGTAGTAGCTGCCCGAGCGCGTTTGGTTTTTCGTACGCTCTGGTTTTTACGCTCTAATTACGACTCCTACGACACCAGCTTCACCAGCATACCTACACCTCCTACAGCCCCTGTAATGCCCCACACCTCGCAAAACCTGTAATCCCCCATCCCCCCTTAGCAACCCATACACCCCCTAGCACCTGATGTGCAATTGCCATGGCGGCGGCGCTGTCTAAACAAGGCTCACTTGCTACTCCTACTGCTTTTTTTCTACCTCCAACCTCTAGCTTTCCCCCTCTGGATGCTTTCAATTTGCAATGGCTGCTGTCATTTCAGCTCAATAGCAGCTCACCTGCCCTGCCCACATTTCGCTAACGCCTTCACCCCGCCACCCTCTGCCCGTCACGCCTACCAATTCCGCCGCCATTCCAGCAGCTATCCAACCATTCGGTTTTAAATTGTTGTTTGCTTTAACATTTTTTTTCACATTTTTATCCCTCAACAAAAACATTTGGTAGCCAACGTAGGTTCAAAGGCTCAACTATTTCACATATTTTAGCACATATGTTATGATCAAAAATAGTTATATTTACTTATAAAGAATATTGCGTAATTCAAAGGTATTTGCTTTCCGCACGTAGTGATGAAAAATAGACATCAAGGGTCTTAAAAATATGAAAATTATTCATAATTCTTTAGGAGCTTTCAGCTTAACACGCTTTTTTTGGTAAATCAAAGAATTTATTTATAGGAAAATTATCTTCATCTTTGAATTAAAAATCCAATCCCATAAAGCTTGAGTTTCACAATTAAAACTTTTCAATTTTTAAGGGCCTCCTTTCATGAAAACCACTTGAATCGCCTTTAAATCTTTAACATTTTCATACACTGACTGCCCACCTTGTCGAGTGAAGTTTTTCATTCTTTTAAACTTTTCACTTTTCACAGAGTTGTTCAGTTATTTTACACATTTAATTGTTGTTGTTGTATTTTTTGGATGAAAAAACCTTAACCGCAGTTTTTATTGCGGCCAAAATGATTTTGTTGCGGCTGCCATCGATTTTAAATAATTGCACTAATTAAATGATGCAACAGTCGTGAGCGGCAAGCTTAATGCATTTTCCGTGCCATTCTAGGGTAGTGGCAATAAAATATTTTAATTGCGCTTTATGAAAAACATTTAGTAAATGAAAATTGTTTTTCTTGACTGCTCAGCCGGAAAGTAGGCAATCATTTCAGATCTTCCCCCTAGCATTGAAGATTTAAATTCCTTTTGGGAAATTTACTCCTCTACTTACACAAGCAACCAAACAGATACACACATACACTTCGGGGGAAGCCCTAAAGTGTGCAATTAATTTTATAATAATTAAAGTGAAACTCAACCGCACACACATTTATATAGAGTATATATACATATATCCGTTTTGGCTTTTCGCTGGCTAGCTGGGCTTGGCATGACCATAAACCGAAAATTTGTAAACCAAAACTATAATGAAATGCATATTTAGTTAATTTTAACTTACACCGAAAACTTTACTTAATTAGACCAACTTAAAGCCGCACAAAATGTGAAGAAACTTCGATGGGCAGCGAAGAGGATGAAAAGGGAGAAAAACAATGTTCCTCCCCTTTCCACCGAAAAGCCCCCCTTTTTTCCACTGGTATTGTGCATATTTTTGGTTCTTTTTTTCACTTTTTGCCGCTCTTTTCTCTCTCTTCAATATTTTTTAATGAAACCATAAAGTTTATAATTACCATAAAATTTACTTGTTCGGTTCGTTTTTGTCCTGAGGTTTCTTCATGATGGCAAAAAAGAAAAAAAAAACTTTAGTTTGACCTGGCACACACTCGCAATATTTAATGTATATAGCTGAGAGTGTGTATGTGTGTGGGTGGGCGTGGCATTTCATAAACTAATGCCAAAATGGTAAAAATTTATGGCAAGAAATATGAGAAACGAGTTGAACTCGAAAGTCCGGCACAAAAGGCACACACATGGCCATATGTGGTGACCCCTCTCTAGTTCGGCTTTGTTTTTGGCCAAACGTGCGAATATTTTTGCAACTTTTGGTCCAAAGTTGCACAGGAAATGGGTCTGGCATATGGTTGCCACCGGGCTAGGAGGACAGGAGGACATTAGGATAGCAGAATAGGAACCCCGGCCCTTAATCCCACCAACCCTACCCTCTAACCCTCTGCGCAGAATGCGTTTGCTTTGGTTTTTGATTTGTTTTTGTTGGCCTAGGCTGGAAAGAGTACGAGAAAGAGAGAAAGGGTTGCCTCTATTCGAACGAGCCTGCTGCTGCATGCAGATGCGAAAATATGCTTTATGTAGGCGCTGACACAGTGGGCGTGGCTGTGGTCAGGGGCGGAAAATTCAATTCAATTGTCAACAGCAACCAGCAACGAACACCGAACACCCAAAACACCCAAAGCACCAAATCACCCAACACCCAGCTCATCCTGTGGCCACAGACCTAGGCGCCAGTTTAGAGGTTTGAGTTTGGGGGTTACGGGTTTAGCATCTTTCCTGGTTAGGTAGGCAAAGGGCATGATGGGCCATGAGGCATGTTCCAGCACCGCTCAACTGCAGCACTCACACGTTATATAATGTGGCATCATTTTGTGGTCAGCATTTATGCAGACCATATACAATTTTTCAGGCCTTTTGTTGACATGGCTGCTTTTCGCCACCAGAACCGCCCTCACCCAACCCCTGAACATCCCGCCTCGTTTTTGCGGTTTATGTAGAGTGAACCCGCCTCTGACTTTTGACTGCAATGGAGCAGCCATTTAATGCACAAGCCATGTCAAAAGTCATCTGAGCAGGTGGCTCAAAGGAGGAGGAGAGCTCCTGCCATTGAACAACTCAATATCCTTTTGGGCGCAGGTTCTCCCCCCCCACTCCCCCTTCCCACTTTGCACTTTGCCCACTTTAATTGATTGTTATCGTGGTGGAGTCGAGTGGAATGGAATGAAGTGATGTACAGGTGGAGTGGTAGCAAGGACAGGGGCCATTAGCAGTGGCAAACAAAATAAACTGATACCGGGTCACGAGTCCTTTTGCCTGACTGCCGGCGCATGATGATTATTATTTCAGTCCATTGTTTTTTGTCCCCGTACTCACTCCACCAACGTTTTGGTTATTATTGTTATTGTACTAGTGGTTTTGCCATTTCAAGCATCTTTGGCTTGTCATGCGAGATACGTAGAAAGTTGAATGCTGAATGCTGAATGCTGAATGCTGACAACGGGGACATAACAATGGTAAAATGTATTTTTTAATTGTACTCCCGAGTAAAAACATATATCAAACCAAAACACAGCAGCTACAGGATGAAAACAACAAAAAACAAAAAAAAAACAAAAACAAAACAAGAACCATGAACTCTCCAAACTCTCGACTCTCAAGCGGAAATGGCAGACCAAAGACAACAACAAGAATAGCAATAATAATAACAAGTACATCTAGCAATGGCAATGGCAGCTCCCGACCAGCTTCAGATACACTAAGAGAAAAGTGGGTGGACTTAAGTGGGAATAAAACGTCTTTTAAATCTTTAAAAATATATTTGCCTTTAATGACAGACTTCAGCTTACTGCCAATATTTTATTGATAGATCCCTTGAGGTATGTCCCAAAATCACGGAAAAGAAACCTTTTCTTTATTAAAATTTGTTTTCTAAAAATAGAAAATAATTATTCCCTGGGAGATATGCCAACCAAAATAATGAAGACAATAAAGATAACTTCACAGCCATCAATCATGCCAATCCGATCAGTGTCATGTGCATATTTTTGGTTAAAAACCCGAAGACACCCCTAGTTTTTCTCCCCATGTAGCTGCCTCACAAATGTGAGCTCTGGGAACGGAGGCATCGTCAGGGGCAGAGGCAGCCTCAAGTGGCGCTTAATGAAAGCGCAACAGACAACGGCAGGACCACAGGAACACGACCACACGACAACTGAGCGGGACAGGATCTGGGGGGGGCGGAGCTAGGAATCTAGGGGGACAAGCAGGAGGAACAGAGACGAGAAGAGGCAGGACAACTAAATAGGCGAACCGCAAAAACTCATCGTCAAGGAGCGAAAGATACGGCCAGCGGGACAAAATGGGGGAAAAATAGATGGGGAATCCAACTATGCAGCAATAATAAAATTCACGGGAATTGAGATGAAAGCACCGAGCTAGCACAGTCCGTAGAAGGACCTCAAGCCGATGCCGGATTCGGATCCGTACACAGACCTTCGTCCGCCGTTCTGTGTCCTCCGGAAAAGGAGCCGCTCGAACTGTGGCTGGGGCTGTCACTTAGCGCGTGACATGTGTCAAAACAAGCGGCAACCACAGCGAGACCGTGACCAGAAGCTCTGAGCCTGCTGCACAAGTGCATCTCTGGCTGTGTTCTGGGAGTGCTGTTAATATCCTCCCACAGGAGTAGTGAAATGGATTTTGGGGGCGGGAGAAAGCCTGAAAATCGAGGCGGTGGCGCACTCAGTGTGGGAGTTGCCCGAGCGGAAGAAGCCTAAACCAAAAGGAGATTGACTTTAAAATTAGAAAACAGGCCAATACTCGTAGGAAAACAAGAGCCTTGAAGAATGAAGGAGCTTCAAAAACTAATCCTTAAAAACTTGTCATGGAAAAAGGAGAAATAATATTCCTGAATGCATTTTGAAAGGAATATTTTCATATTGGTTTTTCAATTTAGCTTTCCAGGATGTCATTCAATTTTCCAACTCTTTTAAAACAGTCACCAAATCAAATCCTCTTTGCTCACCATTGTTTCGTTCTAAAAGGCACTATAGGTTCGTTATTTTTTCAACGTTAGTATAGAACAAAGTTGAGAGAACAAAACTAGTTATTCATTTATGCAATAGCTTTAAAAGCTGCCGCTCCTGAGTGGAGGAGATAGCGTTCCTTGTTTGTTAAATATTTCCATTGCATGTGCAGCAAACATTTCTCTGGCTCTCTCTCGAATTGGACACCCAACCACATGGAGTTCAAATATCCTGAAGGGATTCGCAGTTCAAGGATCGCTAGCGGGGAGTTATCGTTTGCGTGATTTACACTCCCAATTGCATGGCAATTACAAGTCCATTAACATTGCCATTAACCCTTCGAGTGCCCTCCTCCAACAGAGAGAAGAACACAGAGTAAGAGATGGAGTGCAGCACAATGGATACAATGGCCAGTGGCGATTAATGGTCAAGCAGGCGAGAGCTATTTATGGCCCAGGAAGAACCCATATTACTTTGACAAGGACAAACTGTTGCCTGCCTCTTTGGAAATCTTCACCCATACTTCAACCTTTACCAACTCCCTCCCACACACACACACACAGTTTTGTGTTGTAAATAATCACAAAACTCAGTCGCTCCCCAAGATAGTGTCTCTTCGGGTGGCACCCACCCCCTCGTATCCTTCCGGTTTGTGTTTGTCAAATAAGCAGCTTTCCTCAAGTGCCAAGTACCATTGACAGCAACCCGGAGAACTCCTTCGAGAAGGAGGAACATGGATCTCACCTCCCGAAACTGCTGCCAGTGTGTGTCTGTGTGTGCGGTCGCAGTGCATAATGGGATTTTGGTTTATTAATTAACCAACTTTATGCCTGCCAAATAGAGAGCACACGACCAAGACAGCTTGGACCACAACTAGGTATCATTGCCATCTTTAGTGGAATTGAATTAAGTGAGGTTGCCACACACACACACACATATATATATATAAACGCACCCAATCACAGATATATCGATTGCCACCACAACGCACACATTGTCATATCGAGCATACGTATGCGAAATGTGCAAATAAAATGCACAAAACTTTGATTTATTTCCACGTAAAACAAACATTGAAAAGGCTCAACGTCGCACAGTTCAAATACACAGATGGGGATGCCGTACGTAATCCCAGGTAGGACCTACCTACATACGAGTACCCAACCCAAAACCAACTCCCATCCACAATCCGACGATTTCGTCCTTTTGCCGCTGCCTGTTTATGTGTACACATTCATTAAAATGTCGAACATCGAAAGTGCCTATTCAGGTTGTTGCCACGCCCACGGCATACACTAGCGCACACACACACACACATGCATACTCACTCGCACACTGTTGCAATGGCAACCTGCAACTGCAACATGCAACCTGCAACTGCATCTGTATCTGCAAATAATTGTCAGCTTACTGACTCGCATTCAATGCAGCAGTCAAAATGCAGCTGCATTGTAGCAGCAACCAAAATGAAACAATCACGTGCTCCGTGAGATCTATGCAAGCGTGCTATAAATGCACGTGAAAGTGGGATCCAAAGTGGGATTTCAAATGCTGAATTCTGGTCTGGCCCCCCAAAAAAAAAAATAAAATCAAGGGGAGGCTGCTGCGGCGGAAGTCAAACGGTATTTGTAATGAAAACAGGGGCATGTATATGCTGCAGCTCCCTTTTGCTCCACGTTGGAAAAGGGATTTTTCTCTTTTTTTTTTCCAGTTTTTGTTTTTTTTGGTGCATTGCCAACGCACTTCAGTATCAGGGACATGGGGCCAGAGCAGGCAAGAGATATTTGAATTGTGCAGGGAAAAACAGAGAGAGAGAGGGGAAAGCTGGAAAATTTTAGCTGCACATGACGCGTGATTTATGTATTTTCGTCAAATGGCAGCCACCGCAGCAGCAGCAGCAGTAGTGGGACAAAGCTGCCATGAAATGCTAATGATGCCATGCCTCGGATGCTTTCATAACCCACCAACGAGTGACGCACTGCACACGAACAGCAAACGAACATACACACACACATCTTTACACATATACCAGACATACATACATACATACATATATGCATATGGCAGTACTAACCCTGTTTTATGTCCTTTCGCACCGCAGGATCACAAGCTGAAGCACATGGCCGAACTGCAGCAATCAGTTGTCACCGATCAGGAGACGCGTCATCAGATCCAGACTCAGATACTGCAGTGGGAGGAGAACCTGGAGCGGCTCCATTGTGAGCAGTTCCGTCTGCGTTGCTACATGGCCTCGCTGCAAAGTGGCGAGCTGCCCAATCCGAAGGTGAGTTATGGCCCCAAAAACGACTCTCGACCAGTGCCCCCAAATTCGAACTGTCAGGGAGATAAGTCAAATGCAATTAATGGCGGATGCACTACGTTCTGGCGGCTTTATAATTCATCCTGAACGAGGACAGTAGTTAGGGCAAAAAGTATTGCCTACATTTTGGGGCATCTGAGGGAAATCGGAAACTTTGGTATATTATTGAATAGTGCTCTTTGCAGACTATTCACAAATTAATTTAAATAATAGATACGCTTAATGCTTTATTCTTTATGTCCCAATTATGTGACTAGCTACGTGCGTCATCAAAATAAACAAAATCTGTCAGTCTGAAATTAGAAAAATTTTTTGACAACACCAAAAATGTTTAAAATTTAAAAAGCTGGTACAACGTGTCCGATTACAATGATTTAATTTATTTTCCAGGCTGTTAAAAAGTCATAAAAAGTAGTCCGCTCTTATTCTAATATGTGAGCAACCACAATGAAAAAACTTTTGCCCTAAAATACTTTTTCTACATGATGTGAGCTAATCCTATTAAAAGGCAAAACTTTAATTAGTGAAAATTAAATAGTATTAAAAGCTAAAACTTAAATTACAATTATGCCAGAATGCTTAGGCATTATGCTTAACTATAAAAAATCAATTACTAAAGGTAAATAGATTTCCTTTGCAAATTTTGATTTAGCTTAAAGCCTTCCATTGTTGTTTTCATGGAGGCTCTAAAAATTGAAGATTAATCATAAAATTCACTACAGAACAAAACTTGATGAACCACTTCCTCTAATCACTGCTCAATGCCAGAACAATGCCAACGTAAAGCCACCACAAGGCTTAAATTTACTACGCTTCAGAGAAACATCAAAAGCAGATTCACAACCTGGTCGAGAGCTTAAGACTGGCACAATGGCATTGGACCAAAATCCCGCCTAACAACAATATAGCCCCAAAACCCGTTTACAATTCCGTTTAGAACCCTTTACGGGTTCGAGTAGTCTATAATTACCTCTACCTATTTGCACAATGGCCGTGGCAAGGGCAATTCAGTGGTACGCTCTTAGAAAATCAAAACCCAAACATGCACAATTAATCTCCATAACAAAAGTTTAAGCATCTTAAATGGGCTTAAAGGCAACCATCGCTGGCGCCAACTGTTGGCAACCTTAGAAGGATTTGCGAGCTCCAACTGACTGACTGGCTGACTGACTGAAAGGGTTGAAAGTTGATTGCGCTTTTAATGGCAGGCTGGTATAAATAAGGGTTGGGTAGGAGTAGGTAGTTCGGGGGGAGGGTAAGTGCAGTTGTGTGCCTGAAAAGCAACATTATTTATTATTAATAACCACAAAATGCAAACAACTTCAGCACCTGTGAAGAGAACAACTTCAGTCGACTGCAGGATGCCAAAGGCTTATTTGCATAGGTGTAGGAGTGTACTCTGACTGCTCTCTCTCTCTCTCTCTCTGTCTGTCTCTTTGAAAGGATCGTAAATATAACGAAATTAGTTGCGGGGCACAGGGTGGGGGTCGGAGTCTTGGGACCATGTCCCCAAAAATAACTTGTATTCACATTTAATTTGAAACTTTTTACATTCGTCATTTATTCAACAGTCGCTGCTCACTCACGTGTCGCGTCCCACGAAGAACACGCTTAACAAACTGGGCGTGTTCACGGTCTCCTCGTTCCACGCCTTCATCTGCGCCCGGTCGCCGTCGCTGCTCAACAACCTGCTAGCTGGTCGCGGGGCTACCAAACGGCGACCGCCAATGCTGTCGCGGTCCAACAGCGGCTCCAGTCGTCGCTCCATGCAGGTGAGTCCAATTCCACAAATACTAAAGGTGTGTACACTGGGGAAAGGTAACCTGAAAGCTGAACAAATTATCTAAGAAGACGAACCAATGAATATATACATGAATTTATATCAAATTTATCAAACTGAGGGTTACTTTTCGCTGAGTGTATGTATATATAAACATTTATGTGCGTTCATGGTTGTCCCCGCATCAATGTGTGCATTTATGTGCGGCCACGGGGCGTATGGGTAATAAAATTATATCAATTTTAAACGCATTTACGGCGCAGCTCGTGACTGTTTGTGTGTTTATGGCTCGCTTGCTCTCTTAATGTACGTGTATATGTGTTTCTCTGTGTGTGTGTGTGTGTCTGAGTAATTGAATTTTTATTTAAGGCAACGGAAACGGCATTAAAAGCTAAATTGAGCGCTAATGCTTAAATGGATGGCCACCAAAAAATATGTCGACCAACCACGCCCCTGTCCATTAGATTTTCTGATTTTTTTCTTTTTGTATATTTTGGCTTTTATAATTTGCATTTAATGGCCATCAAAAATTACAAAAAGAATAATGAAATTTATGAAGGGTCCTCGGTCTCCTCCTCTCTCTCTCTAGTTGCCTTTCACAAGAAAGAAAGGCAAAAGAAAAGCCGCGGAATGGAAAGAGAGGAAAAATACCCAAAGTTGACTTGGCAAAAGAAAATATTTGCATATTTTAAGTGAATAATGCAGGAGTCCATTTCAAATGGTGATCAGATGCCGCCCCTGCCCCTTGCTAATGACCTCAACACACAATCAAATCTAAATCAAGTCGAGAAGTCCGCTCCGTCCGCAAGGAATAAAGAGATGTTTTAAATTCCAGCAAATAGCTCGAAGGCATTATTATATACAGATATATCCACCTCACTGTGGACAATGTCGATTAGCAAGACTCACTTGGACTGTTCGTTAAGCTTCAATTAGTATAACCAATTTGTGCATATCTCGTGTTTGTAATGAAATTCATTTCATAAATTCAATTTATTTCGATTATTGACAAAATAATCTTGTGCACAGCTCGGATTTCATGGGGCTCAATCTCGTCCGCTCGTCCGCTTGGCCATGCCCAGCGCACACTTCATTTTCAATTAAATTCGCCAACGCAGCACAATTGCCTCCACCCCACCCACACATAGAGTTTTCAGTTTTCACCTTCTATCAGCAGTCACGCTGCCATTGGGTTTGACAAAAAAAAAAAATAAAAAATAAAAATCAAAATGCATTCGCATTCGTATTGCCATGGAAAAACAAATGAAATGAAATAACATAAATGAGAGACCCAAAGCTTCACTGCACTGCATTGCTGTTGCTATTGTAAATGCGCTGCAAATTCAATGAATTTGAAAAATGTGCATTTGATTTGGTTCATATATTTTCACCCCTGCCATCCCCTACTCTCTCCTCCTACTCCCCCCAAAAAAAAATAAAACCTTACTAACGCTGCCGTGTAACTGCATTTCACTTGGCCATTTTTCGTACATGTCAACTGCAATGCAGCAGAAATTGCAACTGCAATTCAGAAATGGCAAATAAAATTAAAGCTTTCCAAAGCAAATTATCAATTGCCAGTTGGCCAGTTACCAGTATATGGCAAGCTGGAATAACCATCACGCAAAAGTTGAAATATCCCTGGCTAAAATTTAATTAAGCTGTCCATCGAGAACGGCAGTAAGCTGAAATTTTCCTGGCCTTAAGGGGACTCAGTCAGGAACAATCAAAAGTTAATTAGTCAGTGGAGTTAAGTGGGCGAGAGGCGTTCGTGCAGAATTAATCGTCTTTTCAGGGCCTTCAATCTACCAAACAGTACAAATGTGAGGACAATTGTGGTACTCGAAATCAGGAACAGATAGATTAACATTTACCCATCTTGACAATGGAAGTCGAAAAATTCATTTTTAAGCTGTTAATTTACCAAAAACTTTAAAGTTTTGTTTAAGTTTTTGATCAGAAAAATGCACATCAAATATTTCTTTTCCAAATATAAATATTTCCTTCTCAAGCCACAAAATTTAAAAGTGAAAACTGGTTTTTTATTTCTGATTCTACCCTCTTTTTCTTCAGCTTTTTCGTAAAATCCACTTTTCCGATATGAAAGGGAAAACTTCACATATATTTCCATGAATATAAAGTTGATATATTTGCCCTGGCATAATGATCTCGTAATCGATATGCAAAATTGTTATGCAATGCAAATGCAAACGGAGCTTCACCGTCAGTTCTTGTAGCTGGGATACGAGTGAGAAGCAGCCTTTGCCTTTGCCAACTGCCAAACTAATTCAATTGTCCTGCCTGTGCATGGGTGTATGGGTGTGTGTGTGTGTGTGACTGTATTACCTGGCCAGGACCTCTTGCAGTGTGGAACTGCTGCTGCCAACTTAAACGAACGAACGAACCCATTGCCAATGGCTGCCAATACAAATGCAATTTCCAGCAGCCGACAACTGGCAGCTGGGCCACCTGATTCGTTTACAGTTGCAGTTGGCAAGGAGCATGGCCAGCAGGATGAAGAGGAGAGATGGTGATGCTGTAGCCTAGGAGCAGCAGGAAGCCTCATCACGGAGTTAACATTGGATGACGATGACGTTGTGGAAACGGTTAAGCATTTTAACTGAGTTTTCTTCAAACTCAACTCGGTGCGGCAGCAGATCCTGCTGCATGTCCGGATCCGCGACTGCTTTTGGTGCAGCATGTGCACTGAGAGAAAATAAGTGCTAATAAAATAAGAACAAGAAGGAAATTCTGAGTATAAGAATCGTTACCGTAACTTTGATTGACCTTAAATTTTGAATTTTCTGTTGAACTTTTTGGCCGCCTTTAAATAAAAGTTAACTCAGCTAATAGAACCTTGATTTCCAGCCAATTATTTAGATTTTAACCGGATTTTTTTCTCTGTGTGGCTTTTACCGATGCCTGAGCTACTGCTGGCGACATTTTTCATTACATTTCAGGGGGTCGAGGGGCAACGACTGCGGGTACAAATGTGTGTGTTTGCTATTTTTCAATTTTCACTTCCGTGTGGCCATATTCGAGAATCTGCCAGGGTATGGGTTTGGGGTGTATATATATGTATATCTTTAAATGTATCTATGTGTGTGTGTGAAAGCCTCGCAAATGTCTGTGCCTGACTGCTTAATGACATTGTACGTGTACATATATATCTGAGCGTGTGTGTATATGCCTGTTTATCCAATCGAATTTTCTGCCTTTTTCCAGATGAATTCACGTGACGAACCGGAAAAAACTTTCAAAGTTGCAATGCCCGACAATGCTTACTCGACAGTTTATCTACGTGATGCGATGTCTGTGGAGGAATTCCTCGCCAGCGCCTGCGCCCGTCGCAACCTCAATCCCATGGAGCACTTTGTGCGCGTCAAGAAGCGACGTGACATGGAGGATCACAATTACTTTGTGCCGCATCGCAACGATCTGATTGAAAATTATGTAAGTACATAATCAAAGACAGAACCCCTACCACCTTAAACTAACTAAATTCCTTGGAGGTTGGGTGCTTACGAGGGGGTTGCCAACTTCAAGTTCAATTCAACTTATCGAATTTAACTTGGAAATTGCGTGTGTAGCTGTGGAAATGGAATTTGAAAACGTGGCAAGGGTGAAGAAGTTCAAGGAGTTGGGTGCAAGATGCCTTTGAGTTACTGCAAATTTAATGAGAGTTCCTTGCACGAGCTTACTTCCAATTAAATTATTAAATTTATGTAAAGAATTTATAATCAAGCATGAAGTGAGTTCTTGGACTTTTCATGGTTTGCTACTCACATTCAGGGAAAATGAACAGGAAAAACAAGCATATTATTTACACACTGTTTAGCTTAAAGAGAGCTCTGTTGGCCCTGAATGACCTGTAAAGTGAGCCACTAAAACCCATTTTAGCTTAAATTTAATAACTTTACAAATTGGATTACAAAAGCTAACACTTTCTATTACCTAATCTCCAAAGCACCGCTCAGATTTCACTTTAAAACAAAGAACTTTTTCCAAAAGTACTCTTAATATTTTTCACACACCAAAAACTACTATGCTGTTTGAGATTTTCAGATAAGTCCCTTTACCTCCTGCAGAAACTACTTGCAACAAAGTACCCAATTCCACAATTAGCTCATCTCCACACCCACTCGGCACATTACTCTTCGATTTCCAAAAACATAATGCCATAAATTATGAACTTTCCCGTTGGCCATTTCCCTTTTCCCCTTCAGTTGGCACACGATTAGTCTAGGTGAGACTTTAGCCAGCTGCCAAGTCAGCCGCTAGCTGAAAACTTTCGAACCTCTGGATGGGGAGCCCCCCTCTTCCTTAACCCCTCTACCTAACTAACCGAACTCCGACCTCAACAACAAGCTAGTAAATATTAGCCCGGCCAGGCCAATTGGCAAATGGCAAAAATGTGCAACTGCAACTGCAAATGGAGTTGGGAATGAGAGTGCCGATGGGCCATGGGCGTTTCAGTGGGCTTGATAAAAAGTTTCTTTCGCCGGTGGCAGTTCAATAAATTTCGACAACAACTTGAGCCAACTCCCAGTAACTCCACTCAATCAATTTCGGCCCTTACCCCAACCAATGATTGGTTGCGTAACTCGGCTAATTTGGCACTTAACTCCCACTCAAACTCACTTTCCATCGATCTGTCCTTCCACATGGGTGGGAAATGTTACCAAAATTATGTTTAAATTTTAAAGATTTTCCAATTTTTAATGTTTCTCTTCATTGCAGCTACATAATCATGAGTTTGTGGAGGTCTGCATGAAGATCCTGTACCAGGTGGAGCTGCATCGCACCACTCTCGAGCAGATGTGGGGCTTCTCTGTGGAAGCGGAGCTGATCGAGAACGCTGAACGCCAGGACGAGCTATGCTGCTATGTGAGCCGCGTGGAAGACAAGAGTGTGGCCATGCACAATGGTGAGTACAAAGGACGATTTCCCTTTTGCCTTTGAGTCCATCCAAGACAGACATGACAGGACGAAAATGGGTTTTGACACAAATCGTATTCAGGCGATGAAATCGTGCATTTAATTTATGCCATTGAGGTGACGCAGCGGAACGCAAGGAAATGAAATAGAGTCTTTGTCTTCGCCTCTAAGGATTGAAGGCTCCACTCTCTTCCAGTCTTCAGTCTCCAGTCCACTTTACTCAACTCCATTCACCTGGCGCCCCGGGCGAAACAATGTGGCCCAATGTTGCCGAGCAAAATTATAAAGTGCCCAGGTAGTAGCCCCCGCCCACTGCCGCCTGCTCTTTTCTGTAGTTGTGTGAGCTGCTGCTTTTATATTTAAATGCTTTTCACTTTTATGTCACAAAAAAAAAAAACGAAAAAAAAATGAGGAGAGCACAAGACGAAACTTGAGCAAACTCACTTTGGTCTACAAGGGAGACCGAGTCGAGTCAAGTGGAGTTTGAGCCCGAAAAGAGGAGAAGGAACAGGAGGAGCAGGAGGAGAAGCACCTCAGGGCGTGCAATGCGAAAAGTCAACTGTCAGCGCTTGTTCCACCTGGTAAATGGGTGGTGGCCAGGTGGTTTTGCGACGACGACGACGACGACGACAACGATGACGATGATGGTGATGAGCAGCGCACTCGAAATGTTTGCCAGGTGTGGGCGACGGTTTACTTCGGCTGCGGCAACGGCGGCTTCCAGGTCCTTAAAGGGGTTTTCCTCGAGAGTGAGCCGTCTCAGCATCCGAGATCCCACCTCAACCGCCCTCCGCTGTTGTTTTTCTATCACTTAAAATCAACTTAAGTTGGCATTTGCATTTGCCGGGTACGACGGCAACGACAACGCCATGGAGTCAAGTGGATGTAGTCGAAATGCCACTAGAACAGCGCCTTAAATTATGGAACTGACATCTCCCCTCCCCTCCACCTGACATGCCATTTTCCCACAAATTTCCCTTCAGGTGAGGGAAAACTGCAGTGCTGCACTTGGCAAAGTGATGAACCGAAAGAACATTTCATGCTGCAGTAACAGCAGAAAACTCATTAAGCACGTCGAGTGCGAGTGGCGCTCATTTGGTTGGTTTTTGAAGGCGACAACGAATCAAAAATCCATGAAACAATGCGCACGAAATTCTCCGGAAGGAGTGCCTTCTCCTTACTCCGTAAATAAAAAAAAGAAAAAACAAGAAGAAAAACCAACCACACAGGGGGGAGGCAAAAAGTTGGACTGCCAACAAAAATGAAAGAAAACCGGGAAGAGTGAAAAAAAAATGAACAGGAGAGTGATGAGAAGTTGTGCTAATGAGTTTTACGATTGAGCAAATGTTGCATTCGTCGGCAGGGAAATGCAGGAAGCCTTAGCTTAATTAAATTACGGCAAATTGGCACTGAAGTGGTTATAAAATTGATCTTATTGCATCAGCCTGAGTTAACAGGTCAATTAGGTAACTTTTTTTAACATAATTACCTAGAAATATTACGTATACGAGGGGATGGACTAATGGAATGCAGACTATGGGTGATATTGACCATTTTTAGATAGTTTGACAACATATTCATATCAATATTAACAAGTAAAACATATATTGAAAAGAAAACATTCTATTAACTAAGAAGTTTTAGAGATACCAGTAGCATGAAAAAGCTTTCATTGTACTCTGATTCCTTAGTATCGATACTTAACCATATCTATGCTGATTGCCTGGCTTTGGCAGCATTTGGCCACAAATATTGCGAATACATTGTATTGGGCTTTAAGTGCGGCTTTAAGCCCTCTACCGTTAGCGTTATCTGGGCAGCTCTCGGCGAGAATATCCCCCACTCATTGTAGTGGCGTGTGTATGCATAAATTAAGGACTCAGGACTCGCATTTACATTTGCAAAACGCAGAACGCAATAGGAAACTTTCTGTCCCCACCCAGGATCTCATCCAAGTTCGCTCCCTTTTTCGCCACTAACCGGAGATGATTGAAGGGAAGAGAAGGGGTGCAGGGAAAGCAGGGGCAGCAGGGGAAAATGAATGGAAGTCCGGGCACAATTGAATTTAATGGCTATTAGCATGTCGAAAGACGCAACTCTTAAGCAGCAACCGCAAAACAAAGCTCGGACAGGCTGGAAGACAACATTTACGACCGAATTGCACAGAAAGTTCGCCCAATGAAGACCGGGGAGCGTGGCAAACAAAAACAAATCCTGACCGCAGCTTTCAAATGCAAATGTGGCTGGGGAGCGGAAAATTCTGGCCACTTTTGCTTGGCTAATTGTGGAATGGTAACGAACTGCGAGGAAATGCTCTGTGGTTCTGATGAAGATGCTCAAACTCAAGGCAAAAACCCTTGGCTTCCTTAAGCATAAGTCTTAAAGTCTTCGGGGTTTTGTTTGGCCAAAAAACCCCTTCAACCTCTAGCTGATTTAAAACTGCATCTTATTCGTTGGCTGCAAGTGCAGAAAGTTCGGCACTTCTCATTGGAGTGCCAGAACTTTAGCGCTGAAACAAGCGTGGCAAAGCATTTGGCAAACATGGAATAACAATTTGCTCGAGCTTCATCTTTTTTTTTTTGGGCCAGGCCAACTGGAAAACAGTGAAGCAGGAAAGCAGCAAAGCGAACGTGTTGACAACGCATATGTCGGGGCCAAAATCGGAGCAAAAAGTGGATATAAGGGGATAAGGCATCGGAGCCACCGCAATATAAATAAAATTTGTCTTTCTCCCAGAGCCAGAAATAATCCCCCGGATAAAGTACAGAACGACACTTGCATATACCATATATCTGGATAGATATATATATATATATGTATATCCGGGGTATGTGCATTTTATATGGTAAATCGCATGTGTCATGCCTTGCCAGCATTAAGATGTAAAAATCCGTTTAAATTGTAACAAATGCAGGGGGCAAGCTCCCTTCGAAAAACAGGAGCAGAAACGAAGGTGTAACATGGGTAAAATATTGCCACAAGGCGGGCTATATACATATATATATATATATCTGTCTATCTACCTATCGAACTTTTGCCCTAAGAAAATGTTGCTCCTGCTGCACCAACAATGATAAGCGGCACTGGCAACTTGCAGCAACCGAACTGCAGGCAACTGAAATGCATGTCGTCAACAGGAAGAATGGTAGGGAGGGGAAAGGAGAGGGCTAAGACAGGTCGAAGCAGGCAACAAGGAATAACCAACATCATGGCTAGAATAAATGCTGTAGAAAACACTGGCAGCGACTTGGACAAACACACACATGATAGACGAGTCATGCAGACAAAGTAGAAAATGCTAACGAACGCAGTGCAGATATAGAAAGAGAGACACAGAGGGAAAAGGCTATATAATATCAAGAAAATGCAACCAATTATTTCTTTAATCAAGGCTTGCCAACAAAGAGATTTAAGATCTCTAGTTTAAGCTATGTTTTTGTGGGCTTGAGATCATGAAATGAAGTCAGTCTTAAAGCAGTTTCTGTTTTTAATCTTGCTTCTTCTCTCAGTGCACCGATGGCGCTGGGATAACGTGGCGTATGAACAATGCAAAAAACCACAATGCTCTTGTTGTTATTGTTTTACGACCATAGAAGCTGCACTAGCAATAGCAATAGCAGTTGCAACAGCAGCAGCAGCAGCAGCTGAAGACATTCCGCTTATCGTTTGTTACATAAAAGATGTCAGTGGTCCACAGCAGCCGCACAATTGTCAGACATTGATTCCAGCCGCATAGAACCACCTTGATTGCTAGGCAGCATTAGATCCCGCCCCGAACAGAACCATAAACCATTGTCTAAGGCTATCGGGGAATGATGGTAAAGAGCTAGCTAGGAACGGTGGACTGAAAAGTAACAATGACCGTGGCAGAAACTCAACCTACATATGTATATGCAACATTTATATACGAGCATGTGTTTTGTATAGTATCCACAACTAACGCTCTTCCCATATTCCACCAATTGCAGGCATTATCAAAGGAGACGAAATAATGGTCATCAATGGTGCAATTGTGTCCGATCTAGATATGATGTACTTGGAGAGCGTCCTGCAGGAGGAACAATCGCTCAGCATGATGATGCGGTAAGTTATGACAGCCACAGACCATCATCATTGTTCTTGTTTATGCCCTGCTTAACATCTGTTTCGATGTTTCCTTGTTTTGTTTCGTTCGACTGGCTTGAATGGCGATAAAGTATACGCCATGTGTCCGCTGGGCTAGCTCTACGTCCGTTCACTCACCATGTGGGCGCGCATACGATGGCCATTGTTTAAATTTCAGTTACACGGATTAATTAACTATTTTAGTCACCCTGGCCTCGCCCAGGCCAGGCTGTCAATTAGCTTTAGGGCTCTCCGTGACAGCGTAATGCAATATCTCGGCCATTGTTCTACCATTGTGTGGAAATTTGTGTCCATTTCCCCACGTTTTATATGGCTCATAAAGTTGAAGGCAAAACGGCTGACTGACAGTTTTTCAGCTGATTTCATTCCAATAACACTGCTGGCAGCCACATCAGCAAAGAGATCTTCATTAATAGCAATTTCCAGCTTTAAAATAAAAGAAGGAAGAAAAAAAACATAAAGCTGGAAAATAAAACCGCAACCTGCAGCTGCTGATGTTGTTAATTAAAAACATTCTGTGCAGAGCTTTCTAACTCTGACATCACTCAACCGACTGGCCCACAAGCCACATCAAGTTCGCACACACCCCAGAATGTCAACAATCGACAAGCTTTGCCAATTTTTGATGATGTTACACCATAAGAAGTTTCCCAGCAACCAGCAGAGCCAAAAAAAAAATATCTGAAAACTAAACCAATGGCAGAAATTGTTTCGCAACAAATCGGAAAAAACCCCCAAAAAAAAAAAGGAAGGCGAGTGGCAACAAAAAAAAAAAGATGTTTGAACCGAAAAATGTTCCATGTACATTCTCGAACCATTTTTGGTTTATAGTTTTTCAGCAAAGTCAACAACAAGTTCAAGCCGCAGCTGGAAAATGTTAGAGTGGGGGGAAAGGAAAACGTTTGGAAAACGTGGAAGGGGCAATGGGGAGACAAGCCGTAACCCAAACACGTTGCCACTTCACGTTCTCTCGCTTGCCATGCAGTTAGAACGTGGTCGGTGGGTTCACTTGGTTCCGTTTCGTTGACCAGCCAATCCCCCATCCTCAACCCCATTTTCCCAACCTCCTCTTTCCCTCCTACATCACCTTTCGGGGCGAGCCGAACGGCATTTTGATAGCCTAATTAGCTTCTCTTTATGGCAAACGAAAACAGAAAAGCTTTTGTGCTAAGCGTTTGTAGAGCCAAATGCGCCCGTTCCTGCCCAGCTTCAACTCTGCTCATTCCGTGACCCCCAACCCCCAACCCCCAAAAAACATCCTTGCCAGCCGCCAGTCGTCCATTCAAATTATGCACGTTGGGAGCATTTTCCGCATCTTTTGCTAATTTCGCGCACTGACACAGAAAAAGGTCACGGCAGTCCGCAGTCGGTAGTCCGGAATCCATTCCAGGTGTCGCTATACGTTCATTTGTTTGGATTTGTCAGGAGGAGGGTCACAAACGTAAATTATGCAAATATTACACCGTGCGAAATCTGTTTAAATATTTTGTTAAATAAACAAAGATGCTGGGAAATTGTAGGAGAACTTTAGAACTTTAGATAAAATCATTAATTAAACTTTCTTTACCATGAGCACTTATGATTTCTTTATTATTTTCCAGGCTTTTAATAGTTTTAATAGTTGCTTTAGCTAGTTTAATAAACTTTTTCCTCTTTTCAAGCTGTATAAAAAAATCACAAAATTTAAATCTTAATTAATATCGATTTCATGGGAATACATACAGATGTTGTTCGGCATTAATACTTTTCCTTTACTAAGTGGGTCAGCCATAAAAATTATGCTAATACCTGGTTATAATCTCTTTTTCAACCCTGTTTCCTTTACTCAATCCGCAGGTCTTCGCGCACAGAGCCACCAGATCTAGTGGGGATCATGAGGGTAACGGACGATATGATTGACTCGCTCGTTTGCCCGCCGCCACCCACAGATCCGCCAGTGATGAGCGAGGAGATGATAACTGGACTGATTGTTCCGGCCCCCGGTTGGAGTAAGTACCACCCAATGCCAGAATATAAAATGCCGAATACAGATTGCCCAAAATGCAAAATGCAGCCAGGCAAAACCGAAAGAATTCTCTACCGGGGTAACCTCGAAATTGTTGTATGCGAATTCGGCCGTTTTTAAACATTTAAGCTGGAAAAGTGGGTGTAAAAAGGGGAAAACAAGAGGAGGATAAAACCACAGGCAGCATTCATCAGCCACTCGTACAACAAAAGCATACTAATCACGGCTATGGTTACGGTTCCGTGTCCGTATCCGTATATATGGCTTGGGGTCCGGTTATACGAGCCTTGACGTTGAGGTGCGTCCCTATACCTCTCTTGCCTCGCAGTATCCTTTATCCCTGAATGCGAATATGTATATATGTATGAATGTGTGTGTGTGTGTGGCAGGAAACGAAAAAGCGCATTTCCGGGCATGCATGCGAATTTGTAAAGTTCATTAAAGTAATTTATATTTTTTTTTTTTTGCATTAAATGCTGGCTCTAGACAACGGCCAGCGAGAGAGATGGCAACAGAGTGTGCGAAAGAGAGCGAGGCATTGAATGTGGGTGTACAACGTGTACAACAACAATTACATCAATAAGTAAAGAGGGAAAGAGAGGCGTGTGTGTATATGTGTGTATGTGTGTCGTTTCGCAACAACCAACTACATAATTACAGGATTACAAACTGCAGCATACATATGAGCGCACACACCCACACACGCTGCACTGCACTCAAAAAGCCGAAGTGGCTAAGAACACAAAACAATTAAAGCCAACAAACGCAACAGCGGCAAACAGCAACAACAACAGCATTCCACAAAATGAAACTTTTTTGTTGCGGCAAACAATTAAAAGGCACAGAACGAACACTAAAAAAAGAATTAAAATAAAAAATATAACAACAAAACAAAAATTGTAGCAGAAATTAAACGACTCTCTATATATGCACGCATATGTGTGAAAGTCGCCTCTGAGAGTGTGTGTGTGTGTGTGTGTATTAATATTTATTTCTCCATTTTAATACATATAAATTTGTATATGTATTCTTTTTTGACACACATCCTGGTGGCTCAAAAAGTTGGCCAGCAAAGAGAAGGGTAGTTAAAACGACAATGAAAAAAGCAGACAAAAGCAGAGTAACTGATTACAGGGAGCCAAAACCAATTTTCAATTAAATTTGGCCAGCAAAAAAACGAGCTTATTGATACCATAGCTCACCTGAAATCTTGCCAATTAGTTGTATTAAATTACGGAAATGCATTCGCCAAAGTTAAGCCAACCAAGTTAACCTACCGAAAAAAGAGAGTCGGATTTCCTTGGAAAACTTTGCAAACATTCAAGGGATCATTAACCCCCAAGAAACTATGCAGGACTTGTGCCAAGTTGTTTAGTATCCTGGCATAAAAAAGCCAAATAAAACACAAGCAAAAACAAAAAAGTGGCCCAAAAGTTGAGAGCTCCTCGAGCGTATCTTCCTGCCATAAACAACTGCAAGTCTTACTTTATTTAAAGCCACTAAAACTGGCCAAGTTATTTGCCATCGACAAATTCGGCTTGGCACGTCCACGAGTTATTAGCTCAGGCTTCTGCCAGGACCCTAGGAAAGCCCTAACAGGACCAGGACTACGTGCAATTTGCACAGGGAGACCGCAAACTGAAATTTATAAGACGGCAATTTCCAATAACTACACACACTCACTATGCTTCTCTGTGTGTGTGTGTGTCTGCGTGTGGTGTCAAATTTTAGGGAAAATGTTCATAAAATTTGTTGCCAGCAAATTTGCATGCAGAAGGGCCAAGACAACAGAAGACAAAAGATCTTGGGTCTGGGGGGAAAGAAGGCACGACGCCAGGACACCAAGGCGGTCTTCAAGGACATGATTTTTAAATGGTTCCTAGGCGCTTGGAAAACTACTTCTACAACAAGCCACAAAAACACACACAAGGACTTGAAAAAATATATACCAAGTACACTGTGAAATTATTTTATAATTTTTACTTCAAATTAGGGAATTTAATCTTTAGCCAGAAAAGTTCGAAATATTTAATAATTATTAAAAAATAGAAATAGCTCTTTAATACATCTATTAACTATAAATTCAAACTAACTTATTCTTAACTCTTCATTTTAATATCTTAACTTGCAAACTTTTAACATCTTGCCTTCACTTTCCTAGCACCACAAACTGCTAAGAATGTGGATATTAGGATGTAAACTTTTTGAACTCTTTTAGATTGTAAACTTTGTTTTTAGCCACTTATTGCAAGCCAAGTTAATATTTAAAAAGTTTGTAGAACTTTTTGCTCCCAAAACTATATAGTATCTGCGGTTTTGGATAACTCTTTGCTAGTTTTTTAGCCCGATAAAAGCTTCCTTGAAGATATTGCTGTGACTATGTTTCAAGATTAAAAATTCCTAAAATAGTTTCGGTATCATTTCTTCTTCTGTTTCTTCTTTTTTTTTTTGGTAAGTGCAAGTGAGTTTGTCTGTGAGTTGGCCTCATATGTATGGGCCATAAATTTTTTTTGGTTAAGAGCGTGTGTGTCTCTGTCCCTTTCCCGCTGGATGTATCCTTCTCCTTTTGCCCTTAGAGTGTGTGGACGTTGTGGCAAACACATTGCAGCAATAATCATTACAGCTTGTTGTTGCTGCTGGCTGTTTTTTGTCGTTATTACTTTCAGCTTTGAGGCAGCCAGAGCAAAAAAAAACACAAAAAAAAAGGGGCATGGTGAACTGGGAAGGATGGAGGGTGAAGGCGTGCCATTTTCACCAGTATTAAAATTCCTTCGTTGGCTTTTTTACTGCACAAACATGGAATTTAAAATTAACAAGCAACAAATAACCGAAAAAACGAGCATTTAATCGATATTCTCCAGGCGCCTCTTACACACCCACACATACACACACCCGCCCACAAACACACATACAACTAATTACGAGGCAGGCCAAAACTAATAATAATAAAAGTAGTAATAATAATAATACTTAATCACAACATTCGCTTATCTCCCCTCCAATTTCCAGATGGCACTAGCAAGGATTTGTACTCGCCGGAGGCGGAAAGCTCACCGGCCACCTCCTTTGTGGATCCCGCTGCCATGGCCGCCCAGCTGGCTGTGGGCGGTGGAGGCGTGGTCGTGGGCGGACTGGGCGTGACCAAGCCAACATCGCGTACGAGCAGCTTTGAGATTGAGAATCTGCTAAAGACCGCGGAGCAAGTAAGTGCAGTGCCCGAAAATCGTTGTGATGATGATCAGGAGGAGATGGAAGGAGTAGAAAGAGGAGTAGGGCGGCGGGTGACCTCCTGAAACTGGGAATGGGGGCAAAAACCAAACGCAAACACAACTCTATCGACCCCTCTCCCCCCATGACCCCCAGCACCGACCCACAATCCCACCCCCTTCTTTTGGTATGTATTTTAACCCCATCGTCCCACAGGAACCTGCCACTTGGAAGGCAAATCAAATTGCTTTGAACTCGCAAAGCGGAAACGGAAACTATTAAAACGAGCGCCAAACACGACATTCAGTGGGTGGCAGCTGGTGGGTGGATGTTTATAAGGAATGAATGGGTTGTTGTACACTAGTCGTTGTCGTAGATGTGGTGTGGTTTTCGGAAGGCCGACTTCCTCCATTCCCCAATGAGCACTTGTGATTGAAATGTGCACAAATTGAAATTTGCACAAAAAGATGTGGCAAGAAATGCTCGCAGTGGCATAGCAGGAAGCGAGATCTCCGAGAGCTCTAGGCCCCAAGGCGTGTCTCGACACATCTCAAGATGTCATGGCAAATTTGGCCTATTGGGTCGCCACGGCCGCCAAGAGGAAGACAGAGAAGATGCTTCGTCGCGGCGCCGCCGCTTCCTTCTCCTCTAGGCAGCAAACAATAAACGTCACGGATAGCAATGTGCCTGGCATAAAAATATCAAGGATATCTATATATATATACACAGGACAACAGATATGCCTACAGAGAGAGAAAAAGTATTCAAAAAAAACATGAAAGAAAAGTTGGAAAATACTTAATACTTCTCTTATTAGAAGGCCTATCAGAAAGTTTCATATCTTTACAAAGATGTAACATAAATATTTGATAACAAGTCAAGCTGATTAAGTTAATAACTTTAGATATTAGGAACACTTTTTCTCAGTGAATGACCAGACGGGTTGAGAATAGGGGGTGACGGGACAGATAGAACAACAAGCAAAGATGCCACAGAATGCACTTTGTTTTCTGGATATGCTTTCCCCAAGTGTGCTCGAAACTGGCAGAAACCCACTTCATTTAATGATACTTGAACACTGTGACACACAAACACACTGAGGGGAGCCAGAAGAGGGAAAAGGGGTGTTGTGTTATATAAGGAATCCTTTTAATTCAAGTTGACATTTCACACAGGACGAAACGAAGAGGCTGGGCGCAAAATTCAAGACATTTTCAAATTTTTCATCTTTGGGCCAGGCCAGCGGCAACAATGTGGGCACTCAGCGCCAAAAGCCAGAAGCTGCCGCTACCGTTGCCACAGATGTTGCACCTGTCTCACCTGGTGGAAGCCCCCATCTTGCCACCTTCTTTTTTCTTTGGCCCCCCTGTCTGCTGGTTTTGGCTTTTGGGTCGGCGTCGCTTATGCAAATCAGAAGCGCAGCTCAGCTCAGACCCTAGAATGCAGAACAATAAAACAGTTAAAAGTAGACAAGAACAAGCTGCAACAACCAAGGGAACTGCTGAGTGGACGAGAGGGAGAGAGAGAGAGGGGTATAGTGCTGAAGAAAGAGAGGGCAGTAACAATACACAAAGTGCAACTGCATAAAAGTGAAATGTCTCCACAATGCCGGGCAACAACAGTGCCAAACAATGACAACTGCAATTGCAGCAGTGCAGAAAGAGAGGGGCTAAGGGGGTAAAGAAAGAGATGGAGCTGCTGTCTAGTGATGGCAACGTGATAAGGGATCATGTAGCTAGATAAAAGACCTCCAAAATCCATCGATAGTTTGCCATAATCTTCATATAAAGCGTTTGATATGATTCGATAATGTTTACAATTTTAAAAATATATCAGACTCTGGTAATCTCAAGGTTAAAGGTAGTTTAAATTAAGTTTAAGACACAATTAGTTTATCTCAGTGTACCCTTAGACTTATCCTACTTCCTCTATTCTAATCTATGTAATTTGTGGAATTCTCAAGCACTTCATACCCCTTTCTTCGGCAAGTTCAAGACCTTATTTGTGGTTTGAGTTCTGTTTGTTTAGGCATTTACAATGCAAATTCATTTGCCGTTCCTTTTGTTAAGTCAATTTATCAGGAATGCTCCATTTAACACTTTTTGCCAGTGTTTTTTGCTATATTTCTTTTTTGTGACATAGAGACATGTAGGTGAAGCCGAAGAGCTAGGCAAATAGGAGAAAAGTCAAGAGAACGAGCCACCAAGATGGCTGAAGGAGAAAACCTCTGACGCCACTAAGTCTTAATGCAAAAATAGGGGGTTTAAAGGAAACGGTGAGGAGGGGTGGTGGATAAAGCATATCTAGGATGGGGCAACGACATGTTCGTATGTATTTTGTGTATGTCAACCGTCAAGCGTCAACTGTCAGTGCCAAATGTGCTTGTAACCACACACACTCACACACACACACACAAAGAGAAAGCAGAACAGAAAGGTTGTGGGTGGTACGAATACAAGATAGTTAGTTTCCCGGGAAGGATGGCAATGGTGGGAGCTTGAGATTGAGACCCACAAACACTTTGGCCGCAACACCAACACCCACGGAGGACAAAGCACAACACCAACAACTCGGACAAGGACGTGACAGTCATTTAGAACCGCAGCTGTCTCCGTGTCTCCTTAAAGTGGCCGCGGGCTTTTGGCCACGCCCAAAACTCATTCCAATCCTTTTTGAATAACCCCTCCCCCAACCCACATTTAGCACCACCCAACGGCATCTAGATCCCAAAGAGAGCTACCTACCCTCCCCACCTAGGTGTTATAAACTATCGCTGTTCTTATCTATCTCTGTCATGGCTAACTTCATTTTTGTTTATTGTCATTTATTTGGTGTCTCTCCTTTTCACGCGCTCGCATCTCTTTTCGTTCTGTTCTTCCTTTGGGTTTGTTCCTCCTCATCATGCAACAATAATCAACACAACACCAACAAAACAACAACAATAACAACTACAACAACAACCACACAACACCACTGTAAACAACAACTACAACAACTTGAACCTGACCTGTGAACCGTGTTAAGGTTACCGGATTTTGTCGTTCACCCCAGGAAACACGCAAATCGAGCCCAACTGGCTCGGTCACCTCGTCGGTGTCGACCACGGCATTAACCCCATCGCGCCAACTGACCGATGCGGAGAAGCTGCGCAAAGTCGTCATGGAGCTGGTGGATACGGAACGCACCTATGTGAAGGTAAGTCTACAGAGAGAAAATCATTGGAGATTTAAACTCTCTTTTATAAAAACGAGTGCCTAAAAGTATGCTTTGTAAAATGTATAGCTGCCTAAAGACCCAGTGAATAACTTTGTATATTTATTTCTACCTGATTAAAATTTCTTTTCATAAATCTTAGTAAAATATTACTAACCCATAATTTTATGGTCAGTGTTCCAACTTTAATACGAATCCCAGCATCGACCACTGACTTGTGTTCATTAGAGTTGGGCGGCAAAAAGTCCGCCTGCAATTAAAAATGCAAATTTTAATCCTTTAACTGTGTCGCTATGCTTTTGTTTGGTCTTCTCCTACTGCCATATTTCTGTTTCTACCGATTCGGCATCTCCTTGCCAGTTGTTTGCTTTAAGCCAACTTCAAGTCTGGTTTTTGGGTTGGTCTGGCCCAGGAAGCATACAAATAATTATTATAATTTAGAAATTATGTAAAGCGCCGCTGCGGCGACGGGCGATGGCTCCGGGTCTTATCTGTGGAGCGCTGTGTGGCCAACCTGCCATGGCCCGCCTATTGCCCGCTCTGCCCGTCACCCAACGCCCCCGCTGCCCGGAAGTATTGTTCCAAATGAAAGCGCGCGCCTGTGGCTATGCTACAGTATTTCTCCACTCTTTTTTGTTTCATGTTTTGTGCCAGTTGGCAAAACTAAAAAGTTTCCTCCAACCAAGCATAACTGCTGGGCAACTCCGCCGGGAATTGTTGTGGCCAGAAAAGGGACGGTACCGCGGCATCGTCGGTCGTTGATTTTTTAATTTAATTTATGCATTTTCGCTACTGTCCCTTAAACTAAAAAAAAAGTACTTCCCCTTAATTTGTATTATCGTTTGAGCTTTATTGAACCATCCGCCGCCTCTCTATTAACTTTTTCAGCACCTGAACAATCTGCTGGAGCACTATCTGGAGCCCATGAAACGCGAGACATTCCTCTCCAATGCCGAGATCAACGCTCTATTTGGCAACATCCACGAGATCGTCACATTCCAGCGACAGTTCCTGCAGAATCTGGAAGAGTCCTTGGATCTGGAGCCAGAGTTTAACAAGTTCGAGCACTGTGGCCAGTTTAGGGTGCGTTTTGTCAATGGTAATTTATGTGTTGCACATTAGTAATTCCATATCATTGCGATTCGCAGAATGTTCTCTTTGCAATTGGCTCGGCCTTCTTGTATTACGTCAACCACTTCAAGCTGTATTCCTCGTTCTGTGCCAGTCACAGCAAGGCCCAGAAAGTCCTGCATCCAAGTGAGTATTCCTTTACAGAATTACAAGCAATCCCCCAGACAAATTTACATACATCAGCAGTAAGACAGTTGGTAACAATATATGTAAATGGAAAACTAGAAATCTTGGAAAAAATTAAATTAGAACTTTGATTAGGCACATTACAAGGAATGTATTTGCATGTACATCGGGGATAACAATATTAGACACAAGGGAACTTATTTGCAGTTCAAAATTGAAACAACTTAAAGGAAAATGAAGTAATTTTACATTTCAACTTGATTAGTGAACTTCCTAATGCAAACATAGCACTAATTAATGCAAGAAGAGAGAATTACCTATCAGGAAAAGGTTAAAACTTTAAGTTTTTTCCCAACCCAATTAGCATTTACCCTTATGAAACGCACTGTACATGTGTTTGTGTGTGTGTGTGTATATATATAGCCTCTTTGAGAGCATACAATATAGCAACTATTGCAATCAGCGTCAAGCGTCAAAGTCTATTTGAGTTTCAGTTGAGCAAGAAACTTGTAAAAGTCAAATAACCGAACCGAACCCATCCGAATCCACAGAGCGAACAATTGGCAAACTATTCGCTTCAATTGTGCCACGCCCCGTTTTTGGCCGCGTTGCGCCCACTTTAAAATGATTTGCAAGTTAAATGAATAATTACAACCGCAAATGCCGACGTCGACGACACCCCCAAAGTGGAAACCGCAAACTGAAGGCAAACTCCCAACCAAAAAAGGGGGGTGTGATGTGGCATGGGATGGGATTTGGTGGCATGGGGTTCCTTCCCAGAGCAGCATATTCATATTCATGCCAAGGCAGCAGCAGCAGTAGCAGTGGCAGCAGCAGCGGCAACTGTCAAGTATCTTTTGTTAATTAAACTTGTAGAATTATGACACGCTTACAAATGGCGACCCAAAACTATGCCAGGGCTTCAGAACTTCTGTTCTTTGGGTGGGGCTTAAAGGGGTGTGGAAAGGCAGGGGATGCGGGGTTGGAACTTGGGTGCTCTTCTCCACTAAGCTTGCCTTGCAGTAGTGAGCCGGATAAAAGGCAAACTGCCGCGTGACAACATGTCATAATTAAATTAGACTTAGTCTAAGCTTAAAAACACTCCAGCAAACAGCTGGCTGCTATAAAGCCCAACCACTACCCGCCTTTATCATGCCACAGTGATTGATGCGTCCATGGATGAAATGATGGGTTGATGGGTTGATAGAATGGGATTTGCAGCTAATCAAAAGCGTTGAAGGTAAAAAATGTATGCGCAATATTTACAATCAATGATGCAAAAGCGTAGTCAAGGTAACTGAAAGGGGGAGTTTGGAAGCAGTATCCACTCGAGGATGGGTGGTGGCACTGCACCCGGCTGTTGCATGAAATTTTATGCAAAAAGTTGAAAGGATAATTAATTATAGCAAGAAGTGCACTTAAGTGCCTTCGTTACGTGCAAGAGCAGGAGAATCCTGTTGCGGATCGGAGGGATATTGAGGGGTTGACGATGAGGATGAGGCTGGAGATGGAGATGGAGATGGGGAAGAAGGGAGCGTGGCTGGCTGGCTGGCTGACTGGCAGAAGGACAAGCAGCCAACGGCAGACGCTATTAGACGTAAATCTGCACCAGCTGAAGCTCCATCTCCAGCTGCCTTTCCTGCTGCAGACAGGCTTTGACTTTGCCTTTATCAAAAGCTGCTCGGCTGACAATAAGAACAAGTTAATGACATTTTCTTGTCGACGTTGTGACGCTGTCATAGCCGCTGTAACTGCATATCCTTGTGTACCTTCCCCTGTTACCCCACCATTCCCCCCGCATAACCATTCCCATTGGCTCTAATGGGGCAACGTTGCAATTAATTACACCGACTCGAACGAGCGTCCATTGAAATCGAATCATTTGGCAAATGTCTCAATTTGCATTTCAATTCTTATCCGTGTCCCCTCCTCATTCATCCAGACGAGGGCAATCACGCCCTGCAAGAGTTCCTGGCCGCCCGGAATCCCAAGCAGCAGCACAGCAGCACCCTGGAATCGTATCTGATCAAGCCCATTCAGCGTATCCTTAAATATCCTTTGCTCCTGCAGCAAATGCGCAACCTTACAGACACCCGGGCCGATGAGCATGTGCATCTTTGCGGTATGTATATGGAAGATATAACAATTCCTGATTTATATTAATTAATTAAACACCAAACAGAGGCACTTAAGGGCATGGAAAAGGTAGCCGAGCACATCAATGAGATGCAGCGCATCCATGAAGAGTACGGGGCCATCTTTGATCACCTGTTCCGGCAGCATCAAAAGTCGTGCAAACAGCCCATTGATCTAAGTCCAGGTGAGACAACATAAACATAGATTAGAGTTAGAAAAAATATTCTTAAAGCCTATTTGGAACTCCTCTAAATAGTTGAAAATTCTTTAAACTTAGGAGATCTCCTGTACTATGGCGGAGTGGAATGGCTTAACATTTCGGACTTTCTGGGCAAGATCAAGAAGGGACTAGAGCTACATGCCATGTGCTTTGTGTTCAAGTCGGCAGTAGTGTTCCTCTGCAAGGAGCGGCTGCGTCAAAAGAAGAAGTTAATGGTTAGTTGAATTTATACAATACCTTAAGAAAGTATTAACCTCTTTCATATTTATCCTATTCCCAGGGCGTATCCAGCAAGAATGCCACCAATGAGGTGGAGATCATTCGCTACCAGGTGCTTATACCCGTAACCGAGGTGCAAGTGCGCGCCAGTTCGGCCAAGGATATGGACTCGCACTTCCTGTGGGAGCTCATCCATTTGCGTTCCCAATTGCAACGTCGCTCCGAGAAGGTCTATGTGCTGTCCAACAGCACCGCAGACTTCCGCAATGCCTTCCTGAAGACCATTCGTCAGATCATTCGGGAGAGCGTCCGGAACATGTCAATTCCGATGAAGAACTTTGGCGGCAGCTCCGGCTCCGTCTCTGGACACTCTTCGCAGGGCATGGGCAGCATGGGTTATGCGGGTAATTCTCAGACGCTGGAACGTCCCAAGCAGCAGGTAAACACAATATACTAAAAATATATTTCGAAGCACACACGCCAAAAATCTTAGCTTAAACTGACGGCGACAAGAACAGTGTTACCAGCCGACCGTTTCTTAATTAGCCTGGTTTAGCTTTCGCTCAACTCCGCTGTGTGGCGTCTTAGGCTGGACCGCCACATATATTTAAATATTATCTTGTACCTATACTTACATACTTTATATTTACTTATCTTTCCAGATCACTATTGTTCATGGCTCTCACACCCTGGGCAAACCAAAGAAGAAGTCTGGATCCCAGCGCCACTCGGCTGGTAACATTGACTACGACAATTTGTCAGGCAGCCAGGAAGCGGACGACCTGCCCCCAAGTGTGGGCGTTGTCCACTATGCCTCTGGCCACACTCACGGCCAGCAGATGCAACCAACTGGCTTCCGTGGACGCAGCAAGACAGTGGGCGATGTTACAGGTAAGTTGAAGCCCAGTTCAGATGATTCCAATTCTGTCGAGAAGATCGCTAACAATTCCCGTAACAAATGCATCCCGCATCATCACACGCCGTACCATAAAGAAATCACGTGCTCTTCCCCAGATCCCAATCAGCAGCAGCATCAGCAGTTACAGCAACAACAGCAACAGCAGATGCAGCAAGGACATGCCCATGCCCACCCACATCCTCATCCGCATCCCAGGGAGCCACCGCCACCACCCATTCGGCAGCCACATCTGCATCACCATAGCTCGGACATCGAAAGGATCGATCCTGGAACGAAATCGGAGGGCGAGGAGGACTCGCAGCAGGGCACAATCAGGCCCAAGGCCACACTGGGTCGGACGCCCAATCACCTGACGCTGAGGTAAGTTTGGTTACTCCTGATTTTAACCCATTGCTAACTGGTTCTCTGCTGACTAACTGGATTGATCCAATAAAACTAATCCTTACTGCTATGTAGGTATTAAAATAGTTAATCAGCTAACTATCTAAATAACATGCAGCTTAAGTTAACATACAAACATTGCAGTGAGAAAAAAGATTAAGGAGTTAGAATATTTATAACCTTTAATCCAGTCAGTCAGGAGATTTCCAACCCGGTTTATAGCTCGCGAAGTAAGCTCGACTATTGCTTGACCCTGTGTTTTTATCCCTTTCTCTTACTGCTCGACCCGCATCTTGACATCTGAATTGTGAAATCCGTAACCTGACAGCACCACATCGACGCTATCGGTGGGCAGCACCGGCAGCCAGGCGCGCCTCATACAATCGTCGCATCCGCCGGCCAGTTACCAGCCGGTGCTGATGAAGGACCTAGGTAAGCCCAGCCCGGATGAATCGGAGCTCGAGTCGGAGTCAGAGGCGCATGCCATCCAGATGGCGACCTCTTTTAACTTAAGTTTAGGCAGTAGTGGTAGCTTGTTTGCCTCCGATCCCCGAGAGACCCAATCCCATACCCTACATCCCTCTCCCCGTCAGTCGCCGCGTCAATCGCCGCGTCAATCCCCCAAGCAGGATATCGAAGTGATCGAGATCTTCGAGAGCGAGGCGGAACGACTGGCCGCCTCACAGCAGGTGGCCGTCGTCCACCAGCATCCGTCGGGCCAGGCCAGGGAATCCGGGCATAAGCAGCGACGTGACCGTGACCGTATCCCAACCGAAACGGACGCCACAGCTCGTTTTATGGACAAGCATTTGAGTGATCTCGAGCAGGAGAACCTAGCCGATGGCACCTGTGACATAGTGGCCTACATGGAGAGTCTGCGCGAGAAGGCCTTTGATCCGCAGGATATGACCGAAGATCCTGGAGATCAGCAGCAGAATGACTCCAGTCTCTCGCCGGAACCACAAACTATAGTTGAGAATACCCAACAAACAGTGGTGGTGGACATTGAATCACCCTCTAGGCCAGCCACAGAATCAGATAGCACTGGCACCACTACGGGTCCTTCTGAGAGGTCAGGTGATGAAACAGAGGAAGAAGCCACCACCAGTTCGCTGGCCTCGCACATCGTGGTCATTGACAAAAAGGTGGACAAGATCTTTAAGGCCAAGTCACCGGAACGACCTGCTTCCACCAAGGCAAAGGGTGGCAGGCGGCAGATATATATCTCCCCAGATCGCTGCAAGTCACAGGGTAGCTCTCCAGTGAGAATTATTAAGATTAAGTCCCCTAGGACTAGTTTGAGTGATCAAGGCAAGCGATTAAGTGTGTGCTCCTCAAGGGATAATTCACAAGACCGCCTTTCTGGTGGTCGCAGGACACCCAGTCCACGTCGCTCCTCTGAAGGTGGTGGCATATTGAAGCATACCAGTGGACCGGCTCCTGGCATCCTAAAGCCGCCTTCCAGTCCATCCAAGTCAAAGAGTCCTGATAGAAGCTGTCTAAAGAAAGGCGGACCATCACATGTGTGTAGTGTGGAGACTCTTTCGCCCAGGGTTTCTCCCAGAGGCAGTATGGATCATTTGTCTCCAGACAGGGGAATGACAGGTAGCTCCTGTCTTCGCCACTCACCACGCAGCAGCTTTGATAGTCACGGTGAATCTGATCATAACTTGGATGTGCCACATGGCAGTCGTAAGCGGAGCATGTCCGCCCATGGAAGCTTTGAAACCGGCACTCGACCAAGGCCCCAGGAAACCTATCAGTATTATCCGGTGTATGACAACCAGACTTGCAGTGATCACTATGTGGCTGCTGCTCCAACAGGACGTTATGGTGGAGGTTCAAGCAGTAGGAACAGGCTAAGCAAATCCCTGGAGCGCTCAACTTCCAGGGATAGTACTACCACTAGTAGCTCCTACGGACATAGGACTTATGGGGTTTCCCCAGAACGCAATTATGTGGTCTACAGCTCGGGACCCCTGCGATCCCAGTCCGCTGAGAATACCTTCTCATCGCAACCCATATACGATCCTCTGCCACGACATCCACCACAACCACTGCATCAGCCACCGATGCACCACCAACAGCAACAGCAGCAGCATCAACATCAATATATGAACTATGCCCCTGATATGGGAGGATATACTGGCTGCCAGCATGATCCGCAGGGTGGCTATCAACTGAGCTCCTCGGCACCGGAGTACACCACATGCATCGACTGTCTGTATCAGAAGAGACCCTCCTAGCATAAGTCCCGCGTGCGGCAAAGTCGCACGCGGAAGAAGACGCAACGTGGAATGGTGGTGGTCAGTGCCCAGCCCACGGCCACTGGGGGAATAGGATTTGTGCCCGAGATGGGCTCCTCCGAGGCACCCGGCGGTTGTGTTGACTGTCACGACTACTTCGAGATCCATGTTTAATGGAATACTCCATCAAAAAGGAACTTCCAACTAAAGGACCTCCACTAAAGACCTCCACTATTTTGAAACCAAAGATAACAGCCGAACAACCCAAAATGCCTCAACAAAACTAATTTTAACCGAACTCAGCTCAGATATACGTAAAGAACTCACAATATGCAAACTATAATGAAAGTAATCAAAACCGAACACGAACTTCCAACACAAGGGATTGAAATCAAAAAGACCTAGCCTATATACAATCTACTACTACTACTACTACTACTTCAACAAAGAAACTCACAAGGATAAGTAAGAAAGCAAGGCACTCTTTATAAAAATAGAAGAACTAGCAGAAATGTTACCATACCCCAATACATACATACATACTCGTACCAAAAAACCATATAAGTGTTAGCCGTAAGTCACCGAACCTGAGCGTAGTTAGCTCTTTTAGCGCAGCATATGTAGTTCATACCGAAAACTAATCAAAGAATGGGGGTTACTAATCCCGGGTGGGAAAGGTTGCATAATGGGTGTGTGGCTGTGTGCCACCCCATCGTTTTCCAGTTAATTATTTAAGTTGCAACCGAGTTGAGCGCGAACATTTCGCCGTGATTTACACACTCAGACACAAACACATACTCGCTCACACCCACACCCACACCCACACACATTAACAAACAAAATGGCGGAAGTTCCGTTCGCCTCGGGTGGCAAGTAGAAATATTACGTATACGCCGCGTTGCACACACAATACTCAAGTGCCGTAATTACGAGGGCAAACAACAGAAAAGAGCAGCAAAAGTAGCTGCAGCATCAGCAGCAACAGCAACTAAAACTAAAGTTGAAATTCATACTCGCACTCAAGTAAACTACGTACTAAGAGACAGGCAGACAAACAAATGGCAAACTCAACTTGAAACATAGATGGGAAAAATAAGACAGCCAGAAGCAGATAATAAAAAAAACACACACACAGAAGAAAGAAAACTATATGCACTTCAAACACAAACACACACATGCAGATAGGTAAAAAGTTCGGGAAAAGTCGCTAACTAACTATTAGCAGAGGGCGGTAAAGCCAGGAAAAGCGGCAAAGTGGAAACTATGCCATTTCCGCAAATGAAATCAAAAATTTTTAATTACCCATCTGTCGAAATGAATCTGCAACTGAGCTGGGCTTTTGGGTCGAGCGCCAATATTCCAGGGGTTAACATAACATATACCTAACAAGAGTATACCTATCGATATGGGGATTATTTACATAAAGGACAAAAAGAAAACTAGCGAAAAAAAAAAACAAAGAAAAGAAGGAAAAACAAACATTAGTTAGTTAGAAAATTTTGCCAATTTGCACGTTTGTGCTAACGGGCATCAGTGTGTGTACCAATAATGTTGTGACAAATAATTTGCATATATTGCATATGGTTTTTTGTATGATTTTTATAGGTTTTTTATAGATATAAACAAATATACATGCATAAAATATACAACAAGTCGATGGGCAAATCAAATGAAACATTTTCCGCATGGGTTTTCCAAACTTTTCCGTTTCACATTCCAATTAAATCAGCGTAACACGAAATACAATAAAACGAATACAAATCAAAAAGAGAAATGGCGATGTATTCAGAGAATGATAATCGTAAGTCGTACCTCAATGTTCAGTAATGGGTAATCATTATATTATATAAATATGTGTTAAGTGTAGCTACGCGTATATAACCATCCTACTCCTCCTCATCTTTTCGGGTCGAAGGTCGGGAATTTCCATTCGATTCTCTGGCCCCAAGCCGCAAAAACGCTCGACTAAATCAAAATATATATAGAAAATGATTAAGGTCAAACAAATTTCAGGTTGTTGTAACGAGAATTCAAAGCAGTATAAAAAGAAAATAAGACAAAGGAAAACATAGTCAAAATAAATAAGTTTAAGCTTCAAGAACGTTTACAGTTTACAGTTTACACTGGGCTTCACAGCAGCAAAATCAAAACAAGATAAGAAAACAAACATTCTCAAAAATCAAAATATACATCGTAAATACGGCATATATATATATATATATATATACAGCAGCAACAGCAGCATATATACAACATAAATGTTACACTGAAAACAAAATCTCAAAAAAATATACGAACATAAAGGCAAACTAAATAGAGATAAGCGGAGGCCGCAGACGGCGAACGAAAACAAATATCAAATTTAAACGGTAATTCTTGTGTGTGTGCACACACCCACAACCAAACACACACATACAAACACTGAAATCCACTAAACAAATAACCGAAAAATCAACAAACTAACTGCAAACTTCAAAATCAAAAGCGTAAAAATCGAAAACTAAAGCGAGCACACACAATAACTAATAATGGAAACTCCGAACTAAATGCGAAAAACTAAAACTGAAAACTAATCTAAAGCAATTGAAATGCAATTAACCAAATGGCAAACGAGATAAAAGTAAACACATAAAGTATACAAACAGTTAAATATCAAAGGACAGCGACAAGAATGGGAAACTAATAAACCGAATAAATATATTTATAAAGTTTATGCACCGATTTCCTGGCCCATCCCCAAATCTCTCGAAACATCAAACACAACTCCCCTGAAAACCCCCCTCGATTAGTTATGCATTTAAATTTGTTTGGTAGTTGCTTAGCAGGTAAGTGCAATATTCATTTGTAATTAGGCAAACGGAGCTTGTTGTCGGTGATGAGTACTTGAATTGAATTAGTAATTAAACAATTTAACGGGTGATATTTCATTTTGTCTAAACACACTAACACACACACACACGATTATCTCAAAGATAACTAAAATCCCAAAACTCGAATAATGTTGAATTCAGTTAGCTATATATATAGTCGTAAGTCTTAAATCGAAGTCGGAGTCGGAGACGGACTCGGAGCTATATTAGGCATGTTAAGTTTCTAGGTATTTTTTCCCGCCCATTCGATGCATTTGTGTGTATCTTCTTATATAGCGTATATCTGTGTATCTGTTGTGTCTGTTACAAACACTTGATATTATTAGTTGGCATCGCTTGATTAACAAACTAACAACTAACTAACTAAAGAACAACCGAAATTCAAATCAATATCGATGAACTTTGCAAGTTTTCCCTTTCAATTTTGAACGTTTTGCATTTTCTCAATCAAAATATCACGAAAAAAAAAAATATGACGGAGTGTGCCGAAGATCTAAGCCATAAATCTTGTACTAGACAGCAATGCTAATGCCAAGTCCATTATAATCGATAATATATATATATATATTTATCTAACTATATATGTCTTATGGTTACACACACGTGCCCCACAATTCCACTTCTCCTCCTCACCACCACCACCAACTCCAGTATCCAGAAACCAGAATTTATTCGGCATTTTTTCACTTCAATTATTTACCAGAAATTTAATTTTCTGTTTTCCGTACAACTTTTTCGTGTGCCAAAAACTAAAAACTGAAAAACTGAAAAACTGAAATAAAATTAAAACTGAATTGACTTTTATGAAACTCTCATCTATGCACAACTTTATCCATCGTTTTTTGAATCACGCTCTTTGACTTTTGCATCTGGAAAACTAATTTCGAAATTAGCAAGTGGGTTAACTGAAATGCGAAACAATTTCAATTTCAATTTCACCACTCACTCGACCACAATTTTCGAAATTATAAACACCCCAATTTCCATCCCATATATATATATATGTATGTACATAAATTTCTCTCTTTCATTTTTTCTATAATTGGAATTGGAGCCCTTTTTATCAAGAAAAAAAAAAACACACACATACACGAAAAAAAAACAGAAGAGGCAGAACGGAAAATGTTGGCATAAAATGCAAAACCTTTGATCAGAAATTCGAAAATTTGCCAAGGCTAAAGCTAACTAAACTATTTGTTAAATAGAAAATGAATAAATGAACCAAGCGATGTCAACATTTTAGCCAACACAACTCTCTAACCAAATCTACCCTAATCACCAATATTAGTTGTTGAATTAGCTGTTAATCACTCCCACTATCCCGTCCCAGTTTTCCCCCCCAAACTATATCAAGTAGCCGACCCAGCTTGAAGTAGTGCTCATTACATTAAACAATAATTAGTTTTGCTTATATTTTTTAACCAACAAAAAGTGTCCAAAGTGCATGGGCGCTTTGGGCACTTTGCTTGCATGCTATTTTTTAACTTAACGAATCCGAATTGGCCACAAATTACTTATGAAAATCTGTTCCAACACAATTGTATATAACCAAATGGAGATGCTACCCTCCGTTCGGTCCCCACTTGCTCTTTCTAACTCTTTCGCTCTCTAAAATCTATATTTAAAAAAAGAAAACTGAAAACGAAAAACTACAAATTAAGTTCTGCAAAAACCGAAACGAAAATATTTCATATTTTTTCATATATGGTTTCCATTGTATCTTTTCTTTTCTTTCATTTAATTGTAGGGTCCCCGGTGTGGAAACCACGAGACATGATAAATTTAGGCACAGATCCACAGTCAACAACCCGCAAAGACGATGTGAAAAATTAAATCAGAAAAAGCAAAGCAAAACATTTAGTATCAAGCTAAGCAAGCATAAGAACTCTTAACCCACAACTTCAATTCCTCTGTTCGAATTCTCAATTTTAACTAATCAAGTGTAAGGCAACGGCAACAGAAACAGCTAAAAGCAGTAACCAAAAGCAGTAAGCAGTAAGCAACAGCAACAGTTCAAAGTTCAAAGCAGGCGAAGCGAACCCAAAAGCATTTTTCAAGCTCAATGCTGCGAAATGAAGATGCATCGATGAATGTGGATGTGGTTGGCTATTGAAAAATGCTTGGCTTCGGTTTGTTTCCTCTCTTTTTTAAATGGATAAAACATCGAAGAGTTTTTGTCATTTTTACATTTACGTTTACGTTTTTAAACGAGAGAAGCACCACAAAAAGGACACACTCGAGAAGATCCTTTTTAGAAAGAAACAAAAAAAAAAACAAAACCTAAAAACATAAATTAAAAACCCAAAAAAGAAGACTTTGATTTATATTGATTGTATTTAAAGTGCAAAACATATAATAAAAGCATAATTAAAGCGAAGGATTTTGAGCAGATTTAATATGAACTAAGGCAAAAGATTTAACATGATTAAGAAATACGAGAACAAATTCAAATGCATTTGTCGCTGAAAAGACTTGAAAGTAAATTTCGATTTAAATACATTTATTGAGGAGTAAAACCGATGACGAAGCTGTCAAGGCGATGAGAAGGGAAACCCGTAAACAAATTGCAAACAATTGTATTTAGGCTTAGAGAATTTAAATTATAAAAGAAAAAAAAACCCAGAGAATTGCAAAAAAAAAAAAAAACAAAAAACAAAACAAACAAGAAAAACAAAGTCAAATGCAAAGTAAGAAAACCAAAAAGGGTTAAATGAAAAACATTTTAGCCAATTAAGCCACACAAACACTGAAGCAAATCAACACACACACACTCGTAATCGTAATGAGAAAATTAAAATGAAAAAGCAGCAATGAAAATGTTTAGTTCGTAGGAAGTACACTGAAAAAAATACATAAAGATACCATACAAAATCCACATACACATAAACGAAAAATAGCAAAAATTTAGTCAAAATGTTAAATGGTAAACTAAAAAAGGAAAACCAAATAATAAAAATGATTCCATGCAATTAAATTGGGCTCCGAGCCTTCACAAAGAATCCAATCAGCAAAAACAAAAAAAAACACAAGAAACCAAAAATTAACTCAAAGCAAAGCAAACTCAACACGTTAAAGCGGGCAAACATTAAAAATTAAATTATAAAACTATGCAAAAGAAAAATAAAAGTAAATGAAAAAAAATATATAAGCATAAAAAGAAAAAAACGAACACAAACCAAAAAAAGACGACACCTTCTAGCAGAATTACAATAATAATTAAGAACTTCACTTTGAACACTTTAAGAATCGAGAAACGATGACAACAGAATTATAGTTAAACAAAGGAAAAGCGATCCCCGAAAAACCAAGCCCCAGAAAATCCCATAGACAAAGGCACAAGTTTTGAGAGAACTCAATTGAAAAGATAGTTTTGATTTTCCTACGTCTCAATACCCTATGGTTTTCAATTTTTGTAGAACGAATTTTTAGCAAAGACAAAAACCAAAATACCGTATATAGTCGAATACAATGAAAATTCTACCAAAAACAAAATGGGAAATAATAATTAATTGGTTGTGAATGCAGCTTGGATGTTAATTCGATTCAGGAACAATGAAATCCCCAATTGCTGAACATTTCTTTATTCTTCCGGCCGTACACTGTCCGTGCTAGTGGCGATTGTCAATGGTTTTTCTTTTCAGTGTACTTGCAGGCATTGTCCACACTCACATTCACAGGATAACTCATTCATTTTTTTTAAAAAACCCCGATAAAAAAGAATCCATTGAACCCATTGTAGCAACAAATCGAAACATAATCAAAACATTTTTTAGGTTTCCAATCAAATTGAATTAAATATACAAAAGTAAACTTTAATTAAACGATGAAGGGAAATATTAAACAAAAACAAAGAGAAAGAGAAATAATTGAAACTACAGACCATAGAAGGCTATAAGAAGTGAAGTAAATAGAAATTCTAAATGTATACAACAGTCTAATGATAGATCTTCATCCTCGAAGATGAAAGCTAATCAAACACGGGACAAAACAAGGAGAAATTTACCAAAATACCAAATCACAACATTTTAACATAATTTTTACAGTTTGTATAAGTTTGACAGAGGCAAAGTAAATATTTAATAATAATAATAATAATTAATAATTAATAATAAAAACTCCTCAAGCAGAGAGAGGCAGAGGCAGTCAAGTTGGAAGACTTTAGCGAAATGAAATAGTTAAATTATGAAACTCATTTGATGGCGAAATGATGAACGTGGCGAAAACGTGAAACTTTTTGTACGCATTTGACTATTTTTAAAGCATTTTTATTAAATATATATACATAGTCACTATTATACGAATGTTTGTGAGCCAAACAATGTACTCATTTAATTAAGTTCACGTGCACACAAATGCACTGGAATCTCTTTTAACAAATTGTTATCGGATATTTGATTTGTTTGAGCGTATTGTTAGTTATATCTCTTATCACACTTTCCTTTTTGGCCAGACCAGCAGAGCAGCAGGATACACGAGGGTAACAATTGCATATTAAATACAATTTATAACTCTGCCACACGAAATCTAAATTCGAAACACACTAAAAAAAGAATAAATCAATAGCAAACTGCAGCAGCCAATTACAATGGACAAACAGCAAAGAAACAAACATTAAAATTCAATTTTTATTGTAAAACCTAATTAGCAGCTGCAACAAGAACAACAACAACAAAATATATAAAAAACGAAACAAAATGAACATGCAATGGATGTTAATACTTTTTGAGAACAAGAAAAAAAAACAAAATATGCAACAGTAAAGAAAAAAAGAAATACACAATGATTATACAATTGCAAATGCAACTTAACACTCAACATAAGGATAGTGAAAATGTGTGACAAATGATTAAATTACGAAATCCTTTTGAAGTGAAAACAAAAGAAAATAAAATGTGAAATTTAAAAAAGAAAATAATACTTTGTGACTTTTATTACAGAACTTTTTGGGGTTTCAGATTCAGCAGATGTTCTTCTCTATAAGGCGAGATATTTTTGTTTTAAAATTAACAATTGATGGCTTCACTTATCATCTTACATTTAAAAGTTGTAACGCTTTTCTGAAGTTGAAAAATAATTCGTTTCCGGTGCTGCCAGATGGTTATTATAATTTACCATACCTAGCATTGCTTTCTACACACCAGGTGGCGCATTCTTCATTAATTTTACATATAGATGTAGACTTTCAAGGTATTTGGTTTTAGATACATAAAAATCCAAACAAATATTAGTTTCGTATTTTCCTTCTTAATCACTTCAAACCACATTAATATCCATAGTTCACATTTATTCACCCGTTATTTAACCCACCGAACCGCAAAACACTTGAATTTGTATAAATTACTTTATTGTTAAACATAATAAAATTGGTACTAAAACGTACTAGGACCTACTGTTTATAAAACTATAATTGTTTTGTTTTTACTAATATAAGTAACCTTCCCGTGTTGGAATTGGAATGCCGAAGGTGTGCCATGCTTTAAAAATCGTGAGTTACTTTCAATTTGTAATACCTTTCATTTATTCTTAACTTGATTGAGATAACTAAATTTAAGATATTTTAGCGCCGACAGAATACCGGCAAAACAAATTATGGAAATGGTGTTTACTAGGGTATAATAATCAATAGTCAATCAGTCTCCAACACAATACAGGCTCTCTGTGTGTTCTCCTCCCTATCTTATCTAACGTCTTCATCCTCGGCCAATATCTACAGCTGTTCGCTTGGCACACTCACTAGCTTCGGGCTACAATTGGTTGGGTTTAGGCGTCTTACGAATACATACGATAAAACTAAATATAGGCCTTAACTAAAGTGATAACAATAGTGTGTAGCTGGCACATTCCCACCCGCTTAGTTGGGCAGCAGTTCGGCCAGCTGATTTCGCAGGCTTGGCGGCAGTGAGTCGGGGAACTTGATGTCGAAGGATACGATCAAATCGCCGCGCCTTGATGGCTCCTTGGGCACGGGCAGACCTCGTCCACTGATTCTCCGCGTTGTGGTGGGCTTGATGATCTCGTTATTTGTATTCACTGGTATCCTATCACCCTGCAGCGTGGGCACACTGACTGGTGCTCCACATAAGGCCTGCTTCAGACTAACCTGGGCTGTGTACTTCAGATCGATGCCCTCGCGCTTGAACTGTGAATGTGGTTTATCGCGAATGATGAAGATGATGTCAGCCGGTATCTTGTTGGGTGCCGCATCGCCCTCCTTGGGGAATGTGATCTTGGTCCCAGCCTTCCACCCCGGTTTTACTGTGATGCTCAGCACTTTCTCCTCCTTATACGGCCCAGTATTTCCAGTGGCCATGCGTGAGATCTTCATTTTCTTGGTGCAGCCCTTGTCCACTTCCTCCAGAGTCACATACAGATCATGTTCGATAGGAGGATCCTGCTGCTGTTGGCGCTTTCGGCTGGGAGCTTGGGCATTGAAAGACTGCGAGCGGAAAGCACCAGCCATGGGATTAGCAGCAAAGCCCCCGCCTCCAAACATGTCCTCCCCGCCAATGTTCATGAAGATCTCATTGGTATTACCGCCTTGGCCGCCACCAAACATGTCACCGCCGCCAAAGAAAACGCCAAATGGATCCGACGAGCCAAAGAACTGAGCAAAGGTGGCTCTTGGATCACCGTGGAACTGGTAGTTGTAGGCTCCCGGCTGACTGTTGCCATCTGGTCCGGGCGTGCCGCCCTTCAAGCCATCCTCTCCGTATGTGTCGAAGATGTCACGTTTCTTCTTGTCAGACAGAACTTCATAGGCCTCGGCAATCTCCTTGAAACGCTCCTCAGCCTGCGGGCTCTTGTTTTTATCGGGATGGTATTTAAGAGCCAGTTTACGGTAAGCCTTCTTGATCTCATCGTCAGAGGCCTTACGATCAATGCCCAGAATTTTGTAGAAGTCCTTGGCCATTTTAAAGCTGAAATATTGTAAAGGGGAAACGCTGTAGATTAGAATGAAAACTGATTGCTTGCTGGGGCGATGGAAATTGCTAGAAGCACAAGTTGTGCAACTGTCGTGTTGTCATGCGAGTGACGTAGTCGCAGTAGTCTGCGAATTCCGACTATTCCGCTTCCCCCAAATGCGTTAGGGTTGATCAGATCGATGCTTCTGCCCACACACAAAACGCCTCATGTAAAAGACCCAACACACACAATATGCTAATCCTAACTCACCTTAAAAATCACTTGAAATCCGTATGTATATCAATTCGAATATGCAAAATGCAGTGGCAAAGTGCAATAATTGCTGGCTTTCACTATTCACACTATAATGTCACGGGTCCGATGTTCTTGAAATATTTGTTACGTTGCTTTCGCAATTTATTCAATTGTTCTTTTCGTTTTCTTTATCCACAAAATGTGGCTTGCGCACTAAAAACACCCTCTTTTCGCTTTGAATTTTTTTTTGATAATGTGCGGCTGTCACTGAGTGCGCTGCTTATATAGACTTTTTTCGTCTGCGTCGAAATTTCTCGATGTTTCTAGTCTTTTAGGGTTGTATCTCGAAATTGTGCGAATGGCGATTGGCGACGATAAGTCTAGATTGTTGGAGATGACTAGTAAAATCTGGCGAATTATAGCTATATTTAGCGGGAACAACAAAATAATATTTTATGGTAGACAATTGACTGTAAAGTTTAACATTTGATGAAACATTACGTTGTAAAATATTATGAAAAATATTTTTAACTCTGTAATTTCTTAAAATTAAAATTTCTTATTCTTATTTACTATAAGTTCTTTACAGCTGCCAGTGTGACCTTAAAACACAATCCAAAAGGCCAAATCATTTATTTTAACCCGTTTGGTATTTTGGAATCAGCGAGCGGCAGTCACACTCGAGCAAGAAAACAGCCGCAGCGGAACAAAAAACATTCGAAAAAATGACCCGTAGAACCTCGTTTTAAGCGGATTCAAAGCCAGGACGAAGGAGCAGAGCAGCAGAACAGGATCATCATCAGAGGATCAGTTGGATCATCGGCCAAACAGCCGCATTTCCCCCCGCAATCCACACTCGCACACACCCACACAGCCGTATACCGCAGTATTTTCACACACACTTGAGGTGAGTGAGATGAAGGTACACACACTCGCATACAGAGAAGAAAACAAGGCGCCCCTCAAATTTTTGCGACATATGGACGCGCCTCACTAAGGACTAATTTGCCAGCCCGAAGGACACCCAATGGGGCCACTTTTTTTTGAGCCAACCCATGCCAACATATGCGTGTCACGTCGCACAGTTAAAGCCTTGACCGATCGCCCCGCCCCACCTTACCACCGCCCCCCGAGGTGTTGCGCAAACGAATTCAGCCTGTGACCCTTAACCCCATCCGAAAAAATTCTTTGGCATGGCGCCTGTTTAAAAGGATGTCTCATTGCAGCAACTGCAATTGCAGTTGCGACGGCAGCCTCATAAAAATAGTCATTCATTCCCGCAAATAGAGAGCTAGAAAATTTAAAAGAGAGCAAACGACAGACATTAATAGCACTTTCGCTATAAACCCAAACACATCGCCTATATTCATTGAGTAATCCGCCTGGGTTCTCGGGGCCTTTAAGTTCCCCTACAAAACGAACTACCCACCCACTGCTTTGTCCGGCGATAATTGTTATCAGTTACAGTTCGTGAGTGGTCATTACAAATAGCAAAAGGGGTACTGAATCTCTTAGACACCTGATTTTATGAGAGTCAATTGAGGCTATTACATTCATATCCACATTATTCCTTTAAAAAAATTATTTACATATACAGTGAACTCTTTAACTGAAAACGTACATAATTAGTCCTTATAGTTTGAGGACTTTAACAATCCTTAAACCTTAAAGCCATATCTCTTATTTAATTAAGTCTAATGTTGACTAAACTCTTTATTAAATAATAAACAAATTAATTAAATCATAAATTAAGAAAAACACATTTCCAAATATTATAGTGCATCCACCAATGAACTTAAATCGTAGCTGTGTGACTATTCGCGAACGATCGGGCGCCAGATCGTGTGGGATATCTTAAGAATCGGTATCTCGATCGGCCAGTACACGCGTGAACTATGTCGTGCGTTGACGGCGCGGTCTTCTAGTTCGGAAAGATTTCGGAATACTCAGATCGGACGGTAAAGCATATAGAGCACGGATATATACACACTTATTCACACCGCATTGGAAGCTCCAATTGAAGTTGTACGAGATCTAAGAATAGAAACCATTTCGTAATGGAGATTTTCGTACAAGAATGTGCATTATATGACCGGGAATCCTGCAATTTCCGGCAGTCAGCAGTCATATCTCAGTCATCTCATGGTTTTTGTAGATCACATAAATTTCGCAGTACCGAAATAGTTCAAAAATAGCACAGATATATGCGAGAATGAGTTCCCCTCCACCTCCTACGTCCCCCTTAGATATGTCTATATGGCATAGATAACTCGCGATATCGGTTTCTGTAATACCCGACCAACACAAACATTGACCGAAAGATCATCATCGTGATCATGTAAATATTGAGTGGGATCCCTATGTGTTGAAAGTGCCATACCATTCTGATGGATCGACATATTCTATGAGTCTGTGTGCTTCTCTAAATCTCTGAAAACCTTCGCATTTACAAATAGCCAGATATACGCGTATTCAAAACGCTCCCAAAGCTGTCTTATATCTTGCTCCTCTCGATTTTTGTGTGCTTTTTTTCAGACCGCTCAGATGTGTCGCGGTCGCTGTCGCCGCCTGTTTTTATTTTTAGCAGCACGGGTTTCTTATTTTGATTTCTGCTGGCCGACGTGTATTAGCATTTTTGAATCCCCATCTCGCTCGCTCCCTTGCCGGGCAATATGGGGTTGTGTTTGGACTCTCCAACATGTGTTTGAACGGCAACTGCAGCGAATTCACATCATGTTGTGGATGTGCATCCTCCATTCGGAGGAGAACCAAAATATCTTGGGTAGCCAGCCAGCCATTTGTATGTTTTGTGGTTATTTTGGGTCATCAAATTGGAAAAACATTGCAAGTACCCAATCCCCAATTGCTTGCGACATTCAATTAAATGCTGTGCAACTCAAGTCTCTTTAAATTAGAGCAAAAATAGACATTCAAAAAAAATAATTTTAGAATCAGTTGACAGGAATTTATTAAAATTCAAAATGTGGTCGATTTGCGTAAAATGTATTAATGAGACCTATATAAGCAGAACATCGTTTATAATATTTCTGAACTAAAACTGTAATTCAACCTGTAATCTAGAATATTTTCTGGAAGAGATCATGAACAATGACCTTAATGATATTTGAATAAATCTATAAATTTCGAATTTTATATATAGACCATCTGTTTTGCTTAAATCTGTCAAGTTTTACAAATACTTCTAGAATAATTCGCTTATGCCCAATAAGTATTAATTTGTTCATATGGATATGTGGGACGCCCACTTGCAATTTGCGCACTGCCGGATTGGAGGCGCCAGATATTCGGCCGTATAATCGCCACAACTTCCGTTACAGTGTCGAGCAGGGTCTTACAAAGAAACCCAACCAACATGGAGCGACATTTGCACTGAAATTTATGCATTCAGTATGCCCCATGATGATGACGTTGGTCTCCAAATGGAGGAGAATAATAATTCCCGTAGCATCCTCCTGAGCCAACTGATGGTCGGTTGTTTACGAAATTCCGCTGCCTGTTAGTCACGACGTCGATTTCGGGGGCAGTCGATGCTCGATTGGGTGTACGTGCTATATGTAGATATATATAGACGGCAACTGGCGCTGGCCCGTACAAATAAGGCGCGAAAAGCGTACCCGGAGCACGTCAATATCTATGGCTAGGGAGGCGCGACGGACTCTTTTTGGTTTCTGCCGCTTTATTCGCGAATGAGGTCGAAAACAAGAAGATTTCCCAGTAATTTGGGACTGGCCAGCTCTTCCTTATTTACTACTGGCCTTAGCCGCCCAAAAGAAGCTTCGTCATGGCCAGGAACTTGGCCACGACGGAGACGTCAAAGGTGTCATGACACCACCATTGTTTTACAATTAAAGAATAGGAAAAAACCTAAACAAAATTTATGAGTAAATCATTTCAATTTATCCGTAGGATTTCCTTCACCATCATTTGAACAATCCGCAGCCAAGAAATGACGGACAAGGATAGCGAGCAGTGCACCGTCTCGGTCTTTGACCAGACACCCGGCTCAGAGCAGAAGAAGATCAATGTGGTGGTCCGCTCCCACTTCACAGTAAAGCGAGTAATGGACCTGATCGATACTCAGTTCCACTACGGGAAGTTTGAGCTTCTTTTGCAACCACACGAAAACAAGGATTTGGTAAGGATTACTATTTTAACTGCTGTAATGTAACACTATGATGAATATTTCCTGCTTAGGTTAACCTGAATGCCCTAGAATCCCAGCTTTTCTACGATGTTCCTGGTTTTGAGCGCCAGTTGAAAAACCACTTGGCGCTGCTTCCTTCCGGCAGTTGGGACGGAGACGTTAGCAAACGCTTCGAGTTTCCCATCAAAAAAGTGGTAGTAAAAAAGGTCATAAAAGCAGATGGCGAGAAGTCCAAGAGCCCTGCCACTGGCGAGAAAAAGAAACGCGTGGTTGGTGAGAAAACCAAGAAGAAGACTGCATCCGGTTCCTCTTCTCCTAGCAAGTCAAAAACAACAAGTGAAGACTCGTTGGCGAAAACCAGCGTCAGTTCAGAATCAAGCCCAGAAAAAAGTTCCAAAATCACGACAACTGAAGAAAACGGCCCCAAGCCAGTTTTAGAAGCTCCTAAGGCTAGCCCTGAAGAAAGTCCCGACCTATCTGCAGAGGCAAGCTCCAAAATCACGTCTCTGGAGAGTCCAGTTGCCAAGAAACCAGCAAAGGTCTTTTCAAAACCAACTCTAGATTGCGAGTCGATAGACGTACTGAACAAGCAACGGATCTCTGAACAACTGCAACTTTATCCTCAAGGTAGAAACCTAATCTCACCGGTTGAGTTTGCTCCTTCAGACCTATTCATTTCGGATGCTGAACAGTTGTCGGATGACGACCTGGCACTGGGCGCATCTGCAAGTCCAACTATGTTGGGACCGGGCTATGATTTCGGAGCTCCGACTGGGGACTCAGACGTGGAGGGTGTGACCGGAGTGGCGGATCCATCTACGATTGGACCAGACGATGGTACGGACCCAGCGCTGTCGAACTTCTATCGTCGAAAGTATGGCGGTGACGAATTGCCAGCATGGAAGAGAGTAAATACTACGGCAGAGGACTTTGTGTCGTCAGCCACCACGGAAACGGAGACGGAGGCACGACAGACGAACGGTGGACCCAGGGGATATGTTGGCTTGGTGAATCAAGCCATGACTTGCTACCTAAACAGCTTGCTTCAGGCACTCTTTATGACGCCCGAGTTTAGGAATGCTCTGTATCGCTGGGAGTTCGACAACGATAACGAAGCTAAAAACATACCCTACCAACTGCAAAAGTTATTCCTCAACTTGCAGACGTCGCCAAAGGCGGCAGTGGAGACCACAGACCTTACCCGCAGCTTTGGGTGGGACTCGACAGAGGCCTGGCAGCAGCATGACATCCAGGAGCTTTGTCGGGTTATGTTCGACGCTCTAGAGCAGAAATTCAAGAACACAAAGCAGGCAAATCTTATCTCCAATCTGTATGAGGGCAAAATGAATGATTATGTTAAGTGTTTGGAGTGCAATACTGAGAAGACGCGCGAGGACACCTTTTTAGATATTCCGTTACCTGTGCGTCCATTTGGAAGCAGCTCAGCCTACGGCAGCATTGAAGAGGCACTGCGCGCCTTCGTCCAGCCGGAGACACTCGATGGAAATAACCAATATCTGTGCGAGAAGTGTAAAAAGAAATGCGACGCCCACAAGGGTCTGCATTTTAAGTCCTTCCCCTACATTTTGACACTTCACCTAAAGCGTTTTGACTTTGACTACCAGACCATGCACCGCATTAAGTTAAATGACAGGTAAGTCTTTAACCTAAAATGAAACTATTTTATATTAAATCTGCTCTGCTTTTTAGAGTAACCTTCCCCCACACGCTAAACCTCAGCACGATTATTAACCGAAGCGGCAACAGCGGCGAGCAAAACTCTCAGCTGAATGGCACTGTGGACGATTGCAGCACTGCTGATAGTGGCTCGGCTATGGAGGACGACAACCTGAGCAGCGGCGTGGTGACCACAGCTAGCTCCAGTCAGCACGAGAACGATCTTAATGACGAGGATGAAGGCATCGACATGAGCAGCAGCACTAGCAAGAGCGCAAAACAGGGATCCGGGCCTTACCTGTACGAACTATTTGCCATCATGATCCATTCGGGCAGCGCTTCTGGTGGCCACTACTATGCTTATATAAAGGACTTCGATAACAACAGCTGGTTCTGCTTTAACGATCAAAATGTGTCCGCGGTAGGTGTTTATCTCAATTCACTATGTTCGAAAATTCACAAACCCTCTACCCACAGATCACTCAGGAAGACATCCAACGTTCGTTTGGAGGACCTAATGGCAGCTACTACTCCAGTGCTTACACCTCCAGCACCAACGCGTACATGTTGATGTACCGGCAGGTGGACGCAAAACGCAACGAACTCGTCGCCAAGGTGGCCGACTTTCCTGAGCACATCAAATCACTACTTCCGAAACTTCACTCGGAGGAGGAGAACCGCGTAACTCGATTGGGCAGGCACAATACAGTAACGGATTTGGCTCTTCCGGACCTATACAAACCGCGCGTATACTTTTATAATCCCTCACTGAAAAAGATGAAATTCACCAGGGTTTACGTATCACAAAGTTTCGACATTAACAGGGTGCTCAGTTCGGCCTATGATACTTTAAATGTGGAACTATTCGCACCGCTTTCACGATGTCGTTTGGTGGCTTACAATTCTGCGATGGACACTATCATCCAGTCCCTAGAGGGTTTCACAGATCCAGCTCTGACCGAACTGCGCGCAGCACAGAACTATAGTCTAGACTTTCTGCTGGAGTACCGGGCCGAGGACCAACAGTTCGAAAACTATCCTCCGGACGGCATCACATGGTATGTGTTTAAGGTAGATCTATCGAGCATGGCGATGGACGGTCCCTTCCTGGTTTACTCAGCAGCGCGGGAGCGGGAAGCCAGCGACGCCCTTCGCCGCTCCATCGCCCTCCGTTTACACATTAGCGAGCAGCAGTTCCTACTCGCCACGGTGCGCGGCACAATTCCGAAGGCTTTCGTGGCTTACGATCCACACCCGTCGCCCGATGCGCTGCAGCACCTACAAAACCTGGCCAACACCCAGTTCAAATCCATAACCTACTTCTACTTAAATGTCCCCAATACGGATTCCGCCAGCCTTGAGATGTTGGGTGTGCCCAGCATCGAGTCCATCGAGGTAAGTTTTACGACATCGTCGTTATGAAGTAATTGAATTTAATTCGCTACTTTATTCAGACGGCCAGTGGTGGTGATGTGGTTGATGCCGCCATGATGAATGGCGTGGCACCCGGCCACGAGCCGTCCAACAGTGACTGTGATTGGAGGCGCTACAAGCGGGAACCGCTGGACACGCTGTCACAACCTAGTCCCAGTCTCGGCCACGAGTCCAACTCGGAGGACAGCAGTTTAAGCGACGGAGACCGCACTCTGGTGGAGACGGAAAACCTAGCACATCGCGGTGGTGGCGACAGCCAAGTCAGTTCCACCAGTCATTCGCCACAGCTATCTAGCCCCGAGGACGAAGCAGCTTCACACGATGCCATGTTGCGGGTTCATGCATACTGCAATGGAAACGGCAGTTATGCGGCAGCTGATGTCGTAGAACCCTTACTCCTGCCCACCAGCACCAATCACTTTTTCTACGCAACAAAAATTGACTGCGTGGATGTGGTGGGCACCAGTTCCAGTTCGGGTCACCAGTCCGACGAGGAAGCTCAGTTGCGAAGACCTACGCGTGCCTACAAACTACTGGTGGGCACGCATATGCGCATGGGCGCCTTCAAGCGCCATATTGAACAGTTGATCCAAGTGCCGAGCGCCTATTTTAAATTACAGCGCAAGCACGATAACAACCTGTCCAGTAACCAGAACAACTCGTTGGTTCTTCTCACCGAAGGCGAAACACTAACTGTGGAATTGGGCAAGAATCTGGAGCCGGATGAGTTTAAGGCCAAAATTCACTTTATGCGACTTGCGGACATTGATAACGAAACGTCGAAGTTGCCCTGCGTCTGCGAGTGGGTCTACAATGCCAACACAACGGCGGAGCAGGCCAAACAAGACTTAGTGGCGAAACTGCACCGTATGGACGCTAAGTATGCCACACTCACTGTAGAGAACTGTCGCATCTGGCTGAAGGGTGGGCGTATTCCCATTAAGATCCTGGCCAACGATGAAACACTCTACTGCGACATGCGCTCCACCATAGCGGCAGAGGTGTGTTTATACGACCCTTAGACTATGATAACAACTTAACCTGGTTTGCCTTTCGTTGCTTTACAGTTCATTGTGCAGGAGTGTGAAGAAGGTGTGAACCCACAACCCAAGGACGATTCACTAACTATATTTGTTAGGAGTTGGTGTCCTTATAAAATGGAGTTTGGAAAGTTCCAAGAAATTACTTTGGACCGTAAGTGAAGAATCAAAAGGCAATTAAAAATAGATGTTAATACAAAAATGATTTATTATTCCGCAGAGGACAGCGAAATCAGACAGTCATTATCACAGATCAGCAACCTCCCAACAGACAAACTGAGCTATATGAAGGTACATAGTAAATCATTGTTTTAATATAACTCCCATATTAATAAAAATCGTGTTCCTCGCAGGTTAACAGCAACTTCCCCTGCACAAGCATATCAGCGTTAAGCGTCAACGAATCCAGTAGTTGGTACGCCGTACCAGCAAGTCTGGACAAATATCCGCTGAATACCACACAGACGGCCAACATCTACTTGTACAAGTAAGATTTCAGCTATGGGGGAGTGAAATAACTAGAGCATAGACTAATATGTGTTCCCAACAGAGATAAGACCGTACCTGCGCGTGAGCTGACGCTAGAGGAGCGACGTCAGATGAACGCCAGGGAGAAGGCTCGCCTTGATCGGGTGGGTTGTGTGTCTACCACCCGATTCTCCCAGCGTCGGGAACGCGCCCTGAAGATCTACCTGGACTCGCCTGAGAAGTCAAGTAACGTGACCGCCTCAGCACCAATGGATGTGCATGTCAATAATTAGTTTGGTGACGAGTATAAAACGGTCGCGACCCAAAACAAAAAGTACACCTAAACATGTATGTAGCGACGGCAGACCATTAAATCCCAGATCCTGTTTTAATCAACGGTCATATATCTTTGGCGGCTCCAAGTGCCGGTCGTGTTTTCTATACTTTACCCGCAGCAATTGCGTATTTTGTTGTTGTTTATTTTGTTTGGCGCAAGGGGAAGATGTCGGCGTGATGGGCAAGAGCATAGTCATTGGTCTGTACTAAATTGGAATGGATCTGGGATATACGGCTGAGCTGCGTGGCACAGCACTATGCGACGTTAACCATAACGAAGTTATTCTTGCAACTTTCGTAATACAAGAGTTCAAAGATGAGACTGTAAAATTTAAACTAAATATGCAAGAAATCTAAATTACAAATTGTATAATGTGAATGTGAACATCAAAACTAAATTAAAAGAATAAAATAAACACAACTCTCAAGTGCATTTATTGTAATCAAAAGCGTGTCAAATTCGATTGGACCTCGGGGGACCATGAACGTTTTTATTAAATAAAAAGACGATTGGCATTTATCGGCTGTTTTATAGAAAATGTTAATTTTATTTAATACCTACTACGCAGCGTTAATAACGTTTTTCTTGAATTATACTTTAAGATCATTTAGCGTTAAAATTGTTACAATTTGACGACACTTCTTGCTTTGCTTTGCTTTTTCGTTGCGATGATATTGAACAAACCGATAAACGAAGGCAGCTTATAGTAAAGGAAATAAAGAGGTAAATTTCACGCTGGGCCGACCGCCCTGCTGATGGATGGAGGATTTTTGGGGAAATGGTTTTGCGTAATTCCCTGCTGGAGGTACAAGGAATTCTCAAATTGTTGCCGTGATCTGTTGTCAAAAAGGATTTAATACGCAACGAATTCGATAGTAAAAATCTGTGGAGCGGCAGCGGTAGGCAGCGCAATTGTTCACATTGTGGTTTCCGTTGTTGGGGAGGTGGTGCGGATCTTTATCAGCGAGTGGTGGTCTATGCCTTGGTCTCGACGGCCGGCGCCGTTTCCACCTTTGTCGCCGCTCCTCCTGATGCCTTCTTGCCCTTGCCCTTGCCCTTCACTGGACCCAAAGGCTGCGTTAGCAAAGTCTGAAAGATTCCGATTATAATTAATATCTATCATGACATCATATGTGATAGTAATAAATACCTTCAGCTCCTCCTGCGCAATGCTGTACTCGCTCACGTAGTTTTCTGCCTCGAATGGGATGCCGGTGACCAGGTTAACGCCGTTGGGCATGAGCAGAACAGTGTGCTTAAACTGCGCCACAACTTCGGCTGTAATTAAAAAGCAAAAAAATGTTTAAATTTTGGTGAGTTCCGGTATAGAATATAATTAGCAAATAACACCTGAATTAGGGTTTTTTAAATTTGTGGCAATGGCATGTTCAGACAGAGGCCACACTGGGGCAACTACTGAAGACGTCAAAGCCTGGGGTTTGTTCTAGCAAAATGTCTGGCCGTACTTAGCACCCGAAGGTGTACCAAATTCGGAATTAAGTTTTGCCAAAGAAATAATAGCATATATCACACTTACAGGGCTTCTCGTAAAGCACTTGGAAGGGCTCAATCATCTTGTGCGAGACACACTCGACGACTCCCATGCGGGCTTTGGTCTCCTCCTCAAAGCTGCGGATGTTGAATGGCATGTTTCCGTACTTGGTTTTCACCTCTGCCAGCAGGGCACGGGAAGCCTTCAGCTTAAGCATATAATTCTCCTCCGACTTCTTGTAGATGGAGACCTTGGTATCCTTCTCGCGTCCCTGCAACGAATACAAAGAATTAGCAATTGTGTTCTATTCGCATTAAACAGGGATCCATCTTTTTTATAGCGTTCTCAGATCTCATAATCTTGCAATCTTCGGACAACAGCTGGCTAGACTTTGGTGTCTGTACGTGCCAGGTTTAAATAACAAAACCCGCAGAGCGTACAAGGCGCTCTCGCTACAAACTCTGCACTCCGGCCAAGTCAGCCTCAAGCGCGTGTTTTTAATCATTGAACAATAAAAAAGGATAAAAATAACTTTTTATGGGTAATTACTAACCATTCCTTCTCCGCTGCTAACAATGACATCGATTGCATAGACCTCGTATGTTTCAAAAGTGCACTTCTCGTGCTCCTTGCGCTGCGCCTCGCTGGGATTCTGTATGATCGTCTTTTCGCCGTCAATTTTGAATTGCTTCAGTTCGTGACTAAGCATGCCCTCGATGGGCTTGCATTTGTACGACTCGCTGATTTGTTGCACGGCATCGGTGAGGGTGTAGTTCTGTAAAAAACATAAGCTCAAGTTAAACAGCAACTAATATGTAAACTTTTAAGAGCCCTGAGAGATTAAACAAAAAACCTAATCGGAATTGTTAATGAGATTGTGGACAACTTTAAAGACCGAACATTTCTGAAATGTAAACTTGTTCAGTTCACGAAACCGACACTGATTTTCTGTGCAGACATTGAGCTGTACTGAGCCATATTAAGCCGCAGCCAATCCGTTGACTGCATATTACAATTCCAGACTATAAGCTTTATGAATGTGGACAACTTTAAAGACCAAACATTTCTAAAGAATAAACTTGCTCAGTTCACGAAATTGACACGTTTTCTATCTGCAGGCGTTGAGCTGAACTGTGCTAGAGTTACAGCAGCAGTCAATCCGTTGCCTGCAGAAGAAGTAACCATATAAACAACTGGCAAGTTGCCTCCAATCCAGAAAAATAGACCAGAGCAATTACCAGATTTCACAACATTACGAGGAGGACTTACGTTGGCGCCGGACTTGAGCAGACGCAAGGCAGCCTGGACAGCCCAGTATGCGGCGAGGATGACATCAGCCTGGCGACCACTGATCTTCTGATCCGCTCCAGCGCCCACGACAATTGTGTGAGCTGCCACAGCAATGAAACCATCGATGTGGGCTCCCAGATCACTGTGTATGGAAAATACAAAGATTAAACTCTAAATAAACAAAATATAATGTTTAACTTACATTTTGACTACATCGCCGGCCTTTAACGTGTAGTCAGTATCATTTTTGGCTGGCGAGAAGTGGCAGACACAGTTATTGACGGACAGACATGTGGGAAAGGCGATGCCTTTCTTCAGGTCCTTCTCCTTTTTGTATACCTGATATATAAAAGATATGGGATATTTATATGACAGTTCTTCAGACCAGAATTATGAGATTTTGTCTGGTGTGTCCTCAGATCTCATAATCTGTAAATCCCTGGGACCAAATGGCGAACACATAAGCCGGGCACGTGGGGTATGTAAAGCCCCGCGTGCGCCTGGTGACCACGAGGCGATTACCAGCCCACACAGCACATGGATCGTCATCGGGAACCCTCAACGGCGTAATTCTTAATCATTGGACATTCCGATTAGTCGTTTAGGCGTCCAGGCGGCCACCACTTACTTTGCCGGTCTCCTCGGTGAGCTGATTGTCGCCCTGGTTGCAGATCTCCCGAACGGATGCATCAACTACGCAGAGTCCAATTACCGCCTTGAGAGTTTCTAAAATTAAACGAGCAGACGGAGTCCAGAAATAGGCGTATTTATCAACGCGTGGCGAAAAAGGGAAAGCGGCAGTTTGTATATTGTGTAAGCGCCACGTAGCAGTGCCTCCTGGAATCGCTTTCCCTTTGTGGATCCCGGGATCCGAATACTTACTATTGACGATCTCGCCGGCCAACTTGTACTTGGTCACCACCAAATCCTCGGCGATGGTCTTCTCGGGTTCCTTTTCCACTTCTGCCATTGTGCACACTCGACTCAAATAATTTTAAAATGGCGACTTTAATGAAAATGCGACCCGACTGAAACACCACGAGGTAAGGAAAGTGTGGCCAAGCGTTGTAAGTAACGTCCCCAGTGTGAACGTATTCCAATAAGTCATAGCCTTGGCAACCCTAAGAAAGGAAGCGCTAAGTATGTTTTCGGAAACAGATATATTTCCTATCGCCGTTATCGATCTGTTGCCATCGCTAAATACTATAGCCTCCTAATATCGAAGTACCAAATAACGCCTCATCATCATCTTTCAAAAATCTTTCTTATAAATTTATGGGCAGAAAGTAACTTATTGTAAAAACAATAAATCGCATTTAACGGCAAAAATATCAGAAGTCAGTGTCTTTCCCCTGCTGCTTACTATTCTGTGGCCACCAAAGCGCTATTCTCTGCGGCAACAAAAGTTCTATAAAATAGAGCCAATAATATTAAGTCGCCATGTCTGTGCGCGTGATTAACGACGAGTCCCATTTTCAAGCGGAGTTGGCTCAGGCGGGTGTGCGCTTAGTCGTTGTGGACTTTACAGCCACATGGTGCGGACCCTGCCAGCGAATAGCGCCCATCTTTGAGATGTTTCCCAACAAGTACCCCAAGGCGATCTTTTTGAAGGTCGACGTGGATAAGTGCCAGGATACAGCCGCCGGACAGGGCGTTTCGGCCATGCCCACGTTTATCTTCTACAGAAACAGGACCAAAATTGACCGCATCCAGGGAGCGGACGTCAATGGACTGGAGGCCAAGATTCAAGAGCACATCGGCACCGGCGCCGGTGAAGAGTCTGGCGAGGACTACGGCCAGGGATTGGTATGGTACTTTTAGGGCCAAAACTTCCAAAGCTAATCCCTATTTTATCTTACAGATGGAGCTGAACACCTTCATCTCGAAGCAGGAGTGCGAATGCCTCAACGAAGCCGATGACCATAATTTAAAGCACGCTCTGGCCTCCGCCGGTGGTTACCTGCAGTCGGATTGCGACGAGCAGTTAATCCTGTCTATCACCTTCAATCAGGCCGTAAAGATACACTCTCTGAAGTTCAAGGCACCCGCGCAGCTAGGTCCCAAGGATGTCAAGTTGTTCATCAACCAGCCACGTACCATAGACTTCGACATGGCCGAGTCTATGACCAGTGTGCAGGATCTAAGGTGCTTATTGTCTAATTCATAACCTAATTTATTTACTAAATGGTCAAATCATTTTGCAGCCTGGCTGAAAAGGAGCTGGAAAACGGAGTTCCCGTTAATCTGCGTTATGTCAAGTTCCAGAACGTTCAGAACATTCAAATCTTCGTCAAGAACAATCAGTCGGGTGGCGATGTGACGCAGATCGATTATATTGGCTTCATTGGCTCTCCCATCATGACTACCAAGATGAATGACTTTAAGCGAGTGGCCGGCAAGAAGGGTGAAAGTCACTAGGTTACCCACTTGGATTCCAATGAAAATTTCTACGTTTTCCCAATTGACGTCCCGGTACTTCTATTCAACTTTCGACTTACAACTAAGCAATGTACAACAAATGCATAAAAAATCATACAAAACAAGGTTTAACAATCGATAGCAGGTAATTTGAATATCCATTAGTGTTAAAGGCTGCTCTGGTGCGAATCCAGTTCCTTGGTGAGCATTTGCCAGGCTTTTTCCGCCTGTTTTTGAGTGAAATCGTGGTCCCACTGCGAACTGAAAATCACCTGCGACTTAGCTATGATCTCCTTGTTTGGCACTTGGCTAGCCAAGCGCTTCTTGGCCTCCTCCTCACTCAGGTTGTTGCGCTCAATAATTCGCCTGACAGCCTCCTCAGGCGGTACAATCATGGACCACACCTCATGGCAGTACGTCTCCCAACCAGCTCGAAGAAGTATTGCTGCCTCCAGGACCACCACACGGGGAACCTCAGCCTGGGAGCGTAGTACATCCAACCGCCTATTTACTTCAGCGATGAGTTCCGGCCAGACGATTCCGTTAAGTGCCTGCAGTTCCTTGGGATCAGCAAAGACTAAAGGACCTAACTTGGAGCGATCAATACGGCCGTCGGCGGAAATAATGCCTTGGCCAAAATGCTTTACAATCCGGTCGTAGCACACCTGACCGGGCTCATACACATCGTGGGCCACCTTATCACAGTCGATTACATGGGCGCCCATTTGGCCCAATCTCTGTGCCATCTTGCTCTTGCCGGAGGCAATACCACCGGTCAGTCCTATAATGTGCGGACGTGCTGGGAGCTGTGGTCGTAGCTCCGGCCTTCTCCATCGGGATCCCAGCAAGTCTATCCGGGTATTACTAGAACTGATCTTCGTCTCATGGATGCCGTCATGGACGTTGCTCTCCACAATGTCGATGACAAAGATCTCAAGCTCCCGAAGCTGTCTGGCGGAACGTATCTCGTTGACTTTCTGACCTCCTCGAAGTGTTTCCGCACTGACCACAATCATGTCCAGATCGGGATCCACCTGTGTTGGTCCAAAGGGATCGTCGATAGGCACAATCTCGTACTGCAGTGTATTATCTATATCTGTTAGGAACTCCCGTAACCGGGATATACGCTCTTCCACGGGCAAAATCAAGTCCGGCAGCGTCTTTCCTACATACAGCGATATCAAAGGCCATTAAGATAAGAATCTTTTTGCCATATCACCATCAGTGCTTACCCTTCGTCATGGCGGAGGTTGTTACGCCTACTACAAGGCGTTTGCTGCTTCGCAGTACAGCTTGAGTGAGGAATATTTTGTGACCCAGATGTATGCGATCGAAGGTTCCACCGAGGACAACTGAGGGATATATCTTCGAAGCCTGGGAATCATCCTGCTGGGCACTCAAATCAGAGATGGCCGAGTCCTCTAAGAATATGGTGGGTTTGCTGATGTTAAGATCCGCCCGAAGACGGTCACAAAGCTCCGGATGATGTGCATCCGAGAAGATCAAGTCCACAGGTTGGCGCAATTTCAAGGATCCACAGGCCCCTGGTTTGAGGGGCGAGACAAGGACTCGCAAATCTAACTGGTTTCCCACATAACTACTACTGTTCGCGTAAAGCTGCGAGATTAGACGTCCCCAAACCGGAGGAGGTGGAACTGCTGACGTCGTGGACGTTGACCCCGCTACATTTAAATGAATGTACAGGGAATTAACGTACTTCTCAATGGCGCGGAGGGATTTTCCTAGGTGTTTGATGTTAGACACCACCAAGAGACCTGTGGAGGAGGCCATTCTGCTCGGCTGATTGGGATTAATTAAATTCTAGTTCAACGGTTGCATCGACATTATCACGTAGGGTAGGGTTGCCACTTATAGTCATTGTAAAAATACTTTTACAAATATGTCTATATAAGTACATTCTAGCATTTGCATATATATAAAATATATAAATATGATGATTATTAAAATTAAATGTAATTTAAAATGATTAAACTATCGTGTAAAAATATATTTTAGTATTTTTCATAAAAGGCGTTAGGAAATTTCACCCACCCACACTGCCTATCGCGTCACTCGGCCATTTGTACCGAGTTGACAGCCCCAAACGACGAATATGAAGCAAAAAGAGAATCCGCAGTCGGAAGAAACACGAGGGAAGGAATTGTCATTACATTCGAACGCAGACTTTTCGTTTTAAAATCAATTTTATTTTAAATTGCGATTTGTAAGCGGATATTCCTAATTCGTAATGTTAAGTTGGCCAACAAATCGCAGCGCGAAAAAGCCAGAAAAAAAGTGTTCCCGAGTGCGTTAGTGTGCGTGTGTCGGTGTTGCAGTCGGTGTGTGAAGCAAGAAGCAGTTTGAGAGTGAGAGGAGTAAAGAGCGTGCAAAGAGAGAGGAGGAGAGTTTTGAAGGACGTGCGAGCAGAGAAGGATCTATAGGATCACCGCGGATCGCCGATGTACATTAGCTAACTGGGTGGCAAACACCTCCACCCCAAATTCAAAATTCCACCTCAAACCCCCAGCCGGAGCATCGACATGCCCGTTTCGATGGCCGTGTGCGAAACGGCGAATGTCGTCAACGCTGCTCTTCGAGAATCCCTCAGCGGGAACACCTCCGGTTCCTCAGCCGACCAAGCCAAAACCGGCGAGGATTCCTCTGGCAACCTGCAAAATCACATCGTGGCCAATGCCAAACGCATCCTGATGGCCAAAATAGAGTACGAGGAGGTGCCAAACTACCACGAATCGGTTTTGGAGAACCTCAAGTCCAAGTATATTGTCATTAAGCCAGGAGGAAATCCAGGCGCCATCAATGGCTTTGGTGGAAAAAACAACACAGGCAAAGTTGTGGGCGCAAATGGGCATGGTGAGTAAAGCATAAAAAAGAAACGAAAAGTTGCCTGTAAAAGTGGCTTTTCTTCGTCTCCACCTTCGTCTGTGTTTTTCTTTGTGTGGCAATTTGCGCAATTTTCCATGTGCTATATCTATATATATGAGATGTATTATATTATATATAAACATATATGTAGTTTTCCGTTTGTTATTGCAAGATCTTTTGGGAATATCCCTCCACAAATCACGTGTGTTGTTTTTCCGCTAACATTTTTTTTTTATTGCTCTGCTTGCATTCTACCGGCTGCGCAGTCGGCGTCGGCAGAGCAGCATACCTGTACTTTTTAGGCGCTTCTATGTATGCGTGTGTGACGGCGCTTGGGTGGTGTACGTGTACGTGTAAACAGAATTCAAAGGAATACGCGGAAAAAGCAAAACAAGTACAACGCCGCAAAGAGTGAGCTGGAAAGGCACCAACAACACACAACGCCTCTTCTTAACTTCTGATTCACAGAGGTTGTGGCGGAAAAAAACGTGCTGCCTTTCCAGCGGCAAAAAAAAACAAGTCAAAAGCACGAGGGCCCCCCTCGCTAGTTCTGTCTCTTTTCCCCGCACACATGGCCAGCGCCAGCGGTACCATTATTGGCTTTGTTTTTTTTCTTTATTGTTTTTGATGCGGTAAATGCGTCGCAATCTGCTCTAGAGAGTGATAAAAAACGAAAACAAAGGCAAGATTGCAAAAGTGATTCACACGAAGCAGGAAGTGGACACAACGCCAAGAAGCAGGATCTGTTACAAGATGTTTCTTCTTTTTTTGGCCTGGTCAATGCCTTGAACACAGTTACAAAGGCAAAAATGGGGGGAGCAGAGGGCCTACAACAACCACTGTTAGGTCGCGCCAAAAATTCAGTTGGCAACACTGTTCTGCCCAAAACCCTGTGTTAGAGCGGGAAAACCATAGGTGTTCAAGCAGACACTGTGTCTGGTTCTGTTCGCTCTATCCCTTTCACTCGCTTTCTGTTATCAGCATAAATTTTCTTTTGTTAATTGCTATCTTACTCACTCTTGCTTGCTGTTATCAAAGACACGGCAGTGTTGGGAAAAGGCGAAGATATTTGTATCTCGTTGCGTACCTAGATAAAAATGATTGGTACTTCTTGGGTTATCAAAATAATTTTTTAGATACTTTGATTATCTCACAATCTTTATAAAAATATAATAAATAATAATACTAAAATTTATATTCAATTTGTATACAAAATACATAAGCCGTTTTAAAAATTGTTATTTAAATTTAATGTTAGCTTAGCTTTTTGTAAGAAGATGTGTAAACAAAGGTCAGCAAACTTATGTACCCTCGTTGGTACATAAACCGTGTACCCTTCTCAACACTGCGCACAGGTGATTGTGGGAGTGTGTGCGAGTGTGTCAGCAGTTTCTACAGCGAGCTCAGCTCGTTTTATTTTTATTTTAGTAGAACGGAACACAGGCAGGGAACGAGCGACAAAACCCAAAAGAAAGGATTTTTCCAATAAATGCATTATGACTGTGATAATAGTGGACGGGTTGGCACTATGGCTGATCTACAAACTGTTCCTGTTGCCCTTCTGCCTTCTCTTGTGGCACGTGCTTAAATTGGCTACCGTCCTTTTTCCCTTTGCAGACAATAACGGCGCTCGCAAACAATCAGAGCATCCCAACAATCAGTCGCATCACAACAACCACAATAATTCACATCCCTCTAACAATCCCAATGAGCTGCCCAAGCCGAAGAGGGTTCTATATCCTCGAGAGAACATACGCATCGGCTGGAAGCAGTCAGAGCGCAAATGGCAGGTGGGAACGGGTATGATAAATGTGGGCAACACCTGCTACCTCAACTCTACGCTGCAAGCCCTCTTGCATATCCCTGCACTGGCAAATTGGCTCGTCTCTGAGCAGGCGCATCTGGAGAACTGCAATGTGGCCGAATCCGGTGGCTGTTGCATCGTCTGCGCCATGGCCAAAACCTTGTTGGCCACACAAAGCAATCAGTCGGCCGTCAGGCCATTCCTTATCTACTCAAAGCTAAAGCAAATCTGCAAGCACATGGTCGTCGGTAGGCAAGAGGATGCTCACGAGTTTCTTCGCTTCTTGGTTGAAGCCATGGAGCGAGCGTATCTGATGCGATTCCGAAACTTTAAGGAGTTGGACCAGCTGGTTAAGGAGACAACGCCTTTGGGACAGATTTTCGGCGGTTACTTGCGTAGTGAGGTGCGCTGTCTGAGCTGCAACCACGTGTCCATCACGTTCCAGCACTTTCAGGATTTGTTGCTTGACATTCGCAAAGCTGACTCTCTGGAGGACGCATTTGAGGGACATTTTTCGCGCGAACGTTTGGAGGATATGGGTTACAAGTGCGAGGGCTGCAAGAAGAAGGTAAGGTTTTCGTCCTCTATATCGTTTATGTATCTAAAACATATCCCTTTCAGGTATCAGCCACTAAGCAGTTCTCTTTGGAACGGGCCCCAATTACTCTGTGCATCCAGCTAAAGCGATTCTCCATGATCGGCAACAAACTGACAAAGCAGATCTCCTTTAAGCCACGCATTGATTTGAGCAAATATGCTGCTCGCTCTCCAGCGGCTCAGGCTCAGCCACTAACCTATCGCCTGGTCTCGATGGTCACACATCTGGGAGTGTCCCAGCACTGCGGTCACTATACGGCCATTGGATCCACAGATACGGGTAGCTATTACAACTTCGACGACAGCTACGTGCGACCAATTGCAATGCAGAGCGTCTGCAACACCAATGCCTACATTATGTTCTACGAACTGGACCTCTCACAGGCTGCTAGTCCAGCGGCCACCAGGCCCAATGGAGTGCGTCTAACCAATGGACATAGCACACTACCAGTAGCGACTACAACTGTGTCTTCGCCTTCACCAACCCGTTTCATCGGTCCCCAGCTGCCGCCTGGTGGGATAAACGGCTACAGCAATGGCAATGCCCAAAAAACGGCCATCCAATTCAAGCAGCATCACCAGCCAAGTCAGCAGAACGGTCTCCAGTTGGGGACCGGAAAGTTTCAGGACTCTGCGAAACCTCAACTGGTTGGCGCACACGCTAAAGGCGAAGCTACTACAAGTCCCACTGCAAATGGTAACAAAAGTTCCTCCACCAACAGCAACAGCAGCAACCACAAATCAATAAACCAGCAACAATATCTGCCAATATCATCGGACGATGAAGATAGTGATGATGAGCCCAGACTAACGACAGCACAGCTGCCGAGCATGCCCAAGATGACGGAAGATCATACGGAGAAGCCAAAATCGCCCGTGAAGATACAAGTTAAGACCCCGGTCAAAACACCACTAAAAAGTTTAGTGCCCTACGAATCCGCCTCGGAGGAGGAGGAGGCGCCACTGCCCAATCCCCGAAAGCGTCGAAGTGGAGACGACTCTAGTGAGTCGGAGCAGGAGTCTGGACAGACCAATGGTCACAGCAAGACTAATGGCGGTCTCACCAACGGCGCCTCCACGTCATCGGTTCACGTTAACAACAGCAAACAAAAGACTGATGCCATAGACGAGATATTCAAGAGCCTAAAAAAGTCTGCCGACAGTGAGGACGACGATGATGAGGAGGAACCGAGCATCCAGTTGTCTAATGGCTGGCACCCACAGAAGCAATCGTCTCAAAGCAAAGCACCATCCTCGCCCAAAACGCCACCATCGCCTGCAGTTATCAAATCGAAGACGGGTATCTGGAAAGTTACTCGAAACGATGACGTTGAAGAAATCGACGATGACGACGATGAAGAAGAGGAAGCGCCGACAGCCAAAATTCAGTCGCCCAGCAAGACTCATCGAAATCCGTTCGCCAGTAGCAAACCCTCCACAGACTCGCCCACAACGCCTGGTGCCAAGCGCCAAAAGCTGCTCAACGGAAGCGCGGTCAAGTCGCATCCGCAGCAAAGAGTGGGCAACGGTTACCAGAGCGAAGCCACCTCAAATGGAAACACCATTAACGAGTTACTCAAGCAATCCCATCGGGGATATGGCTCCTCGGTTCTCGGTTGGAATAACAAGCCCGCGGAGCTTGAAAAAGAGGTAAGTTTAGGAATAAATTTCAAAAGTAACTCTTCACCGGCTTTTTTTCTACACTGACACTTGCGTTAATGGCTTACCTATATAAATTGTTTTAAAATAAAGTTTCGGTTTCAATAACACAAAATATCTATTAATTTTATATTATCCAAATTCAAGTTTAAAATAACCTTATTCTATTCGTAAATGCTTTGACACCTTTAACTAAAAATTTATTATTTGACTGGTTGTTTGGTTTTCTTTATTTCCCTTTCGATCTATATCGTCCACATATTTGCTGCATGAAATGCAATTGGATTGTGTTGATTTACTAAACGAACTTGTTTGTAATTTGCATTTGTTTCCACATTATCCCCATTCATTTAGCCTTTTGAGTTGGTTTGTGCTAAACGGATAGCTGGTCACGGCAGTGTGGATGGCAGCGATATCGTCGAGAGCTCGGTAGCAGTCAACGCGGCGGCCAGTGGCAGTGACAGTAACGACGTGGTCGTAAATGCAGTAGCGGTATCAGATGCAGGCGCTGACGCATCCGATCCGGATCGTCTCACGGACGGCCGGTAGGAGGCAGAAGTGGATGCGGAAGCGAGGGCCCTTGTGTTATTCCTCACAAAGCACACATAATACTATACAATACAATACGATTACCCCGAATAGTCTGTGATTGCGTTGACGGATTCCGTGCCCAACCGGACGGACTCCTCAACGCGGCCCCCGTTCGCCAAGCGTTAAAAGTGTTATAGAGAGTTGCAAAAGTCATTGCGGGAGGGAGTGACTGCAGCGGAGCCTAGGTAATTAACCCGACGACTCCGCATTCGTATCCCAGTGCAATGAAGCTTATGAGTTGATTGCTGGCCGGCACGTTATATCTTTTGTCCCCGCCTGATACGCCATAAGTTCAACCGTGCCGTTACCGTTTTGCCTGATAACCTGTCACCGTGAACCGTAAACCGTAAGCCACTCACCCATTTCGATAACATTACAATATGCATCCCAGTGTTGTTTTTCGTGAGCGTTCCGTACCTCATCTGCATAAGCTTCATTTCCAAGCGCATGTCAGCCTTATTATTGACAAGTTTTAAACTCCAGCTTAATTGTTGAATATTCTGTTTTCTGCAGCTACTGGTCGATGCGCGAGAGCAGCGACAGCGAGACCTTGATGACGACGAGGAGAATGAGATGGATCGCGGGCGTCAGCGCAAGGTGAAGTCTGCCAAGGGAAACAATAGCAGCAATGCTAGCAACAGCACGCCCGGTTACAATCCATTCCAGGAGTACGAGGGCCAAAAACGCTGGAACAAGAACGGCGGAGGAGGAGGATTTCCACGCTTCTACAACCAGAACTTTCGCCAGAACTTCCAACAGCGCAACAAGTTCAAGTTCAACCGTTTTGGGGGACCTGGCAGCGCCAAGTTCCAGAAGCAGCGAGCTCTTCAGCGTCATTTGGCCGCCGGCGGTGGCTTTAATCGGCGGCAGCCATCGGCACAGCAACAGCAGCAATCCTAACTGGATGCGGATACACGAGGATCACGAGAAGGAGACGTCGATGCGACTGCGGCGTGTGCATTTGTTATTGGATTTCAATTACGCATGAGTTTTGTAAACGTTTTTTAACTGCTGATGAACATATTAGAAGTAGGAGTAGCCGTAGGACTGTAAGCTATAAGCTAGAACGTAACTGTTGCCCCAAAATAATCCCAAGCCCTAACCCGAGAACGGCCCATTAGAACCTAAGACTAAGACTATCATTAAGAGGTATAGATGATTGCGAGATTGTGTTTGGCATTTTATATTTATTGTGTTTGGCTGGAATTCGTGTCTATACATTAGAGTGGTAGCCGGCCGTCCGTGAGGAACTAAGGTTACTGCTCTGATGCCGCCACTCACAACACAGCAAGGTTACCGCTCTGATGTTTCATTTTTAAAAAATGTTACCCCCACAGAAGAAAACACTTAATATGCTAAATAGCTGCGCATAATGGAAATAAAGAGCAACCCAATATTTTAAGAGATTAAACCTAAAAACCATGCAAGAAAACTTTGTATATAGATTTTGAGAATAGACCTAGACCCATGAAAAATCGAGTGTAATTTTAGCGGCGACCCCCTTTTATTTATAGAGAGCATAACCGAACAGCGGCGAGCAGCGATATTGCCAATGTTAATAACCCCCAAAAAAAAAAAAAATAAAGCATGTTGGATGTATATGTACTATGAATATGAACGAGAATATGTGCGCAAGCGAGAGATAATCGATCGGCGTATTAGCAAAATTATTGTACAAGCCAGGAATTAAACAGTTTATTTGATCAACTAGAGTAATAGTAAATAAACCGTAAAACAAACTATGCTTAAAGCTAAACTTAGTCGGCGTTGCGCTTGCGCCGCAGTTCCTTCTTGTTGACCATCCGGCCCTTTCGGTATTTTGTCTGTTGGCCCTTTCCATACTTGAGCTGTTTCCGCTGGTGCTTTGGAACGCTCTTAATGGTGTTATTTCGATCCCGCTTGGCCTTCTTTTGGTTGTTTTTCTTATCGAGGCGCTCCTTTTGCTTAAAAAGTTTACTCTGATGCATCTTCTTTAACGTTTTGGTTTTCATCAGACGATCGAGATCCTTTTTGCTCTTGATATCTGGCTGAGATGTGTTTGCTTTCTTGGGCTTTGAATGCTCTTCATCTTCAGGCTTGGTTTTTCGTTTACGAGCGTTTGGATCGAAATCCATACCTGGAATCCTGTTTGGTTCGGTGGGATCGTCTTCTTCGCTATGAGAGTCTTGCTCCTCCGGTTCGCTTTCCTCCGCCGTATTGGCCCCCAACATATTTCTTTTAGCTGCTAGATCATTGGTAGTTAGCTCTACGATCTTAACCTGCACTTCATCATCTTCGTAAGTTTCCTGCTTCTGCTCCTCCTCTGCCTTGTCCTCTTCGGTGAGTTCGCGCAATGGCTCAAATGTCTTCTTCAGATGGTTAAAGCCATCTTTTACTTCTTGCCGAATGCGCTTGCGCTCATTCTTGAGGTTTTTCTCCAGCTCCGCTTTTGCACGCGATCGCCTTTCGTTTTTTCTCTTCCGGAAGCCACTGAGGAACTCACTGTAGGATGAGAAGTGGACGTTAGTACAATCTGGATATCAATTATTGTTCTCACTTACATGCGCTTCTTGTTGTCAAATACAACTTCTGTTTTCTTCTTGGGGGTTTTTTTTCTGGTCATTTTAAAAACTTCTTTTGTTTACGTTTTCAACATGTGCAAGCCTGCTTTAGTGTTACCAGGTTGCTTAAAGATTTTTTCCCCAAAATATCAAAACATGTATTTTAAAAATTTCAAATTTGTTAAATGCAATGATTTATAATCCATTTGTTTTATTTAAATTCTTGCGAATTTTTCCTAATTTCTTGATTTATTATCTCGGATCATAACTGAAGCAAAATAAGTGTTAATAATCGCAAGACGCCAGATGCAATTTCAGTTAGCAGTTTTTATTTTTAAACTTTTCAAATCGCTTTTCGTATATATATCACATGATTATATGTTCAAGTTCAACAAGTTCTTCTAAAGAAGCATTAACATTACACAATTGTAAGACTAAATCTAGGGAACTTCGTACAACTCTACAGTCTATAACTAAGCTAAATACAATTAACGATATATTCTGTTGCCATATGTATCTGGTATATGTTTCGAAACTGATATATATAGTTTGCATCATAAATTCATTGGGTTTCCATTTATCTGTACCTCCGTACTCACTCGTCGTCATATTCTAAGACGAAGAGCTTTTTGCGTCGGAATGAAGATGTGTCGAGGACCTTAGCGGAAGACAGGGCAGAGCACGGACTTTCGAAATCTTGAACATGGACAAACCTTCCGAGCGAATCAACACTGAAAGGGTATAGGTTATAGGCTAGTCGTTGCTAAGGACACAAGGGTACTCACTTATTCTTTAGCAAATCCATGCGAGATTTACCCTGGTTGCTGTTAAGTGGTGTGGAATTTATTACGTTGGGGGTATCCTGATTAGACAAGTCCAGTGCGTCTTCGCCGGAAAGAAAGTCAGAGGCATAACAGTCGCGATTGGCAATGGGTGTAGATCCTATCAGCTGGAACTCCACCCGGGGCAAAAGAGGCACTCCTTTGGACGTGGGAGAAGAGGGAACTACGTTGATTTTTGGCTGTGAGGGAGCTATGGGCTTGCATAGATGAAGAACTTCCAGGAAGTAAAGGAAATAACGGAAAGCGGCCGTTTTCCAATTGCACATTCTTCCCCAGACGGCGCGTCGAGATCGCCTAAAACTACGCGACTGCAAATGTTTTAAAGATAAGAAAATATTTCATGGATACACTAGCGAACTCTTACCAGCATACTGAGATTCATAAGCGACTTGCGCTTATTTTGCAGGTGCTGCAATTTGGGGTGTGAGAGTAGTTGATCTGCTGTTGGTCTTTGCGCTGGATCAGGCATCATCATGGACTTGATCACCAATTGTAGCTCCAGAGATATTTCTGTTATAGCACAAATGATTAATTAGCTATCTAAAAAGTTATTCCATTGGAACTCACTGTTGATAAACTCCTCGGGCAGAATTCCATGCCTAAGCTCGTGCCAAAGTGGACCGTTTGAGGGAAGATCCATGTAGCAAGCTAGTTCCAACATGGCTATACCTAGACTGAAGATATCAGCCGCTTTGGAGAAGTGTCCCTGTAGTATCTCCGGAGCCATGTACCTGGAATCTCCCTCTGTGGCATGGTGGCTATTAGCTTTGTCTACATCGATGACTAGACCAAAGTCTGCCAACTTGCACGTTTCGTCGTCCTCGCCGATCAGGACATTGTCCAACTTAATATCCAGATGAATGAGATTCCTGTCGTGCAGCGACTTAAGGCCCCTTAGCAGATCCAATAGGATGTGCCAGATACGTTCTTCGGGAATTCTTTGGCAGCGTAGCAAATACTGTTCCAAGCTTTCGCGGCACAGTTCCATTTGCATATACAGACGGTCGTATTGCTCCCAAGCGCGAATAAACCGAATGCAGTTCTCGTGACCGGAGAATTCTTCGTACCGTCGAACCTCTTCCAGACGCTCGGCGCGATACTGCTCGCCACGGAATAATTGCTTTGAGATCTTCACGGCGTACAGTTGGCCGTCGGACCGATCGCGTACCTGAAAGACCTCGCCGAAGGATCCTTCGCCCAATTTGGCAAGCCGCTCGAAGCACTGCTCAAAGTGTGATAGTGAAAGGGAGCTTAGCTCCGCTTGGAATGGCGACGATGGCAAAATACTCGAATCCGAACATCCGGCGTCCCGGAAGGAGATAGCGTGGGCGATCTGGGAACTATTGGCGCTGCAGGAGCCCAGCGATTGGCTCCTGTTTAGATTGTTGTTGTCCACGGTGATGTATCCGCGAGTCTTGTACTTCGGCGGCCGGAAGCGATTGCTGTTCTCGCCATTGCACTGTTTGTGTCTGTGCTTATCGTCGTGCAATTCTGGGAGCGGTAGTCGATGATGCTTTTCCATTTTCATTTTTTTAATTTTTTTAATGAGTGAATGAGTGTGACCATATCCGACAACGGGGAAAATCTTGGCTCGCTAGGGACAATAAGAGCCGGCTTTATTTACATTACTTTTAAATATCTTAACTATTTTATGTTTATATGTTTTATTATAATTTAAGTTTATATATAGTAATAAAAAACAATTAACTTGGTTTCTTATCAAATCGTAGAAATCGTAAAATAGATATGGGCAGGCAGGAGAACAATGGTGTCATAATCTTAATATTATTTTTTGAGAATATGTTGCTAATTTATTTAGTATTAATGTGATGGGACATGCTATAAAAGTGTTCTAAGCCTAGATTACATAACATACGATATAATTCAAATATTGTAGAGTATGCCGCCTAAAAGCGGTGTTTATTTAGTATATTGCACACACTGAAATCTAAGATGTAGTATTATTTTCGTAGGTAATTGGTATATTTTAACGGTCCAGCTGCGGCCGCACTGAGTTTATTAACATAAAAAACAACAAATTTATTAGCAAAATGGTTAGCAGAAACTTAGAAAGGTAAATAAGACTCGGAGTGACGTTGGTGTAGTGGGTATTACGCAACGAATTCTGCCTAGTTTCGGGCGTATCCCAGATCTTAAAGTGCACCTGTTCTGATTATGCAATTTACCAGGCGGCTTCTTTATTTATCTCCCCCCCGGACAATGGCTTCTGCGGTTTGGGGCTTAATCTCGACCTTAACCTTATGTTTCTGATCAAGATAGCCATGATTGATTTATATGTTTTTCGTCTACTTTCGCAGCACGAGTAAAGTTCCGACTTTCCATGTCATCCGAGAAGTCTACGACAGTTCCAATGCCCACGAAAGATTTGAGGCGGAACTGGACAAGGCGCTGGAGGCCAAGGTTGACTTCATCATCATAGAGCCACCTCGTTTGGGAGACGAAACTGGTGAGTCCAGCCGAAATCTTTCCTTTTATAAATTATTATATTCTTGACGCCTTTTTTATTTAAATAGTATTTTTAAGTATTGTTAAAATGATTAATCAAATCTAATACATTACTTGTCATCATAGGTCGTTGGATTTGGGTGGGCAACTGTCTACACAAAACAGCAGTTGCCACTGGAGTGGTCTCTCTAGTGGCCAGTCTGTTATGGCGCGATCGCCCCATCATTGCAGCTCCCGCCTGTGCCCTTTCCCTTTTTTGCACGGGACTCTACACAGTCTCTTGGAACTATGATCCTTGTTGTCAATATCAGGTTAGAAATTGAATACCTTTTATATCCTAGATTAACCGACTAATTTTTGGAACTTTCATAGGTGGAAAACAACGACACCGTGCTGGAGAAACTACCACTGACAGATGTATCCTCGCCTGTGATTCTGGGCTACTCGCCCAATTCAAAAACCAAATACTTGCACCGTGGCGTATCCTTCCTCTCTGCTGCATTGTGCGCCTGGCAAATTTGGAGGTCCTACAAGTAGAGGATGAAAATGAACCCATAAAATGGGCAGCTTCTGGATTGGGCCACTCCCCTGCGGAGGAGTAATACCTAATAAGTTTAGTTTAGGCACCTAAGCGAATGCATTTCTTTTAGATATTCGAACGATTTTAACTTAATGTCCTGTCCTTCGTGAAATTTTGAAATGTTTTCAAGTCCCAAACCGTATCTGTCCAGTGCCCAGTTTTATTGTTTTTGTGGCTGCCATGTGAACTATCGCTAGTATGCTCATAACTTATTACGGTTCCCAGGCCTAAGTTAGTCATAAGGAAAGAGCAGCCTCTGCACTGTAAATTAAGCAAAGCCAACTTCTGTGTATAAAGCAAAACCCATTTATAATTGTTATTAGAGTCTAGTTAAAGATATCAGAAAGCGAAAGGCAAATAAACGCAATGCGAATGTTATTTCCAGGCTTTTAAGTTATTCTTTAACAAAGAGAGTGTAAGAGAATGTTTAATAAGAGATCCCTTAAAACTCGCCAGCTGATGATTTATGGAAATGTTGCGCTTCATGCGGGCTCTCTCCGTTGTTCTCGTCTCAGTCGTTTTGTGCATTTTGCTGGCAGTAGTCGCTAGCGCCAATTGATCGATCAAGTGGTGCGTTCCAGTGCGATCCGGTAAGGGGCTGACCCACTCCACAGCACCACCTTGATGCCGAGGCTGCAGCCAAAGCAGTTTTACCATGGACTCCAGTCACATAGCCGTGAGAATGGGTAAGACCGACGACAGATAAGAATGGGGCTTGATAAGATAGTCAAAAGGGTAAGATATATCAGCATCATGGTCGGCTATCACATCTCAGTTTGTGGCAAGATGCCAATCTTTGTAAGCGCTTATAATCTACGAGCGATCAGCAAGTATTATGCTCACCAAGATCAAAGTGGACTGGACAAAGTGTGCCACTTGACCAATCATCTACGAACTTTTATCTTGGCTAAGCTCTATTGTATGTTTTTTGTCCTATATTTCGCTACGATAGCACGCCGAAGTCCATCACCAGCTGGGGTCTCCCAGTCTTCTTATGGTAGTTTTCGATCAACAGACGATATCCGCATTCGAGTCGACGAGGATTGCGGTGTCAGCGAATCCACCCCCTTGCTCGTAGCTACCCAGAGATCCAACAAATCACCCTCAGGCTCCATAGCCACCACCTCCTCGTCGTCGCCATCCTCCGGAAATCCGAGCCTCTATAAAGACTGCTTTAATTGGCGCTCGGTGGGACTATTGGTCATGTGTGCCTCCGCATTGGGACTGGCCATGTATTTACTATGGAGACAAAGTGAGTTTTCCAGCTGATGGAAACTGTTGGGTGCATGAGTACGTGCTCAATTCGTTTCTGTTTGTATAAATAAATCTGAATTAGCTGTGAGTTATGATAAGCTGAACATAACATGTGAGTTTTTGTGGGAAGGCGGAAGTATTCAATGAGAAGTATTTAAATTACAGCTTTCTTATCAAAAAATATTCTATAAATGTTAATAAACCCAAAGAATACTTCAAAATATTTCAAAACATTTTTGATAAAGAATATTAAAGCTCTTTGTGATTAATGGGTAAATTAAAAAAAAAAAAATGTATTTTAATGTCTGAATCACTTTGCATTGCTTGCAGCCCAAATGCCGGACTTTGGCTACCGACTCAGTCTCATAGAGCATGATGTATGGTCGGATGTCAATCTTCATGGTCAGGGAGCTGTATTGGATCCGGTTAATGTCTTTAATGTGATTTTTACTCACACGGAGGGTAACGAGTGTGTAGACGACTGCACGGAAGTATTACACAAGATGCAGGTAAGTTCATTGGAATTAAGAAATTTAAAATATGTAACCTATTTAAATCCTTAGAAGTCTCATTCGGAGGAGCTACCCTACAACTTCCTAGTCGCCGGGGACTGTCAAGTTTTTGTGGCCCGAGGGTGGCAGTATGAAAACAACTTCACAAGAGATCTGCCAGGAAATAGTTCCCTAGTTATGGCCTTCGTGGGAAACTTTAGCCGGAGGACACCTATAAAGTGTCAATTGAAATCAGCCCAAGCTCTTATCTTAGAATCGCTGAAACGCAGAAAATTGCAATCGGACTACCAACTATATGTGGTGGGCAGCAATTTGGAGGCAGTGGAGGGGGAGCTAAAATACTGGCCACATTATGTTAGCCACCGAAGGACAAAGTGAATCCAATGTATAACTTTCCAAATTATTCCTCTCGTTTATTGTACGCCAAACACAAACAGTATACAAAGAAGCGCAGGATGAGTAAAGCGGGTGCCACCGATAAGCAAATCAAGGATCCCCAGGATCGGCTCTGGCGAGGATCGGGGGACCAGCGAAGCGTTGCGCATTGGATTAACGGATGATGCCTAAAACTATGGACTAAAAACTACAACTAGATGTGGGTCGGCTAGTCGAACTCCAATTTCCGAAAGCTGCCCTCAATGGACTCGATTTGTGAAACGAAGTTGGGTCCGCCGGTAGAGGCCTTTTCTGCATTAAAGCTACTCCTCCGCTGGATGCCACGATCGGAGAGTAGAACACTCTTATCCAAACCGAGTATCAAATCCCTCTTGGTTGCTAGCTCATGTTTCCACAGTTCGATCATCTCGCGCATGGGTATGGTGCCACCCATTTCCAGAGGGAGACAACCTTGATCCACACATTTCATTAGCTCCTTTTCGCTGCCATAGATGATTAGACGGTTCTTCATCTTGGAACTGACGCGGTTCTTGACGAAATCAATGAGCCACTTCAGCGTGGAGGGTACATTGATAAGGTGGATCTCCTTGTGTCGCATTGGCAACGATTGCTCACCCCATTTGAAGATGCGGGCGAACTCAGTAGGATTCCAGTTGGTCACGTGCGCTGTGGAAACGCCAGCAAAGTCACCCACATGTGTTAGCCCAGTGATTTGGGTCTCCTGATCCTCCATAAGGCACTCATAAGTAAGGAAATGCGCCTTGGCCTGATCGCAACTGGTGTGAATTTTTGGATTCAAGCCCTTGGCATTGATGACCACTACCCGGCGACCGTGCTTATCCCTCTTTGGCACTGCAAAAATATATCCCTGATCGATGAGGTCGCCAAGTCGCGGTTCCAGGTAGTCCAACTGAGTGCTCATGTGTGGAAATGTGCGACGAATGTTCAGATACTTGAGAAGCGTTTGCTCAGCCATCGGGACACTGAACTTCTTGGCGCGCAGGAATCGCAGGAGGAAGGTATCGTCGCATCGGACATTCTGCAGATCCTCATTCTTGGCCACCCAATTCCGCAGTTGCTCCAGACTCTGCTCCCGAGTGCATCGATCCTCCCGAAGTTCCCTCTTGGCAATTTTTAGGAGTGCCTCTGTCAAGATTGTGGTTTCACCCTGATCCTGCACCATCTTGGTCTCCTTCATCACTGGTAGAGCTAGGGTATGTATGTCGTTGCTACTCTGCGGTTAACCGATGAGCATGAATTGCTTCCACTACAAAGGAAGATAAGAAGTTCAAGCATTAGTTGGGATGTTCCATGATGAATTCTTATGATTAATAATGGCTGATTTAATAGCAGCCTGTATTTGTTCTTAACTGTAGGTAATTTTTAAAAATTCATTAATCATTATTAACAAGAAAAGTTCCTTACATTCTTTCAACCATGACTTATAACAAATAAACTTATTGTTTAATATGGTTAATCTATAAGATTTATTAATGGTCTTCCCATCGAAATTGGTTCAAGGTCTCTGTGATCTCAAGGCAAACGCCACCGGACCACGGGTCGCTGTAATTTGCAAATATTTGTTAATTAAAACTCACAAGAGACTCGTATTTGTTAAAACATCCACCAAATGCAAATGGACAATACGTTTTTTCACCGAACTCAAATCCGACGAAATGAAAAAATGTATAATTTATTCACTTCTTTGTTGTTAGGAGACCCATAAACCGACAAAATGGCATTATGGCCACATATAAAATATGGCAAAAAACCACAGAGATTTGGTTCAAGTTCAAAACTGTTTACAGAAAGCGGGTCAAAAAAAAAATGGATATGAAACATACAAAATACAACAAAAAGTGTTATCAATTAGTCAGTACAAGAAAGAGTTTTACTGTTTGCCCGGTTTTGAGTTTGTTGCATAACACAATAAAGAGGCAGGAAAGCAAAGAAAAATAAGAGGAAAGCGGCTACGCAAATCAATGGCCCCCATTTTTGGAGTCACTGTGTTTGACTTTACAGATAAACAAAGTGCGATCATGGGATGCACCAACACGCTCATCTTAATCCCAATATTTGCACACAATTTGTGATCCGAACTTCGGCTCGATTTGATTGTTTTATGGCTTGCCCTTTGTCTTTGGGGAATTTAAGACATCGATAATCAAAATCCGTTTTCCCATGACATCGACCCATTTGCATACATCTGTATATGCCTTTGATTCGTTGCGAACTCTGTGCCATTTAATTGATTTCATTTTTGGTTAAAAATTTGCATTCGATTTTTTTTGGTTGTTTTTTTCTTGTTGTTTTAATTTTTTGTCGGTTTTTCAATTTTCGTTTTGTCGGTTTTCCCCCAACTGGAAATGCGATTTCAAAATGTCATTGGGCAATGCGCCCGTTGGATCCCTCTCGCCATCTCCTTCGCACAGCATCTAGCCCTCTCTTTCACCTGCAGTTTCAACATGTTTATTAGGAGCTCGTTGCGGCTTGCGTGGCTTTTGTGTGGCTAACTGGCCAATAATGCAACAGGCGGTGCAATCGTGGCTTATTTGGTAATTGTTATTCCACAGCCTCATATTCTCTTGGCTGATTGACTTTAAGGAAGGTTGCAAGTTGATTTTGTTTGCTTTGGATCGATTATGGCCAAGAGGTTAATTAGGTTTTGAATTATCTGTTGGGCTTTGATTGCTTCTTGATTGAATTCTATATGAAAAACAATTTTTTTCGAGGTGATTTACAAAAAAATTAACTAACAGGTGGGTTTGACATTAGGAATTTTTTATAATTTTGTAATCTGAAATTATAGAATGTGATTTTTTTTAAGCTTCTTCGGTTTTTATTTCTTTCTTCTCTACTGAATTTTATCACTTGAGTTATCCTGTTAGATAAAAACCTAAAGTAAGTAAAATCCTCTTTTGTTTAAAATCAAAATAAATCCTTTTTGGGCTACTTGATGCTATCACAAACACAAACACTTTTTCACTTACACCCTCTGTTTCGATTCCTTTTTATCGCTAAATATAGCACGCTGCGTATGAGCAATGCCAAACTCCCGTTTTGCAATCCTTGATACGGGGTCTTGGGCTTTGAGTTATATCTCTACGAGATATGGCAATGTCAGACGATCTTCGAGAGACGACGCGCCGATTGAAAAATACGTCCAAACAACGCGAGGTCCAAACAACGAATGACGCTGACTGGAGAGGCCTCGTCTAGCAAAACAACGAAAAAGCCCGAGGAGAAACAAAAATTGTTAAAGAAATTAACTGGATTATATAATGCCCACACAAACATAAGCATAGCTATGGTCTATAGCCGAGCGTCTGAGCGGGATTCGAATGCAATCTGATCGGTTTGTTCGTTGGTTGGTAAATGCTTCTGCTGCTGCTGCGGCTGCTGCATGGGATAGAGTTGGAGGGAACAAGTTTTTGGGCAGCCGAAACTGAAAGTACGAAGTACACGAACCTTTTAGCCATATGTTGGGATTGAGGAGAGGAGAGCCATAGCCATAGCCTGATCCCAGCCATCAAAGGTAGCCATAAAGTATTAAAGAGTTGCTGTTGTTAAGTAATGGCATTCAGTCATTCAGTCAGTTGGTCACTTGGTCAGTGGCTGTAGATCAGGTTCGCTATAGCGGTTTATTTTCGACTTTTCTCCTCAGCTCCTACACTTACTCTTCACCGTGCATAAAGTCCGCCCCCCTTTTCATGCCCATTTGATTCATTAGGTTTATTGAAAAATATTGCTCACTGGGGGACTGGTAAAAAAAATTTGCATTTTCATGGACCGACTTTGGTTTGGCAGTGAAGCAAGAATGGTGACCAACCTTGAAAATGCAATCCCCCCGTTGGTAATGATGCTGTCGCTGTTGCTAATAGCCAAACACCTAATGATCACCCGGCGGATACGTCATCTCGAACGATGGTGATATTTACCCAGCTCTCCATTTCCAATTCGAATTGCGACTGCAGTTTACTGCTGGGAAATGCGTTGGCCCTTTGATATTATTGTTTTTTGAACCCAGGGCCGTGACGTGGGCTTGGAAATTTGAGTATCTCTGGCATTTTGGACATTTCCCAACTGCGAAGGGCGTAGGTCCAGTGATCGTAGCATTCATTGAGTTACGATCATCAGCATGCTAATATAATGATTAGTTTCCGTTTGCCCGTGGGCGAGTTGATTGGATAGGTAGGCACGCCCAGAGTGCTAAACAATCATTAAACTGCAGTGTGAAAATGCCTTTGTTCGATGATAATTAATGTTGATCTTGTTATGAGCCCTGTCTCAATGACAATTTGCTTAATTGATGGCTGAAAGAAGGTCACTTGTGAGAGTGAGTCCCTTTGAAATTGATGATGACATGCATCCGGTAAACATTAAGCTCTGTAGAAAGAATCTTGTAATGTATAAGTTGGAAACTTATTGGATTTTCGAGCTTAACGAATCTTACTGTTTTTCTTCCCGCTTCTTACTTCATTAAATTTAGGGTAACAGGGTACAGATATCTTTTAGATTAAATCAATTAATTTAAACTTAAATTACCCTCTACCTCAACGGAGACTTCCGAGTTGTGGGTTCCTGTCTGTCACACGATCGGGTTATTCCCCTATTACACCGATAACCTTCGCCATTGTCCCTGACCAGCCCGGATTGACCTACTCCACCGGCTCAGGCACATTTTAAACAGATTCGTTATGTTGGTAATAACCGTACTCGCTTTGCCAAGTGCTTGGTGTAATGTGCTCACTCATCGCTGGCACGATTTTAATTTCTTAGTCTTTTCACATTTATATTTTTCGTTTTCGTTTTTTTTTTGTATATGTATGTACTTGGCTTGCCGCATAACGAGTTTATGGCAAAGATGCCCCAACAGCCCGACAACCCGTCCAATTGCTCCACATCAGCTGGTAGGTAGCCTGTTTATAAAGATGCCGCCACCTCTTGATGCGAACAATAATAATAATTTTTAATAAACACATTACATGGCGCAAAGGCAGACGAAACAATTTGCAATTTCTGTGAAACGGAGGGGGTAACCTGTACATTTCGTTGGATTGGGTAAATTTTTTGAGATGGCAGGGGTAAACCTTTTTCGAAATACAATCAAAAACACATGACTGCCCACAAGATTTTACGGAGCTTTTTGAATTTGGTCTTAACCATAATTAACATGGAAGAAAATCAGCAGCACGGCTTAATTATGGTTTTCGAAAATGACCCTAGCGTCCACATTATCTATCCATACATTCTCTTTCTGGCTGCTGGCTGTTGGCTGTTTTTAAATCCCTCTTGATCCACCGAAAATGGTTTGGGGTCGTGTTCGTAAATTTGCATATCATTTTAGGTGATTTACAGAACAATAATTTATCATCTTTGCCATTTTAGGGCATCGTTGAGGGGGCTTTTGGCCCAATACGCAATAAAACTTTTGGTTGATACTTGCGCAGCTACCACGAGCACCTGCCCAAGGTAAATAACTTCTTGGCTTACTTTTCGGTCGCGAAATTGCGTCAATGGTTAATTATAATTGCACAAGACAATGTCGCTGCTCTTGAGCCATTGTAATAAATGCTAGGTAGGAAATTATAGGCGAATGGCCAAATGGGCTGTTCTGGCCAATTTGAACCTAACTTGGGTAGCTTAAATTAGATACCTCCAAATATCATACATCCGTTGACTTGCGTTCCAATACGAGTGAGCCTGTGATGCAAAATAATTGGAAAACGTTTAAGCTTAAAGAAATAGTTCAAAAAACGTTCCTAAAATTAAGTTTAATTAAGTTAAAAAAGCTTGAATTACACTTTTGCAGGACTTATTAGGACATATTTTCAGAGTTAATATAAAATGAAAATAGTTTTTAATAATAAAATGTAAATAATAACTTTATTTTATTTTAGACAACAAGAACAAGTGTTCATACATACGAAAAGTTTTTATTTTAAAGTATTTTGAAAACATGTTATGAAACTCAAGGAAAAGGAAAAATCAACAGGTTTTTAAAATCCGATAGGCTTGTGGGCGCCAAAAATAACAGAGTTAAGATAAACAGCAATGTTATTAACATTACTACGTAGGCGCTGAAAGCATCAACAGGTGGATTTCATGTAGATAAACACCATAGGATCAAAGGAACGATTTCTGATCAAAAGTTTCTTTATTTATGAAACAGTTAAGCAGTTATACAGAATAAAACATACACTTATACACAAAAAAAAAACATGAAAATATTCTGTTCCGCTGAACAACAATTACCGATCATACACTATTACAATTATACATAAATTATAACCAAGTTAGCAGCGCTTTTAAGAAAAGCGCGTCATTTAAACGGATTCATTGACAAGTTTATACAATTGACTTCTAAGCTACGTTTGATCATTACAATAGGAGTAGATTACTTAAGTATTATAGGGGCTAGTATAAATAACATAAATGTAAATTAATGCAATACAAAGGACAGACACTGGATCAGAATAACATTCGGTACGCTAAACATATAGATTTTAGCCATTTATTAGTGATCGTACAATTAGTTTTCAAATTAAATCATTTAGAAATAGAGTTTGATTTACAAAAACTAGAAGCTACATAAAAAACCGCGACATGGTCTCGCGGCACTCATAATGAGATGCTTTTGCTTGACGCAAGAATGAACAAATTCAAATAATTGCCATGGGGAATCTGGGGGGAGTTATTCGGAGACTACTTAACCAAATATTAGTACGTAGGTAATATATGCATAATGAATAATCCGGCATGAATGTGTGCGACTGTCTCTGCTTGGGTGTATGGGAGTGGTGTGTGTTTTTTGTGTGAATAGGACATAACCGGAACGTATCTAAATTATCGTTACGGGGTTTATCGCTTATCTACTGCAGATATAGCCTATGATAATCGTTGGCGCCAAAAGCGCAGTTGCATTTGGGACACTTCCGCTGCCGCGTTTCATACCGTGTTCGCAGGCAGTCGTAGCAGAAGACGTGGAAACACTTTGACAGCACCGCATCCTTCCGTTTCACCTTGCACGAGGGACATGTGAGCGTTTCCTTATACTCACGAATCTCCTCGATCATCACCTCGTCGATTGTGGTGCCTGACATTTCCATCTTCTTCATGCGTTCCGCCTTGCGTTTAAACTGCGCCAGCTCCTCCTGCAGCCGTTTGGTCTTATAGGCCTCTGCCTCCAGCGAGCTGGTCTTCTCGGCAACTACCTGTTGGGCCTCCTTCATTTGCGCGTGATACTTTTCGAGATGCAGCTTTAGGTCAGCAGCCGACTGCGCCGATTCGATCGCCTTGCGTTTGTGCATTTCCATGGCCTGCTGGCGGAGCATCAACTCCTTCTCAATGGACGCAACGGTGGCCTGTAGACTGCGCTCCTTTTCCTCAAGCTTTCGAAGAACGATGTGCATAGCCTCGATCTGGGTGGTTGCCGTCGCCATCTGATCTTCCAGCACAGTCTTCTCCTCTCGCAAAAGCTTGTGCAGCTGGTTGGCCTTAATGCGCTCCGACATAAGCTTGAAGTTGGCATCATCCTTTTCGCGCAGCTGCTGTATAAGCCGTGAGTTCTGCTCCTGCATGTCTTCGAAGGCCTGCCCAGTCACCTCCATCTCGTTGAGCAACGCCTCTTCTTCATGGGAGCCAACAAAGGGTCGCGTATAGTTGGCTGTGCCAGGTGCACCACTACCCCACGAATTATCCGAGGGCTTGTGGTTGGCCATCTGCTTTTGCAGCTCATACTTCTGCTCCTCTAATTGCTTTATCTTCCGTAACGCCTCCTCATCAGCCAGTTTCTTCCGTTCCTCGCGCTTGCTCTCCTGCAGCTTCTTTAACTGTTGACGCAGCTCTTCGATTTCAGAACGCAACTTTTTCTCGGTGGCCATCAGCTGGACCTTGTCACGCTGATCCTTCGAGACGCCTTTGTACATGTCTAGTAGCAACTTCATTTCCTTTTGGTCGTTCAGCGCTTTTCTGTGGAAAAACAATAATGTTATTAATATTTTTGCATTTGATTTAAAAACCTACTTTAATTGCGCCTTCAGATCCCGCACCGTTTCGCTTTCTACTGCTTTGACATCCTTGCCTTTTACACCATCCTTGGAATCCTTTTCGGCTTTAACCGGAATGGAATTTGTAGCAGAAGTCGTGGAGTTTCCAGGTCCAGGGGAATCTTTCTTTTCGGATGCCGACGCATCCCCACAACTCTGTTTTTCCTGTTTGATGCCGTCTTTGACATCCTTTCCACTGGCATCGTCATCAGCATCATCTTCGGTCGAAGTGTGATTCTCCTCCTTAATGATTGAGTTGGTATCGTTTCCAGAGTTAGTTTGGTTTGATTGGCTACAGGCTGAAGCGTTATTAGAGTTCTCCTCCTTGACATTAGTAGAGTTCTCCTGCTTAATATCTTCGCCTGCGGCACCTGTCGCCGCCTGCATCTTATTGCCTTCAAGCGTGGCTAAAGCCTCGTCCAGTTCCTTGCGTAGCTTTAAGTTGTCTGTGGATGTGTCCTTGTACTTTCGCTTGTAACGCTGCACTTCACCCTTCAGCTGGCCATTATGGTTTTGCAGAGAGGTGATCAGATGACGCATCTCGCGATTGATGGGTGCCGTCTGCTCGTTAGCCGCCATATTTTGTTCGAACTCGATTCGCAGAGCCTCGTACTCTTTTCGGATAAGAGCCAGCACGTCCTCCATCTGAATCATCTCACTGCGAACCTTCTTTTGGGCAATAAGCTCCTCGCTCTCCATTACCTCGATCTGTCGCAGGTGCTGGTTCTTGCTCGTCTGCAGCTGGTTACGGGTTTCATCCAACATAGTCTTAATCTGCATGGACTCGTTGTAGAGCACGGAAAACTGGCTCTGCAGGCACTTGTACTCCGTTGTCTCCACAATTACAGATTCGGGTAGCTGTCGTATCTGAAAAGATAAAGGTGTTTAGATTAATCAAGTGGGAGCTAGCGAACAAAGGTTCATGTAGAAATATTAAGTATCAATCTTTAACGTACATCCATTTTGAGCTTCTCGACCTCCTTGAGGGTTTCGCGATGTGTGGCATGGAGCTTATCTAGCTCTTGCAGTCGGTTGTTGGCTAACTCGCGGTACTCCTCCAGCTCCTTTTGCAACTCTTCTAAGAGCTGGCTATTAACGCTGGTGGTGGCGCTGCCAGTGCCCGTAGTAGTGGGTGTCTTGGCACTATTAGTGCTCTTATTGGGATCGCCGTAGATCTGGTGGTAGGCCTTTAGTTTCTCAATGGCCTCCGCCAGGTGGTTCTCCAGCTTATCATTCCGGCAATGGATTTTCTCCAGGTCGTATTGCAGCTCGTCGATCTGGTTCTTCAGCTCGGCGTTCTCGGTTTCCTTGGCGGTGTGGGCGTCCTGGTACTCCTTCATTTTCAGCGACATAGTGTGGAACTTCTCGTGCAGAGAGGTGTTCAGATTCTGCAGTTTGTGGTTCTCGCTCATTATCTCGATATGCGTTTGCTTCAGAGTTTCTTCCAAAGCATGGACTCCGGCCGCGGATGGAGTGGCTTCCGCATCGGCACCGGATTGCTGCTCCTCGTCGCCGGCGCCCGATCCAGCTGAAGCCAGACTATCACCTTTCAATACATGAGTAATTTTTTCATTGCGTTGCATTAACCTATCAATAACCTGTACGATCTTGGCCACCGCCCTCTTGGACACTTGGACGCGATTAGCCAGCTTTTCGTCCAGCTCCTCCTTGTCCCAGGTGGACAGTTGGGCGAGGAACGAGGTAGTGACCTCGTTTTCATTCCGGTTCTCCAGTTCGTCGGCCGTTTCGGCATCGAATCGCTGCAGCAGAACACGGATGTCCTCGTTCAACTGATTCCAATACCGATTGACCACGTTTAGAACGGCGTCGTCCTGCGTTTGCCTCTTCTCCAGCTGTTCTATGCGATGTCGCAGCTCTGCCTCTGATCGCATCCGTTGCTCAATGCGCTGGGCGAGCTTTTTATTTTGGAACTCCAGCACCTTGATGTCCATCTCCTCCAGTGTGGACACCGGCCCAATTAGATGAGGCTCGAAGTGCACCTTCTTGATAGGCGGTTGGCCGGCGGCTGCAGCAGCCACCAAGCAGCTGCTCCCGCTGGCGTCGTCGGCGCTCCGTTTCGACATCCTTGCACTGCAAAAGGGGATAGAGGGGACGAAAAGGATTTATTGCAGTTGCGAAAACCATCGGTGTGCCAAAATTATTGATTTGCCATTCGTGGCTGTACTCCATTTTTTATCGTGTGCGGTGGCGGCAGCAGTAATGGTCCCGTCATTGGCTAGTGTACCTGGCCTTTTGGGTACTCAAAATCTAGAAGATGGCATGGCACTCACCTTAATCTCCGGTTTGTACACTTTTAACTTAACATTAATTAAGGTTTTCTTTTGCTTTTCTACGTTTTGTCAGGCTTCATAAATATCGCTTGTGGGTTGCGGTCATACTTGGGATTTTCACATACGGATATACGGTAACTCTTTTCCCTCGCATTTGCGCTATTGTTATCGATGTATACATTTATCGGTTATCGATCAATTATCGGTGGAGTGAATGAAATACTAAAAATACTAAATTTCTCGCGGGAAATTGAAATAGTCGGGTCATGCAATAAAGGTTTTTTAAAACTATCTACATATTTTCTAAGATCTTATCATGATTTTTAGCTAAACAAACTTTCCCGCCAAAAAAAACCCAATATCAAAAACCTCATTCTTGGTAACTGGAAATCGAAAGTGAATTTCAATTTATTAAGTAATTTGGGATCGAACACGAAATGCACATGCATCTAATTTGATTAATGGTGGCTGGTGGCGACTACTGGGTGTGCGGTACTGGAAGTATTGCTGCCCGACTAAAAGGTTTGATATTTCAGGGCTTGTCGCAGAGTCATGCAGTCGACCTCATCGATTTTGCAGGTGTTCGCCTTAATATTGATCTCCTCCTCCTGCATCACCTGGACATGCATCAGGTACCGCATGGATGCCTTGTTCTCGTTAAGCTTCTGGTTTAGCTTACAGACGGAAGCTTTTAGGGCCTGTAGTTCGTTGTAGAGTGCATCCTGAACCATATCGCAGGTCAGCTCCAAACCAGGACGGTGGGCACGATTGCTGAGCCTCGTCTGGCACAGGGTAATCGCCCTCTGCTTGTCCATCATCTCCTTTTCCAGCTCGGTCATATTGCGTTGCACCTGATGGATGTGATCCATGGTGTCTTTGTGCTTGTTCTCCAAGCACTGCTTTACGTGCTTCGTCTCCGCGATCCTTCGCTCGAAGGCCTCGTTGGTCCTGTCCGTCTGGTTCTGCATATCCTCGCAAACCTGCTTCAACAGCAGATCAATGTAAGCCCGAAGTTGACCGGCGGACACCAAAGCCTTGGCGTTGGCCTCCAGATTCTCGTACGTCTGCGCCTGCCACTCGGTCAGAGAAAATTGGCTATAACGGGGAGGAGGGGAAGAAGAGCGAAAGTTAAGGAGTCATGGCAACTATCAGGTCGATTTATATATGTGCAAATAAATCACTAAATTTCACTTCAATAATGTAGTCTTTGGACACTTATATCCAATATCACCAAGGAAACTGCGGTTAATTGTTAGGTTTGACCTTCCTCAATACTATCCATAATCTAAAAAAGGACCAAAAGGACAGAGTTTCTTTACATTAGGTCCTTTCCTATTCTTAAAAGGAAATCATAAAAAGTTTTCGGACTTCGGATGGTAAATAGTTTGATAAAGGATTTAAAACAAAATGACTATCTATCATAATTCTGAGTACTTTAAAATAATATTAAACTGACTGATAAGATTTTCTTTAGACTTTGGAAACGATAAAAATTATTTATCATCCCAATAATATTTTTTTACCTTTCTGATGAAATTAAATCCATTTAGTAAAAACCTACCAATGCTGTTTGGACAAGTCCTGCCCTTTAGCTAAGTCATGCTGGAACTCCTTAAGTTTCAAATTCTTCTCGTCAATGGCCAACGATTTATCCTTTGCAGCCAGATCCTGATCCAAAAGATATATGGCGGCGCGGAGCTTACGGATTTGCTCTTCAGCCTCCTTAAGGGCAGCATCGGCCAATCCCTGACAACCTTTGATTACCTTCAGTTCACGGCGCAGGGAGCGGTCCACCTCATCATCGCAGAGGTCAACCCCGATCCTGCCCTCACGAAGGATCAGACACTGCTTGCAAATGGCCAAGGACTTATCCTTCAGAAACTCAATGCAGTTCAGCACCCGATTGCGATAGGTGTTCAAGGCTTCGTCCTCCAGGGCGGCGGTCTTTTTTTGACGATTCAACTCGTCAACCAGGAAACGGATTTCTTGGAAAAAGTGAAAAGGAATAAAAAAGGGTTAATGAAATGTTTTACCCATTTTTGATTTTGAAATATATACTGACCACTGGTCCTCTCGCGCATATGATGCTCAACCTCTCTTTGCCAGTTCTTGGTAGTGTCCTTCGTTTCATCAACGACGCGACGGGACTCCCTGTTAAAAAATAGGGTCACCAACTTGAATCCGCTCCCAATGAAAAATCCACCCGCCCGATATACTCACTCCACGATCCGTTCCGCCAGTTTCTCCTGGTCGCAGGTGATCCGAAACTTAATCTTGTTGTTGTAATCCCAGTCTTCCTCGGAATATCTCGGCGGGCACTTGGCCACTGGACCCAAATGCTTTCCGGCCAGCTGTAGGCCGCTTACACGGCGTGACTTCAGATTGGGCAACATCTTTCTGGATGAGATTGGGTTTAAGATTGCGTAAGCAACAAAATATACAAGAAGCTCTTGGTAAAAAGTGTAACTGTCACAGGAAAATCTCTACACTCGATTGTCCCCACCTGGCACACTTCTCGAGACCGGGCAGGAAATTATATGTACCTGGCTGGCTGGCTGCCTGGCTCGGAATCTCAACCGGAGTCGGAGGAGAGTCGCTGGCGACCTGAGTGGCCTACCCTCCTCTCCCACAGGTATGTTAAATCGATTCATGCTAGGGAATTTACGGTTGCCTAGCGGTATTTATTGTTATGTTGCTTATCCCCCCCTTAAATACCGTTAAACATACACTGTACAAAATTATAGTATTTAACCTATTATCCATAATAGTTTTTATCTAACTGTAACAAAAAACAAATTACATCGATCTAATAGGATTCGCTTCTCATCATCATCATAATTTCCAAAAAGAAATTTAATATCTTTAAAGAAGAAAGACAAAGATCAAAAGAAACCGAATTAAATTGATTCTTTACTTACACTTTTTTTTTCTGTGTATTAGTTCCATCCGACTGTGTGCATGTACTTGTCCAATGCGCTTGTGCCGTGTGTCACCTGGCAGTCAGTCCAATTGGGCACACGGAGCTCAAATCCGCCGAAGGAGCCGCCGGCGGTTCCGTCAGCTGCTCCTGCACCTTGCGGTCCCGTCTTACGGCATGTCTATAAATAGCTTTATGCCGCGGGGGGAATCCCCTCTGATTCAGCGCCTGCTCCTTGATCGATTTATGCTAACATACTTTCGCTTTTGCGCCTTCCTTTTTTTTGACTTGAGCTGCTCCTTCATACTTTTTACTTTATTGCAAAGTTTTTGGCATTAATTATGCTAATCAATGACATTTGCGTGTCCAAGTGGGAAAGACTAAAAATAAAGAACTGTCGATGATTGGTTTTGCCATTTGGACTAGCAGTTTGAGGGGATCTGAAAGGTTTTAATGGCAACTAGAAAAAAACTAGAATTTAATAATTAAATTTTAAACGAGAGAGAATAAAAAAACAAATAGCTTTAATGGTAATACGATACATATGATACATGATAATATATATTTTCATTATTCAAGTTAAAAATATTAATAAACAATTATTATATGCCAATTTTACAAATAAAAATTACAAGAAAGTATAAAGAAATAAGGTTCACACACCTTCCAAACTGTCAACGAACAGTCTCATAAATACAGTTTTAGAACCATTGACAAGCCCCCATTTGTTGATGCCTTTAGTCAAGAAATTCCCACATTGCAAGACCGCTTAAAAGCTCTCAAAGCTTTCAATACGAATTCAAATTTGTTTTTTTTTTTTTTGTAAAATTAAGTTTTAATATATTTACGATACAGTTTTGCCATATACATCTTTTATATCCACATATATACGCACTGCGCTTACAGCTAAATGATAGAAATGTACAATTTAATTAACTAGGATCTCTGGATGTGTCGACGTTATGTTTCGCTCTTTGTTTTTGGATTTCCGTGTTTCGGGTTTCGTTTGGCTTCAACGATCTTATGGATTATGGCAACTCATCCAGAACTCTTTATCGACTTGGTTATTTTGGTATGCAATTAGGCCCGGCTTAATGGGCTGTCAACAAATGTGGCGGCGCCCACTTAGGACAGTGCTTCCTACAAAATAACTATAATTAAGCCTTGTGTTGTCTCGCTGTCTTTGTATTTTTCTTTTTTGTTTGTATGGTTTATTAACAGTGAACTTTGAAATTCTATTCTGGCTTTTATCGCTACTTCCTAGTCACCCCACCCAAGGGGTTAAGTACATTGCGGATTCGGTTAATTACTTGGTTCAATTAGCTGGACTGTACAGTTTTGGGGCACTTGGCCTGAACGTAGTTATTGGTGCTGAACCTTGGTAAGAAAACCCCTGATCGGTCGATCGATGATCAGTGCTGGAGGATCTGTTTCAATTGGTTAACTTGGCTATCTACGAAATTCTGTAACTCTCTCTGCATTTAGTGTTTCTTCTGTTTGGTTTCGCCCTTGATCTTGGGTCTGGTTTAAATTCATTTACTTGCGATTTGTTTTGTTTATTGTAGTTGGTAATAATTTGTTGCTAGTTTTTATGTTTTTATGTTTTGTTACTTCTTGTTTCTTGTTTCCTCTTCTGTGTAGGCAGTGTTTCATCATTATGGGGTATTTGTTCGTTAGTTATTCTCTTCCGTTTCCGCATCGCTTTCATTCTATTTGTATTTTACATATTTCTTGGCTTTAGCACATTGCTCTGTTATGTCTACTAACAATAAAAATAATACATTTCCTTCCACAAATGAAAACAGTTTCATTTTTGGTTTTTGTTTGGGTTTTTCTTTTTCTTTTTCTTTTTCTTACATATAAAAAAATGATTGTTTAATTAAATACAAAATACATTTAGCAGTAAACAAAACCAAAACACAAAGAAATAAGTGTACAATGAAAAAAATATATGTATTTATATATTCTGTTTCCTAATTTCTCGATTTATTTTGTTAATAGTTGTTTTTTGTTTTTTTTTTTGTTTCTGTACTTTAGTTGGTAGTTTATCATTTCGTTAAGTTCTTTATTTGCATCGCACACTCTTTTTTTTAGCTGCTTGTAACAAAAATAATTGCTTCTGAGGTATTTATTTTTTGTTTATATAAATATTCTTTATACACATAACCGTTATAAGTTTTAGGTTTTAGTCGCTTTCGTTTTCCATAGTTTTTCATGTTTTCTATTCCGTTTTATTTTCTTTTTTTATTCTGTAGTTGTCTTGTCTTTTTAAACAATTCAAAGCACCTTTTGATTATATTTGACATCCTAATTTCTTTGCATTTTTTTTTTATTTCTGTAGAGATTTTCTCATTTCTCATTCCTTAGGCAAATACAAAAAATATGATTCAGATTGAAAACTGAAACGGAATATAATCAAAATACATTAATCGATTGTATACATTCTGTTTTTTTTTTATATATCTTTTTGGATTTATTGTTGTGGCAGCGTTTAGCTTCTCAGTACGCGGTATTAATTTGTTCCTTTTTACTAGCTTGAATCAAGAAATGCAACCGAAATAATCGAATTAGACCAATTCTTTGGGGCTGACTACAAAAGAGGGAGAATTCTTCTGGGGATTGTTGTTGAATACAAATTGGCTATGCGAGCAAGTTAGGCCCAAGTGTGTGGGTCACTTTTTATAATCGAGCTGGGAAACCTTTACTTTACGTTATATATATATTTTATTTTGTAGTTTTATTCTGTAATGTTCTAGTTTAGTTTATAATTTACATTTCATTTAAGTTTGTGTTGTTGGCTACGCTGCAGTTGTCCCTAAAAACTAACGTCACTCTATGTCTACCGAAGGTGTTCGAAATGACAAAAACAATTGGAAAACTGTTCGACAACATTAAAAAGTAAGCTTCAAAGAACGTTTCTAGCCAGAGTAATTATACTTGATTATGGTTGTTGTGGTTGAAACTATATGTCTGAACCATCAACTCACACGATCCATATGTATATTTATATATATAGAACTATCTCGCAAATACAGAACTTTCTTCACAATATAAACGGTCTGCTGTCTGTTTCGATGTTGGAGAGTTAAATAAGTGTAAAAAGAAATTAATGTGTTGCGTGTACATTTGAACTAAATTGTGTAAACCTTTTTGCCTATATAAAACATAAGTGTAAGTATAATATTTATACATAAACACGGATCATTTTTGGGGGTTGGGGGGATGGATATGGGTCGGGTTGCGATCTTGCCTACCATCTCTCTAGTTGTATATAGTAATTGCTATAGCATATGTTTATGTGGATGTCTCCAACTGTAGTATCTAGGTGTATCCAAAAACGAACGCCCTCCTTGGCGTAGCACAATCATCTCCTTATTCTGCCTCGGCATTCTCATTATTATAATCATAATCATCCAACAGCACGATCCGTGCTTTTCTCTTTAACAAAAACAACTTTGCACACTGAGGTCATGTGCTCCTCCGGGTGCCTTGCCTTCTCATTCCGGTGATCGTCATGCTCTTTCCGTATCCTTAACCAAGTCCACTCTCCACATACGTCATAATAGTAACTGTCAATTTCGATTTCATCTTTTTTAGGGAAGGAAGATGGTTTTCGTGGTGCTGGTGGTGGGATGGGACGGGATGGGATGGTTGGGGAGCGACCGCTCCAGCCTTTAGACCATCGGCAGACCCTGCTGCACGTCCATCATTTCGTCCTGCGCCGGTGAGGGTCGTGGCGCAAATGTCTGCATATGGTGCGGCGGCGTGGCTCGTGCAAACATCCCGGATCGCTGCGGATGACCGTGCATGGCCAATGGAGCATTTGCACCCACATTGGCCGATGGGAACTGTTGTCGGAAGCTGCTTTCCGCCAGCTGGCGAGGTGTACGTCGTGGGGACCGCGCTGGCATCCGATTAGCATGTCCATGTGGCATTTCCTCCAGTATCGAGGGCGCTACGTAGGTGAAACCCTGTGGCGAAAAAATAACGAAAACCTTGAGTTACTTGCCATTTAGAGTGTGACTCTATCCCCCCAAATCCCTGACCCACTTGATCGGTCGTGTGTGTACGCAATTGGAATCGGATCGGGCAACTACTGCAAAACTCGGTAGTCCAGCTCGATTCGATCCGATTCCCGTCTTGAATACTAATAATGCCCCCACTGGCGGCCGGAGCAGGGATTATGCAAGTCGGCCGGCTAAGCTGTGCTCCATGTAACATACATTTTACATAATTTTCCAGACCCGCCGAAGAGAGACATTAATTAAATATATATACATATATACCTTGACGAAATTCACCGGCAAATGCAATAAAATAATTAAAAGCCGCCGGCTGCCGTGTGCGCTTGTGTAAATTCCCGCGGCACGGAGGCTGGACACAAATGCGTGACGCCAGATTGGGAGGAGGAGGAGTTGCGCGGAGCATGGAGCTGCAGGAGGGGACTGCGGCACCTGTCGCTACCAGGTGAAATGTACGTGAGAGTGCCGCCGCGTTAATTGGAACTGTGATCGAGCGCTGACCCACTAAGGCATAATAATAATTTGAGGTGCGCCGAGCGAGCAATGAGAAAGTTTTCAATTAGCCATAATAAAGTTCTAATTGAATCCCAGTTCGGGCCGTGATCAGGTGCGAAATAAATCCGCTTCTCGGTACGGTTTTAGAAACTCTGAGCTTGATCTCTCATGCGAGGATTGGCTAAGCATCATTAGGTAATTAGCAAAATTATGATGAGATAACAGAAAAGAAGCTGTTCTCAAACTATTTGTACCAAAGTTTGCCAACTTGTAACCAGTTTCTTTTTATGCAAAGTCTGATATAGATATTCATATTAGTAAGAACCACTTTCTTTAATCTGTACAAAGCTCACGGATTAAAAAAAAAACTGGTTTTTGAATAATAAATAGATGCTTTAGCGTACTTTGTTGATTTACAACTCATCTACGATAAACCCTTTGTTAATAGTTGACAACCAATTTATTTGTTTAACTATTTAGCATTAATTATTCGTGATTTTCCTGTTTATCGGTTCCTAGAAAGCTTCTACATTTGCTTACACTCATTACACAACTTGTTTATAAGCCCTGAGCTGAGATACTTGCATTTTCCTGATATCCAAAGACTCCAAAACCTTAATTAGGCAATATTTAACATCTCATTTAGCCCACTAATCCCATAAGGCCTTAGGCAAAACAAACTTTACACAGCTTAGTGAGCCCCAAAACACCAAACGAAAGCAGCTCAAGGGTCGTTCGACTCACCTGGTCTAAACCAACTCAGATGTTTGTAAACAAATAAAACAAAAGGCGGGCAAGAGAGAAGGTGGGAATAAAGACCACTTGCTCTGTGCGCAATTGGCTTAAATGCAGCACAGCAAAGAGAGCGAGTAAACCAAAACATGAAGCTACTACAACCAAATCCACCGACTTGGCCACTTGGCTGCACTCATCGCCAGTCTCACAGAAACGCTCAAAGCGTTCGGACACCCCAGCAAAGCGGAGTATAAGCCAAAAAGCGAAATAAGAAAGAAAACAAACCCAAGACAAGGCAACATGGAGTAACTTTCGTGCCTCATGGTAGAAAATTCAAACTGGAGAAAGGCCTAGACTACCGCAGCTCATAAGCATTTTTTTTTGCAAGCCAGCCGAAGTCCAACTGATACCCAAAATTGCCACATTTCACCGACCATAATGCGTTGACATTGATTCTGGGCCAACGTGCATTGTCATCGGTGGTTCAGGGCTATCGGGATTACCAGTTGGTGGACCCAAAAACCAGTTGAAGGGCAACGAGACCAGCTGAAAAACGAGAGAAACTCATCGCGCATGCGTGCACGTGCATAAGTCACTCAAAAGCGTTTTGAGTTATTTTTGTGTGTCTATAAAAGTGGGACAAGAACGAGACTTCGCCACATGCTGCTCAAACTGTCGTTGTGCGGAAGTGATAAATTGGTTAAATACATGACATTGCATAACATAAACACCTAAATAAATGAAATATAAATGAGCTAACTTACCACAATAAACAAATAAAAAATGTGTAAGAAATCTATGAGCCAAATTGGCAAACGTTCGAGCTTTGTGAAAATAATAACAACACGGTCGAGCCGATAACACAAAAGCCACGCTTTGTTCGTGAATCGTGTGTAAAAACCGAAAACCAAACAACCAAGCGAGCCAATAAATAAACATTAACCAAGACAGACCACAACAGCAACAACCAAAAAGCAAAAACATATAAAAGAAAATCATAGTGTGCAAAAATCAAAAAATGTCCAAGCAGTTGAAAATAAATTCACTTTCATTGCTGCATTGCCTGGCAGCGTTGCTTTGTGCGACAGCGCTGCAGGCACAACAGCCACAGCAAATATTGCAGCAGCAACAGCAACAGCAGTTGCTAATGCAGCAACAGCAGCTGCCAGCAAGCGTTGCTCCGACAACAGCAGCAACATCGCCTCCCAGCAGCAACATCAGACTCTTGAACGCAACTTCAGATGGTGTCGCCACCACTTTCATCGACAACACCAGCAGCAGCAATGCCAACAGTAATATCCACGTCGTCCAAAACAATGAAGCTGCATCTGCAGCCTCTTTTGAGCAGCAGCCACAACAACCAACAGTGCAATATGCACATATATCGCCATTAGATAAAGAAGTAGGTATGCATCAACCAAAACAACAAAGAGCAGCAGCATCAAAAACAACAATGGATATAGCAAATCGATACACTACTGCGCCCGGAGTCATAACGAATCATTGAAACCCTTTGTGATTGGTTTACTTAAAATAATACTTTAGTTTTGATATGATCATTCAAAGATGATAATTTCCTATATACTTAAAAATACTTTTATATTCCCCATCTGTTTTAGTCATTTAGAACAATTATGATATAATTTAGGGCACCCTAATGTCACTTTCTTTCCCTATTTTGCCCATCCCACTAATCATTTCTTTATAAGTGTGGCTAAGAGAAATTTCCGTCACGACTTAGTTGAACGACTTCATCGTTTGGCCCTCGCTTATAGCCGGGCGGCACCTCATCAGGCAGGTCTCCAAGTGCGTATTTATATGGAACAGCGGTAGTCGGACGAACAGTCAGCTCACTTCGGGTAGCGTTAAATTTTGCGAATTAGCCATAACAAAAATTACCGCTACCGAGTTGATTTTTTCGGACTGGCAGTAAGGGCAGTGTGACGGTATGGGGAGGTGGAGCACCTAGCCAAGTCAACTTAATGGTCGAGCTTCAAGTGTGAAAGTGAAATTTATTACACTTGAATTTGAAAAACGAAAATCAGAGCGCTAGTCTAGAGGGGCGATAACCGAACATGTTGGGTAATTCCATGGGGTTCGGGGAGTGCTAATTAAAAACGAAGCTAACCGTGCTAACCGAGCCTATCTGGGGATTTTCCAACTCATTGCAGTCGAGCGCCTGATCAAACAGTGGGCACCGATAGTATGGCTGGCGCCGGAGGAGAAATTCATGCCTTTGGGTGTGGAGGAATTTCTGCAGTATGTGCATCCCATGGACAAGGATAGCAGTTTCCGGCCAGGAGTTCCATTCAGAGAGTATTCAACCAAATCCCACTTGGTCACAAACAATGAAATCCAGGAGCTACTAGAGGATGAGAAATCATTTTTGTATGGACGAAATCCTAATGAGAAGCCGGTGCCCATCTATGGGGTTGTCACCATGTGTCCTTCTAGGAGGGAACCAGTTATGCCTATAGTTCCTACTTCACCACCTGTAAGCACACGAGGTGCTTACATTCCCGTCTCCATCGATCCCCTCGAGGAACGTAATGACACTGTTCGGAGATCTTCTCGACTTTTTCCACTTTTTCAGAGAGTTAAACGAGAGGCGACGTCTGTTCCCCAGTACAATCCACTCAATGAATACGAAGAACTTGTTATGGAACCTACTCAGAAGCCACAAAAGCAACCGGATCTTGAACCAGAGCCGGATAACGGTGTTCCAGTAAATAATTTTATTGCCAACTTGGCGGATAATGTGAAGTTCAGCGGTGGCACCGATTCCGATGACAATCTGGAGGATAACAGTATTGGCAAGGCTCCCGAACAGGATGCGAATCTCGGGAAAGGCAAGCTACCAGGCTTTCATGTCACCTACTGGATGTTTTATCCCTACAGCCAGGGTAAGACCATGTGTACCGTTAGCTTGGGTCCCCTTGGTAGAATACCGTTTCCCGCTGTGTACGGATATTGTCTGGGGAACCGCAAGGATATTGGCAGCCATGTGGGAGACTGGGAGCACATGAGCCTTTACTTTAACGGGGATGCCGAGCCCCAAGCTATGTATGTGTCAGCCCACGATGCGGGTGCCTATTACAGCTATAATCGGCTGACAGGATCCTTTGAGTTCCGCCGCCAGGAGACCCGCAAAGGCATTTTACAGCGGCCAAACTTTCCCAAAACGGTGACAACATTTAAGAACCATCCGGTTTTGTTTGCCGCCAAGGGTTCACATGGTCTATGGACAGCGCCAGGAAAACATCGCTTTGTTAAAGTGGCACGTCTGTATGATATCAATGGATTCGGTACGCCGTGGAACACTTGGAAGGATGTTGATATAAGCTACGAGAACCTCAGATCTTATGGTAAGTAAAGACTCATATTTTCTGATCTGGGAACTTATCTTTTTGTATCACTCAAAGGTCGGTCACTAGTTCCCGATTGGCTTACGTATCGTGGCAAGTGGGGAAATCCGAAGAGCAATTGCCATCCTTTCCGGCGGATTGGTCTGAATTTCTGTGAGTTTACGGACGGACCCACTGGAATACCGCTCAAGGAACCCCACTTTCAATGTGGTGCAGATTATCGCTGAGGACTTGATCGGATAAAGAGTTCCTTGCCAAGGCGTAGACTAATGTGTAGTAAAGTATTTATTATGAAAACCACCCAAAAAGATCCCATACAAATTAAATATGATTAGAAGTGAACAAACAACCTGGATTTCTTCTTGAAACTAATGATAATTCTATGGGACACCCTTATATTCCTTTTTCCCCGCGATATTTGCTCTACTCACTTGGAAAATTAAATTGGCACTTTCGCTCAGCGTCGTATCATCGGGTGAATCCACTGGAATTTGTCTTGTGAATCTCGTATCAAACTGTGAGACATCGTCCTCGCTTCTCTGTTTTTATTAAAGATCAAGGATAATCAGTTAACCAGGTTTAGCCTTTAATCAATATAGAGCTACTTACCAAAAGCGGCTTTATAGGAGGTTCAAGGCGTCTGGCGAGAACATCGTCCCAGTTAACGTGCTTGAAGAATGGGTGTATTTGAACTGCTGCCGCATCCTCGGGACCGCTGCCAAGGCGCTGAGGTTCCTGGCGTTTCATCAGGCGTCGCACCAGATCCCTGGCTTCGGGTGTGAGGTAGGCTGGCAGATTGAGCTTGGCTTTAAGAATGGTCTCGATGGTCTTCTTACGATTTTCGGCGGTGAATGGTGGCTATTCAAATTTACCAATTATATACACGGATTTCCAAAACTCTTAGGCTGTTGACTTACGACTCCTGTGAGCATGTCGAACATCAAAGCGCCCAGTGACCACCAGTCGACTGCTTTGCCATGGCCACTTCTGGTCAAGATTTCCGGTGCCCTGTAAGCAAAAAGATCATAAATTAATTTCAAATTCACTAATCACAGTTTAACTGAATGGAAAGCTTGCGGGGCACGCACATGTACTCAATTGTGCCGCAGAAGGTGTGGGTGACAATACCCCCTTGTATGTGCTCCTTGCACAGACCGAAGTCGGTGAGCTTCACGTGACCCTGAGCATCGAGCAATATGTTCTCGGGCTTCAGGTCGCGATAGATGATGCCCAGTTTGTGTAGATGACCCAAGGCCAAAATGATTTCGCTTAGATAGAAGCTGCAAGGCAAGAGGAAGTATAAGTAATTGGCTTGATATTGTTTATGCAATTAATAGCTACCATGTGGTATCCTCTAAGAAGATGCCCTCGCGTTCCAAATGCATGAACAGCTCTCCGCCGCTCAGATATTCAAGTATAAGGTATAATTTTCCGTCTGTCTGGAAGGCATAGACCAGCTCCACTATGAAGGGATGCTAAAGAAAAAAATAAATACGAATTAGAGGAATTTAAGAGAATAAACTTTACACCGATCTCACCTTGACTGCCTCGAGTATATTGCGCTCAGCGCGAGTGTGCGCTGTGTCCTTTTGATTGGTCACTATGGATGCTTTTTTGAGCACCTTCATGGCAAAGTATTTGTTGGCATCACGTCCAGCGGTCTTGCGCACCTATAATGGTCAAATTATTAAAGATCGGACATGAGATGAGATAATATTTTACGAACCTGAAATACTTTGCCATAACCACCTTTGCCGAGGACTTTCTTGAGCTCAAAGTCCTTGGGTCCAAGCTTTTGGCCGGGATTGACATTCTCCTCGCAGAGCTGTATGGTCTCCTGGCCCTCAGTGCTATTAATTGGGAATAGAGAATTGTATATTGGGTTTAGGGGACAGATTTAATTGTTGTCTTCTGTTCAATGGTGTTTGCGTCTGTGCCGTCTAGCGTGGGAAAGAGCAGCCCACGTGCTATAAATAAATCCCATGGCGTGCACGCGCCAATCGTCACCTCCATCCCGGTCCGGCCCCCTCCCTCTTTATCACTTGCACTCCCAACCAGCTCTCGCATTATTACTGTCGAGTGTTTGCCGTGAGTCTTGTTTACACACCGAACTAGCTGGCTCATTGAAGAGGCGGCCAGGGGCCGAGTGACAGCTTGTTGGTAGTCAATAGCGGTTGTAAACACTTCTATGTCCGCCCGTTAGTCCGTCTATTGGTCCCTTATCATCGTCCAGAGTCAAACAGATGGAGTGCGTCTGGCCGGGATCAAGCTTTAAGCCAATCAATCAGCTGTTAACATTGTCGGCGTTCCCAGTGTGTAAACAAGTCCGTACTAATAATTGGCAATTAGGCTGCTCATTTGCCCGGCTTTATTCTTTTTTATCTGCTCAGCTGGCTGGAGAGGAAGTTTGATCAGATCTGACCCCTTATCTTCTCGACATTCTCGGAAAATCACAGTCACGTCCTCCAAAGTGGCGAAATAGCAATGGCATTACTCACTCTTGGTGCAGATTAATACACAATTCCGGTTCTAGGTCAACCTGCAAAACGAGAAAAAGAGACAGAGGGGGTGTGAGTGAGATGGCGATTACTTGCGAGCATAAATGCCAGCGGAATACATGCGAAAAAAGCAACAATTAATCATAGTTATTGCGAACTTGAGACCAAACACCAGAAGGGAAAGTTACACAGCAGCAGGCATCAACGAATACTTAATGCTCTTGGGTAATTAATGTTTAGGGAACTTGGAAATGGTATTCAAAAGTTTGACTTGAGAGAGAAGTTTGTGGTTAATATTATGCTTATGCGTATTAGCGAAAAATTTTAGTTAATCAACATCGCAACAAATCAGAACAAAGAGTAACCTAAAAAGTTTTAAGATAAAATGTTTTTACAATCCTAATCCCCATTCGATGTTATCCAACTTTTAGCATATATTTTAAGCATATTGAGATTCTGTTGAATGGAGAGATCGCATCGGGACAGTCAGGGGCTCGATCTTGGGTCTTGGAACTCGAATGCTATCGGCTGTTGGAGTCTGTAACGCCAGTGAATTTCTCCCCCATTCGATCTGCCCACTCACACGGAGGTATTTAGATTTACACAGAGAGAAAGAGAGGGACGAGGATACATACAGAGATACACTTTCCGCACGCACACACACCTTTTCTTTAATGACAAACTAAATTTAGAACTCGGAACAATGCCAAATAATCTGCCGGCGATGCTCGCGTTGTTCCTCGGCCCCTCCGGATCCATCTTCTGAACCCCCCGGATGCGGCTGCTCCAACTGGGGGAAGGCCACAGTTAGGGGCGGCAGAATCAGAAGAATCGGTAGCAGCCGCCGCTCTCGTCATGCTTAAAATTTGTATAGAACATTTTTGACTAAAGTTCAATTGAATGGCGGCATCGGAATCGGAATGGGCATCTCGACATCTCGTCGCACAGCACATTAAAAACTGGTTCACCTCGTCAGCGTTGGCGGTGAATTCCAATTAACGAATCCATCATAATTTATAGCGCTCACACAAATTCGATAGATAGGCAAAGGAAGGGGTGTGCGCGCTTGCGTAAATTACATTCGACAGGCTGTCGAAAGGGGGAGATATAATATTGATAAGTTCTTATCAATTCTCAAAACGGGGTTTTCAGTTGTTTGATTCTCCCAGATATTTCAAAGTTACAAGGGGCTTTATGAACACACTAAAAAATAACAATTATACTTCAAACAAAAATCAATATACTGAAGTTCATTTCCTTAAAAATGTTTAGCAGGTGACGGAAAGATCAAAGATACAAAGATCATTATTAAATGATTGAATAACTTATATATTTGACATTTAAATTAAATATTAGTTTATAAATAAATTAAGGAATGAAATAAAAATCGATCTATTATTCTGCAATTTTGAATTAGAATGTTGTAAAATGATGTAGAATTGAGGGAATCTAACTAACCAGTGTTCCTGTATAACCTATACTTAACAAAAATGACTAAAACACTACGTAATTTTAGAAATGTTCATCAATACAACAACTTATAAAGTAGTTGAATCATTTAGCATTAAAATTACTTAATAAGGCATGTACATGTAGCCATAAATAAAGCCCATAACTAATGATCACATACTAGACATTTTAACATCAAAAACGAAATTTTCTTAATGAATAAACCTAACGATATCGTATATCATTTCGGTGTACGTTGATCTAAAGTGCAGTTACATCTGGTTCCGCGGGGCACCCTAAATATTACAGTTCGGCACGATCGCTCGATCGCCTGGTTGCTTTCCTTCATTTTGTTTTGCTCCCTTATCAGTACGGTGAGGTTTTTCTCATTTTCTAATTTTATATTGTCCGCTGATAAGGAATTTCGTTTTCTAAGTGGAAGTTTAGATTCTTCCGAGGGTGTGAGTGAGTCGAGCGATCATTTTAAGATACCCTTCTCTTTTCCCCGCTACCTTTGCCGTTGTTGCATTTTCAGTTTAGACAGTGGCGGCTGATCGGGGGAGTGAAAAGGTGGAGGGGTATCAACGAAGTGTGGCGGGTAATTGGTGCTGATTATTTTGAAGGACGACCAACTGGCTTCGATTGGGCAATATCAATCGATGGTGGTTTCATAAGGAGGTTTTCGGATCGTGGGGAACTTTCCGTATAATGAGTGTACGTGCTGAATAATCTGCGACTGGATGGATGACGCCAGACATTTGCGCAGCAGATAAGCTGAGTTTGCAGGGTGTGTGGATAAATGGGATATGCTATATATTGTATATGAGAAGGGGGTGTGGATTTGGGATGGGGATAAGGGATGCCCAGACAACCAAAAGGAAAACTCGCAGACAAAGCAGAAAAGGTAAACAAAAAGGGAAATTGTTGCTGCGCAGTTTGTGAAGAGGCATGGGGAGTTATCTTACGTCGTCCAGTTCGATCCTGTCGTCATCGGAATCCCTGGCCTTGTCATCCTGCAGCTCCAGGTCGTGAAGTTCCAAATCGAAGAGCTCGCTGGGATCGCTCACGTCAGCCATTGTATGTGTGTGTGTATGCGGATATAAGGGATATGGATCGCCGCTGGTTCGCTCCTGAACTGGGCGCTCCTCTCGCGGGGCGGAAGTGTTTTATTTTAGTCTCTTGCTGTTAGTCTTCTTTTTTCAGCTGGTTCAAATGGAACAGAACAGCAGTGCCGTGCTGATTTCGTAGCTTTCGTGGCCCGAAGGTTATTGTTTATTAGTTAATGGCAATACAAATACACACACATGGGCACACGCACCAACACTGCGACGCACGCACCACGCACCCACACTCACGCACACAGACACTGCGATTTATGCCCTGCCCACGCGCGCCCTTTGATTCCGCTGATCCACAAAAATACGCAATTGTTCGCGAATGTTTAATCGCAATGCAGTAATCAGTAATTAAAATGCACTTTTTTCTTTGTTTGCGAGTGAAACACGAGGTGATGGGCTTAGTGTGGCCAGTTGCTCACGTGTCTTGAAGCACTACAAAATACCGTGGCAAATCGAGAAGGAGCTAATGAATGGCAATGCCTTTGAGCCATAAAAATGGTCACACTGAATCAGGCACGCGTTACAACAACAAAAACGTAGAACTTTTTAATTTATTAATTTATATAGCAAGTCATAGAAACTAGATATCTAAATCATGTGCACCGGTTCCCCTAGTAGCAATGGATCGCAATCGGAGGAGGGCAGCAGCTCCTCTGATCAGCAGCCCCAACAGGATGTCCACGAGCCGGAGCAACAGCTGCGCACTCCCACACATGCAGTTGTGCCTGCTGCCACATCGGATGAAATCCTGGCCGAATACGGGAGCAACCTCAAGCTCCTCGAGTGCAATTCTCAGGTAGCCGAACTGTTGACAATACTTCGCGACAAGTAGGTGGCACTCAAAAGTGGGTCAACCGTCGTGGCTACTACAAAATTCTACCCCCAGAAACACCACCCGCAGCGACTTCAAGTTTTATGCCGACCGACTGATCCGCCTGGTCATCGAGGAGTCTCTCAACCAGCTGCCCTACACGGACTGCAATGTGGAGACGCCTACAGGAGCTATTTACGAGGGCCTAAAGTACCGCTCCGGTAACTGCGGTGTGTCCATCATCCGATCCGGGGAGGCCATGGAGCAGGGACTACGTGACTGCTGTCGCTCCATTCGCATAGGCAAAATATTGGTCGAGTCTGATGCCAACACCCATGAGGCTCGAGTAGTCTATGCTCGTTTTCCGGATGACATAGGCAGCAGGCAGGTCTTGCTGATGTATCCCATCATGTCAACTGGAAATACTGTACTGCAGGCTGTGAATGTGCTGCGGGAGCATGGAGTTCCCGAGAGCTGTATCATCCTGTCCAACCTGTTTTGCACCCCGATGGCTGCTCGGACCGTGGTGAATGCCTTTCCCAAGTTGAAGATTCTCACCTCAGAACTGCATCCCGTGGCCCCCAACCACTTTGGGCAGAAATACTTCGGTACAGATTAAAGATTTGGGACTGTCATGCAGACTTGACGACTAAGCGCTGCTTAGGATAGGTAGATGTCTCCCAGACAAATGCCTTTCGGTTTCTCCCATCTAACGAGTGATCCTCTCTCTGTTTCGTCCTCCAGATGGCATTTGAAATGACAAACCGGCGACGCCCTGCGGTCTATCAACCTACTACTTAGGAACTGTTAGCTTTTCACAACTGGCTTTTAATGCAACTCTCAAATACGTTACGTTCGTTACGCACTATTGTAAATATAGAAAAGGAATAAATATTTAAAAATTTTGGCAACTAGGTGGTCATTTTGTAGTTGACCACGGTGTCCACCTTGTGGAGGCCCGTAGAGAAGGAACGCAGCTGGACGGCCTGGGCATTTTGGATGACAATCGCACCCGTTTCGTCCCATTCGGCCGGTAGTTCGGTGTTCTGCAGCGTGTGGATCATCACGTCGAAAGTACAGATGCAGTCAAGCAGTGGAAGATAGCTCACCGTGGCCGATATCTGGCGCATGACGTCGCGTATTTCGTTCTGGATGCGAGATAATTCCTTGCTAGCCGTAAGCTTGGTGGGATCACTGGTATCGCCGTCGCCCATTTCGGCCTGCATTTTAAAGTCCCAGCATTCGAGAACCTCCTTGGTGTGGGCATTGGTGATGACCATAGATATTTTATTGATCATGTTCTTCGAGAGCCATTCTGATGAGTTAATATATGGTAAAGATTACGGGATCTAAGTTGCTTAATTGTCACTCACCTTCCGTTTGACTAAGCACATTCTCTAGGAAAGCCTGGATCTTCGGATCCTTGGACATAAGAATGGTAAGTCCATATTTTTGTGTACTATCGAAATTTTCCGCCGGGTAAATTCCGCGTTGAAATAGTATAGAATTGATTCCATATTCTATTTTGCAAAAAAAATAAAGGAGACGCCATTGAAGGCGGGCTTCTTGACGCTTTCAAACTATCGAGCGCTACTTACTAAGATATTCCACAATAATCTGAGCGGAACCCTTAAGCGTGATACAATTCTTGGTAGCTTGAGCTGTTGACATGTTGATTATAGTAGTCTTTATTATAAATAATATTAAAATGCGTCCTGAATTGCCGCTATTTTTAAAGTCTTTGTGGCTATGTTACCAGAGTTAAAACTATACCTAATTCTCTGAAAAATATACTTTTAATACCATAATTCTTACATCGATTGTTATCGATTTTAGAATTTGAAACTCTTTATATGGTGGCAGTATTCGCTAACTGTGGAGTCCCTGCTATATGAGGAGAAATGTAAAGAGCTACCATGTTAAATTTTAACAGTAATAAGGGATGGCAGATATGTGTGTAGCCAAGTAATCCCTAGGAAGGCGGGAACTTTAAGCCAGGGCGTTCACTTGCAGGAACACATTAATTCCGAAATAAAAGACCCATGCTCGTGGTAGCAACAAATTTAAAATTTTATTGGCCAGCGTCGTGAAAACTAAAACTAAGCATGAGATCCATTTCTTCGTGCAAAAGTACTTCCGCCTGGTTCGGCTAAATAAGATCCTTCCGGTTCATCGTATTTTGTAGAGGTCGCCTGTTAAAAGACCAAAACGAGACTATGATTTAGCCAAAAACAATCGAGGACGTTGTAAATTAAGGTGATCCAAAACCTGGCTCGGTTTGTCAGAGCTTTGGTAGCTGCCGTCAGATGTTTTGTTTGTGTAGGGAAAATAGCAGCAAAAGCAGATGGAAAGTAGGGAAACCTTGAGTCAAATTAAAACCAATTGTAAACAAAGAAGGAGAAGCCACAGAAGAACAAGAACAGGAAATCAGACCAAATCAAAAAGCAATCGGTTTTTGTAAAATGTGAATTATTTGCAAGTTTTTAATTAAATTTTTTTCTTACGCATCGTTTTGTTTGTTTTTTTTTTTCGTTTTTGTTTGTTTAATGTTTTGTTTTAAATTAAAATTAAACTTTACATGGTATTTTTGGTATAAATCTTTCAATAATTAAATATATAAAAAATTTGCCACTTAAAATAACTAAAAATAATCTCTACGCACTTTCTTGCCATTACGCCTAGTCATACAAACTGATGTCAACATACACATTGCGAAAAAAATAACTAATTTGCCATTTTACATATTTCGGTGTTAAAATTACGCAAATCAAAAACGAGGACAAATAAAATAGTATTTCGAAATTAAGTAGCTTTATAGTGTTTGTGTTTGGGGTGTGTGTGTGTGTGTGTGTGAGCTTAAAGCTAGCGTTACTTTTAATTTAGGTGTAATTAAATACAATAAATTATGGTTAAAGAAGGGCTTGCATTAACTTAGTTTGAAATGTACACAAAACTTATCGTTAGTTAAAACGAGAGCTATTTACAGGATTTATTACAAAGTTCTCGGCAACGTCAACCTTTGTTCTCATTTTAAAAGTATTGTCTATGATACAACAACAAAAGCGCAACAGTGTCAGAGTCAGGGTCGAATCGGTAATGCTTTCCTCTCGAACTTTGAACTTCAAATTTCGATTATCGATTAAATCATTCGTACAATAAATAAATAAAAATTCTGTTCAGATTTCATACATCAAATTTATACATTTAAAAAATATTCTGTCACCGTGCACAAAAACAAACGTAGCTAAAGTCAGTCTGGATCTGGAACTTTTCGCTCGGGAAGAAGGAACTCTGGGCTGGGGGAATCGTACGAATTTTGAAATGTTTTCAGATGTTTCTGTTTCGGATATGTTTTTTTTTTTTGTAGTTGAATTTTTTTTTTACTTATATTTTTTGAGCTTGATCTGCTGGTGCAACAAATTTACTAATTTTTAAAAAACGTAAAAATTACAATTGTCGACGTTTTATTTGGAGTGCAGGGAGTTCGATTTTTTGTTTTTCGTTTTGTTTATAAAATCATAAATTAATGAAACAAAATTCTATGCATTAATAGTCGTTATTTAAGGTATGTATTTGGCCGTAGATTGCAACAATCTGTGAAGAGATTAAATTATAAATAAAATTAAAAATTAATCTTTCAGTTCTTCATTTACTGTTAACTAAAAGCTGGCTAACACCATTTCCACAAATAGGGGCAGCAACTACAAGCATCAAATTGCGCTCTCGAAGTAAAGAATTCCATGCAGAGGATATTGATGAGAAGGTCTTTAGCAAGAACAACTTGGAAATATGTTTTTCTTCTGGTTCATTCGAGCCTAAGATCTCTCTTTGCCGTGGAATTTTATTTTTATAGAGGAGACGAGCACAAAACTAAGGAAGTAATAGTGAACATAGTTACCCAAATCGGAAACGCAGGAGATTAGTCAATAGAAAAAACACAAAAAAAAAAAAACAATCACCAAATAAAAGTAAACAAGGAGCAAAATGAAATTGTTGGTTTGTTTGATTCGAATTGGGTTCTTTCCGGTGTTTTTTTTTTGTTTGTTTGTTTGGTTTGTCAAAATCTACAGCCAAGTGTTAATATCTAATAACGAGTAGTAACTAAAATTAATTGCAGATCATTAAGAAGTATGGGTTATTGAATGCGGTTCGTATTTAATATTTGCAAACTACAAAAAATTACATTGAAAACAAAACAAAATTCAGTTCCCGTTTCAAATGTTAAGTCAGTACGTTGCCTTTTGTGGGTGAGTGTTTCATTTTTTTTGTTTTTGTTTGGCCAACTTGCCATCGTTTATGCGTGTGGATATTCGTGTATCTAACTTAAGAGAGCCTCTGTTGATTGTTATCGTTAATCTGGATATTCATATTGTGTGTATTTGGGGTGCGTAAATGTGGGCTGAGCCAAAGGATTCGACAAGTTTCTCAGTACTTTGTGGGGAAAATGTCCCTTTTGTCCTAATGTTCAAATGTCCGGTTATGCGTCCGCCTGATCTCTCCTGTCCGTTTATCCGTCCGTCCGAGTTGCTTGATAATTTTGTTTTGTTTTGCTGTTTTTTTCTTTTTACATTTACTTGTGGTGTTGGTTGGTGTGGTTTGTGTGATGAGTGAATTGAAATTAAATTAAGTTCCTATATAAACACTATTTAAAATAAACCTTCTATAGCACCCTTTGTTTTTATTCGTATTTATTTGATTTTTTTTCTCGTTTTTCAATGATTGCTCTTAATATGGTTTTTAGTTTACAAAATAATAAATATTATGAACAACTTGGTTAGTTATTTATTTTGTTTACTCTTTGTTTTCGTTATTAAGACTTTACGTTGTTTCTTTTTGGAATGTGTTCTCTAATAAAACTTTTAGTTCGTCGTTTGCAAAGTGACTGATAGCAGGGAGGATAGTGTGGAGTGTGATTGGGTAGGTTGAGAGGTGTCTGGATTTAAGTTTTGGGTCCGATTCTGCATACTGTATTTGTACTTTCTGTCTGTGTAATTGATTGGGTTGTATGGGCTGTGTGTTATGGGTCGCTTTATCAACTATATTTGGTTTATTTCACTTTCCATATTTTGCAGAAAGCTTCTATGTGGAGGGATAGCTGTGAAATGTGCAATGGGAATTTCGTTGGTTCTTGATTTTATCTATTTCAGTTTGTATTACTTTGTAGATAGTTCTGTTTAGTTACTTTATTTTATTTTGTATGTTGTATTATTCATTATTTTGGTATGGGCACTGAGTTCGGTTTGCTTGATTTGATTTCGTTATCGATTTCGGTTTAGGTTTCTGTTTCGGTTTTGTGTGCATAACTCGCGTTTGACTCGACGTAAAACAATCGATGCTATAGAAGTGCCTATTTTAGCAGTAATAACCTCCATGATATGTCTTGCATGGTTCGGCAGGATTACTATTGCTGTACCTACTACTACTACTGAGCCTATTGTTCTCGCAACGTTCGCCGTAGTATTCGGATGGGCAACTGAAAAGATAGACAAGAATGGTTGAACGCCGTTCAATTAGTATGCATAAATCGTTTTTTCGTTTCATACAAATATTCAATATATATATTATAAGGTATATATACACAAGTAGGGGAAATCGAAATGGCCATGAACTGCGGTGCAACATTTGCTTGACCACTCGCAGATCCGGTCAAAAATAAACAAAAGAACAAACAAATTAAGTGTTTGGCATCAAGAGATTTTTAGCGAAAAGGGAAAGTGGCTAGGGAAAGTGCGGCAGGGGTCGATCGATTGACCAGTTTATGGTAACGAAATGGAAATTGAATATAACCCTCTCCTCCACCACTCCTTCAATGCCTCCTCCTCCAAAGAAAATGTTCGGGATCATCGCAAGGGTAGCGAGTGAAATGCGCTTTTTTTGGGATCCGATTGGATCGAATCGAATCGGTTTGCGTGTGCACACTCGTACCGCCAGATAAAACGAGGCGCTGAAAGACATTATTCACATTGCATACACACACGCCTGCAAGTGGGCCTTTGTGGAGTTCTCTTCTCCGGCCACGAAATTTGTGGCCTTTTAATTGCGCTCCCCCTCCGGATTTTCCCAGTTCCCGGGCACTGTAATGCGATGCCAAAATATTACAAGATATATATGTTATATATATATTTAGATGGGGGTCTCGCCAGTGAAGTCTTATCAGCTGTCACATGAGAGAGGTTTATCAAGCGAACCACTTGAGTTTTGGGATCGGTTTCGAGGAGTCTAGCAGGATGCACAGAGTGCACAGCGAAAAACTAGCCGTTCGTCATTATATAGTTAATAGATATTTACAGATTTTGAAACTTTAAAATAGTTTCTAAACATTCTGGTTGGAAATCGAGATAAAATCAGGGAAAACTGAAGATACCCAAACCTTCTAAGTTCTAGAAATAATCTTATGTAAAGCAACCTTATAATATCTAAAGATAGTACAGTAATACTCACTTGCAGAAGACCGCGTTGAGATCCGCGATCATCATACAGGTGCCGCCATGGAAGCAGAAAGTGTCAAAGTGACAGGGGGTGCCCGAGCTGCGCGACTGGTCCAACGGAAAGAGAACTGAAAATACATACGAAATAATTTGATTTACAAGGATGTCCAATATACAAATATATTTAAGATAAATAAAATCTAAACAAGCAACCATAAATTTGAAATGAATTGGAGCATTCCAAATTGGTTCGCAACATAACAGATGCTTGTTGCAACACCCACGGATGCTGAAGAATACAAAAAGCCATAAGACTCACCTGCTGAGGCCTTGATCATGATGCGGCGCTTGACGATCGCCTTGCTGGCTTTATTCTTGGCCCGGCACTCGTACTTGCCCGCATCGGAGGAACTATTGAAGGAGCGAACGATCAGCTCGGAACGTCTTCTGCAAAGGGGTTTATCCAACAAAAAAAAAAAGATACAAACAAGATTTTAGATATTTACACTTTGATCTGAACACCTTCGTTTATACTCACTTGTGATGCTTGAATTGGTAAACGTTGCGCTTGCGATTGATGGACTTGTCGTCCTTAAACCAGGTGACCTTCGGTGGCGGCTGACCCGACACCTTGCAGACGATCCTCAACTCCCGGCCATGTTCGATGGTGGTGTTATTCGGCACCGAGGTGATCGACGTGATCGATGCGTTCTGTGCTGTAAGAAAGACCAGGCAAACCATTAGGCCATGCATTTCATTTTCCGGTTACCTTTCGATTTTCCCCCATCTTCAATCGATCGAAAAAATCAACAAAACAAAAACTGTCTGAAGAGATAATTGCGGAATTTTCCACCTGCCTTAATGGACTTTATAAGATTCTCCCAGACAGCCATAAACAAAATAGCAAATTAGAAATTATTCGCATTCTTTAGAGAATTTTCCTCACTTGCGTTTTTTTATGATCGCGTCGCGTTTGTTTGGTCTTGCTTAGGTCTTAAGTTGCCTGGAGATCGTTAAAATATATTCTTAGATGAAAAGATTTATGGGCGGAAAATCGGTGCAGTTGCGATGACATGGCAAAATGTCTTAACAATGTGTATTTGTTTGATCAATTCTTTAGTACTTATCATTATCTTTACTATAGCAATCATTATTAATCCAATAATAACATCATTTATGTTTTAAGGAAGTTATACAAGATCGATGGATTTATTGGTAGTCTTACCTAAGGAAGACCACCTGTCAATAAACATTCCTCAACTCTAATCACGAGACATTTTTCTTACATTTGTTATCAATAGATTTAACCCCACCTGCACTATATACAAGTTACCCAATTACATATTAAAAGAGTCACAAAACAGACTGACTCATCAATGCCGACAAATTGGCAATGAAACTTGTGTCTCTTCTTGCGAATGGCGAATGGCGATTTGCCACTCCCCCGCCGGTGAATGCTTAAAATTAGCCGGCATATCACGTGTCTGATGGGCGGGGGCGGGTTGCGTGGGGTTTGGGGGCGGGGCTGGTGCTGTCTAAGTGCTCGTCACATGCTAATTGAGACCTGCGTGCGCTGTCCAAGTGATTCACCAGCGTCGGTGATCATGATCATTCATCGATCGGTGGGTCTATTTCGGTTCTTCGACCGTCGCGAAGGTGGGTGGCAGGAAAAAGTGCACGTCCACGAAAACACCCTCTAGATCGTTATGCAATTGGCAGGGAATACGATTATATATATATATATATATATATATCTTTATATAGATGTACTATATCTATCCGATGAGGGTGAGGCAGTTCCAAGCAGTCTACAAAGTCTGCGCTGATTTAATGCCCGGCAAATGTTAATTTATGCGATGAGGATCGCGTGGCCAGACGAAGCTGTCCATATGGATATATCTACATAAATTTATAATGTACATATATATTGCGATTTTAAATTCGAAAAAGTACACTGTGCGAAAGTGACATGCAAACGGGGGATTTTTATGGATTCAAAATGTAAATAAAAGTAAAAGGTTTGAAGGTTTGAAGGTAATTGGATGGATGAGCTAATAACTTTGTAATTGAAAACATAGAAATGTTAGGAAACACAATTTATAGAAGTAAGCTTAAGTAATCCACTTGATTATACACTTTAAGCCACCTTAAATAGGTAAGTTAAATTGTTTATTTAAGAGATTGCTTTGAATGTCGCTTCTTTTTAGAGATACTGCTTGCTCGCAGTGTAAATATTTATATAGGTGTATTTATTCTATAAAATTTTGAGTATATTTAAAGATAAATTATTGTTTATAATTTATGTTTGGCCCAGCGTCGGGCCATAAAGCAGCATTTTAATTGTGCGCGCCACTTTCTCACGCTCCCAAATTGTGAGCTCTCTGTGTATGAGAGTGTATCTGTGTATTCGAGGTGTACCTGGGTGTGTGTGTGCGAATGTAACTGTGTGCGTGTGTGGAAGAGATCCGAAACGAAACGTCAACTCACAAGTGTCCACGGCACACAAGGCGATTAAGAATTGAAGGCACCCAACACACGGGCACACGCAAAACAAGTTGACAATTGTCATGAACAGCTCCTACTTCATATTCGCCCCCCTTTAACCCCCGCTTCACCACCTTCTGCACCCCTCTGCCTTACCTCCATACCTTCGTAAATGCCCCTCAGCGGTTCCCGCTTTGATTTAACCAGAAATCCCAGCCAGAATAATAAGATGAACATTTTTATTTGCCTTCTGCTTGTGTTCGGTTCAGCCAAAAAATTGGCATATCATATTGCCCAGAACCCCGCCGCCTCCACCGCACTTATTATGACTTAATTATGCGCTTCAAAATATGTGATTTTTGTTCGGGCCATTGGTCTTTTTGGTTGCACAGAAAAAAATAACAACTTAATGTGGAAAATCAATCAAATGGAGAAAAAACTATTCAATCTTCTTTCAGTCTTAAGTTGAATGTATTAGTAAGGAAATTTTTGATTTTTAAATATAAAATCACATTAAATCTTCTTCCAGTGTAACCATTTAACCATTTGATTTGTCAATGTCAATTGCTTTGGAGCCAAAAGGATAATGGAATCGAACTGAAATCCGATATCCTCCAGCCATTCTGGGCTCATTGGCCTCTCTGTGTTGGCCCTGTTGTTGTGCGTTTGGTCGAGTGCGTCAACAACTTTTGGGCCAGTGCCTACGTCAAAAAAGGCTGATGTCGCGACGCGCTTCCGGAAAAGTCTGGCAAAAGTACAAGTGCCCACTATGGATAGGAAGCGATGCCAAAGAAAACGCAGAAGGAAACGATGGAGGAGGAAGATGGCTGAATGGAGAGGAGGAAAACTGTCGTCGTCGTTGTCGCCTCGTTGCCTGCTCCCCAATTTAGCACACAGACAGCACAGCGACAGGGAGCATTAAAATAACTTTTCATATTTCAAATAATATTTTTGCATTTCATTTCGGGGCCGACGCGCGCTTTTCTTCTCGAGCGTGACGCTGCCGTCAATGATTCATGCAAATCCATCAAGAAAAGCGGTTAAACATCAGGGGGAAAAGGCAGATGGGAACATGTGGTTATCGCTCAGGTTGTCGGCTGGAAAATGAAGTCGCTTTGCATTGAATTAATCAGCAGAATTGCATGCGACACGCCGACTGGCGCCATCTGCCGGGTTAAATTGTATATATATATATATATATATATATTCATTCATTCAACCGATGGCAATTTACATAGTCATTACCACTGCACCGCCGTTCATTGTTCCCTTCGGGTTTATCCCAATTGTGCAATGTGAACTGCACTTTTCGCTTATTATTTTTCCCTCAAAAGTCAAGTCGCGGATATATATGCATATATATGTATATATATGTGATATTTGTATAATCTTCCAATACTCGGATGCGAGTGGGAACGAAAGAGACAATTTATTTTGGCAGCCCGGCGAGTGACCCACATTTGCCAAGATGCCGAGATGCTGCCGCTGTCAGCGGAAGTTTTTCCAAAAAAAATAATAAAATAAAATTCATATAAATTTCCCGACTTGGTTATTTATGATTTCATTCGATGCGTTCGAGTGTTATTTATTTGATTATTTTTGATTCATTTTTATTGGCTCGCGACATTGTGTCACTGCTGGATCCAATTGCGTGTAGAGTCCTCCACGAACTTAGTGATTTATCGGGCCATAAGCAAATACAACGAGTGCCCAGTGCCCGGGTAGATATGTAGATGATACTCTTACAACTTATCTTATTTGTCTGGATAAATCTGAACAATCGGCGCACGCGTCTCTTTCGGGGCGCGGAGTGACACTTCAATTCACTTCAGTCAACGCTCTGATAATATTTGCAAGATTACGCTTCTAGGCAGATAAGTGCTTGTGCCCAATAAAAGTTGGTTTTGAGTGTCAATAGTGCCAGCGGATACGCTCATACGCCATGTTGGCCTAGGCTATGGCCAACAATGACTCGTTGTCATTAAAGTGCAATGCAATTGACCCTTATCAGTGGGATAATCGTTCGACAACAGTTTGTTCACTTTCATTCTGTCAGTTGATATCACGCTGAGCTAATAAGTTTTTGGTAATTAAATAAGCTTTTCGAAATTGTCAAGTTTATTAAAGGATTTTAAAATTATTAAATTATCTTTCACAGAGATAGTAAAGGTGAAATCATTCCTATAAAAGAATCCAATACCGAAAACTAAATTATCATATGTAAACTTCTATAGGCTTTAGCAGCAAATCTAAGCAAACTTAAAAGCATTTTTGAAGACATTCCAATAGGAAATTCGATATGCCAGCAGATATGTGGAAGTAAGCCACAGTTCGAATGGCCAAGCAAACATCGGCAACATTTACCGATTCATTTCGAATAAAACAGCAACAAACGGTGGAATGATGTCGTTGCTTTTCACCAAAACACAAGACAGGAAAGTCAAAGAATATATATATATGTTGGCAGTGTGAAAAGATTTTCGCGAGTTGTGAGTTGGGCAAAAAGGCAGATGGATGGGAATGGGTCTAAATGGGAGATGGCTGAATGGATGGCTGGCACGTGTGGCCAAAATGCTGGCAGAACTAATAAAACTAAGAAAATAGCAGCAACGTTGTCGCCATTTGGTCGATGTCGATTTTTCCATGTTTGTTTGCGATTTTCATGTGTGTTTTTTTTTTTTCGTATGCCGTCTTGTTTATTTGCACATTGCGTATACGCAATGTGATTTCCTTTGAAGAGCTGACTTTCCACGTTTTTGTCGCTGGCGCTGACAACTCAAGCAAATAGAGAGACAGCAGCAATAACAAGAAGCAGTTTCTGCCTCTATTGTGTAGGAAAAAAGGGGGTAAATTTTCAACAGCAAACAAACAGATGGAAACTGCTAAAATCCAGACTAAAGCGCAATTTTCGTTTTTGGAGATAAAGCTATAAGCATTCTATATAGCATCTATATCTCACACGCCCCTTTTCGGGGCGATTTGAACTTCCCCTTTCACATGTATTTTTACCCGCTGTCTGCAGCGTTTAATTAAGTCAAGTGAGCGAAGTGCATCGCCATCGGCATCAATTGTCTTTTGCCTCAGTTTCATCAGCTAAATGCCAACAAATTCGCTTCACTTGGCTGCTGCTGCTCCGCTGATCTGCTCTGATCCAATCTGCTCGGTTCTATTCTGCCTTTGCCTCTGCCTCTGCCTCTTTTTTTTAGCGCATTTGTTTTGTTTATTCGGCTGG